TTCGTAAAATCAGGGGCCATAATCCATGAAGTTACGATCCGATACATGCCAATATCGAAAGGAACACGGATCCCCCACACCCTTTGCTCATGTTCTGCACACGCTCCAGGCTGGGGTTATGTGACAACGAGATGGAGATCTCGTGACCATTCTTGCTGCGAGATTTGGATTCACTAATTTATTTGATTTTGAGGTAGCCCGGTAAAAAGACTACATGTTTTATAATAGTCTAGTCAGGATAGAATTAATGATCGCGATAGAGCTGGATCTGAATCTCAATCCTGTGTGAAAACATGTCGGATGGAACTGGTGTTCTTCAGATGGCCGTAGCATTTTCTAGCATATTATCAACTTGTTTTGTGAAACTCGGGACACTATCCAATAGTGCGCCTAATCTTTTTACCACTGATGTTGACGGAAATTCAATATCTCCCATATCCAAGTTTAAGTGGGATAGGTCCGGATCCGATAAACGAGTTTTGCGGCCGAAAATGGTTCAAGCTATTTGAAATTATCCAGGGTTTAATTTGTTCAATACATATATAGCCATTTTTGTAATGGCCATTTGTTTGATCCAGGATTAAATGAATCTAAAAGTTGAGTATCGTCAACTGGGGAACATCACACACTAGAGGAACACATTCTAATTTGTCTGAGTTGACAATCGCAGATTGGTGGCGAGATGACAGATATGATCTAAACCATTCCAAAACAGCATCATTAACACAAAAGTCTTTCTGAAGTTGGAAAAGCAGTTTTGGGTGGTCTGTTGTGTCGAAAGCAGTGCAAAGATCTAATAACATCAGCAGTGAAACACGCTCCTTATCGACACACATCTTAAGGTCGTTTACGACTTTGTTTAAGGCTATTTCAGTTCCATGATGGGTCTATAAGCTGACTGAAATTCATAAAACAGGTTGTTTATCTCAAGATGGTCAAATAACCGTGTTTTGACAGCTTTTTCTAGAATCTTTGATAAAAACGACGGACTGGAAACCGGTCTGTAATTTTAAGAATATTTGGATCGAGGGATGGTTTCTTGAGTAAAGGTTTTACCACAGCTAATTTGAAGAGTGAGGGAACAGTACCAGTCACGAGGCTCTTATTGATAATGTTGGTGATGGTTGGCAGTAGAACGTCCAGGTATGTTAAAACAGGCGAAATTGGATCAAGCTCGAATGATGTTGGTTTTGAGGATTTCACAAGTTTCTGAATGTCACAATCAGTAAAAGGTGTAAAAGCTCCCATCAAAGTACAAGAATAACTAGGAATATTAGAGGTTAAACTGTGATCATCGTATAATATTGATTTATCGACTGCTGGATTGTGACAATCTTATTGTAGAAAAGGTTACTGAATGTGGTGGCGAGGAACTCTGTATCATTATCAACAACATCAGGGGACTTCACCTCATCGCACTTGCCCATTTAAAGAGTAAAGGGCTTTAGAATTGTCAGTGTTATGTGTTCTTTACAACATTCAGCCTTTGAAGACTTAAGATTATTAACATCATTTCAGCAGCTGACAGATTTGTCGATGGATCTCTAAACGGGATTTTCGCCAATGTCTCTTTGTTTTCCTTAGCACATTTTTATTTAGGGATATGGTATCACAATACCATGGCGATCTAGGCTTAATTCTAACATGCTTAGGTGCATTTTGGGCATGTATCCAGCACGTTGGTCAGTAAAGATAGATCTGTAAGTTGATCCATGTCTTCAGCAGTTCGGATTCTGTCAGATCTTTACTAAAATCTAACAGATATTCAAAATCAAGTGATGAAAATATCCAGAAATGAACGGACATCTGATTGTCTACTACATCATAAGATTTGATTGCTTTCTCAAAAGAACGGGTTACAATTAAATCAAGAATATGGCCACTTTTATGTAGAACTCTTAACAAGTTGGGTAAGATTGTGAATAGATAATAAAGTCGCCATCTTCTTCACTTCGGGTTTGTCTGGGCAATCTACATGAACATTAAAGTCTCCAAGGTGAATAAGCTGGCCACGTTTTACACAAATTGGGGAAATTGTGGATATAACTCAAACACGGAACATGATGGAGATCTATAAACACCATCAAATCTTCTGAGACGCATTTGTTACTAAAAATTCTACAGATTCAAAAGACCTGAAAACCTCAAGTTGTTATGCAACCACTACAAGTTTTGTAAATGACGAGTAACCATGTAAAGGAGTAACCATGTGGGGTTAATCCATTCAGTTTTGGGTCATTCCCAATCTTTTTTAACCAAGCCTCAGTGATTAACACAATGTTAAGTTTATTTTCCACAATTTCGTCTGATATTGCTTCAGTTTTATTTCTGGCAGTTCTTGCATTCCAAAGTGCTAGTTTAATATTAGTGTGTTTAGATTGTGAAATGAGTTTATCGGGACAAGTGACCTTTTTGAATTGATCATTTTTAACCAAAATTGTCACCAAATGAGTTGACGTCAGAAAAATTTTGTTTTCGAATTCCAGTTCTTTTACCCCTTCATGTTGGTTTTGAGATTAAAATACCAATTTGTCGAAAAGTAGTGACTTCAGATTGATCTACATTAGTTTAATCACATGTTTTGTTAATGAGTTTATGTTCAATAGTGATTAGTGGAAATCATTAGAGCTTGGGTGTTACTATAACTTTTCAGAATTATCCACAAATAAAATACAAATATCATCCCAAGTAACATAGTAACCCATTTGTTTTCAATCACAAAAATTATAATTTCAGTTTCTGCAAATTTCATTTTGGATCTAGCCTAGGTTATTTTTTTTTTTTATTATTAATCTAATTAATTACATGATATAGCCTTAATGGAGAGGACAATGCAATGAACGACCTCGGTCGTGGTTAAGTACCTGAAACCAAGCTGATTCGGACCATGGCTGATTCGGAACAAAAGTCAAAGCTTTTTCGGACCACCACTAAGCTGATTCGGACCACTATGAGGCCGATTCGGACCACACGATAAAAAAAAATACTAGAAACTGAGATTTTGATATTGAATTAAGTTTAAAGGGGTTTTATCTAGGCTATAGCGTGACTATATGTGCTTTTATGTACGTCAATTTATGTTTATATTCCATTTTTGATGCCACAGTGACAGAGATTATCTCATTAATATTATGTAAATTATTATACGTTTTATGCAATTTAACCATGCCATTTTTATTTTATTTTATAAACTTCATAGCTTGTTTCAGAATCCATTATATTATATATTGTGTGTAATTATATGCTATAGAAATACTTTTTAAACAAATTTATGTTAATTTCAATATGTCATACAAATTTGAAAACTACAGTGGCATAACGGAAATTCGAATCCATTATATATATTATGTGTAATTATATGTTATAGAAATACTGTTTAAACAAATTTATGTTAATTTTTATAAGTCATACTAATTTGAAAACCAATACCAGCATAAAATATGTTTAAATATGTGTATATTTTTATAAAATGTTGGTTTGTATTGGAATTGAATTTGACCGCCAAATGTCTCGATTACTTGATTTCGCACCCATAAAATGATATTTACTGATTAATATATTATACCAAGAACAGTTAGTTGTCTTTCCTTATTTCAACTTCATTCATTACAGTAATTATACTGGTATGCACCCATTTGATATTGGGTTACAATTGGAAAATACTGGGTAGTATTTATTGTCATGCAAACATATTTTAAATATTCTCGTCATTCAAATAATGGTCCGATTTAGCCTTATCATGGTCCGAATCAGCCAAGAATCTGGTCCCAATCAGCCAAGAATGTGAAGCATCTTTTCCGTAATTTAGCTCATTGGTATTGAAGTAATCAATCACCAATTCCACTATTTACTGTCATTTTTGTCTTATTATCAAATATATGCAAACATATTTTAAATACTCTCGTCATTTAAATAATGGTCCGAATGAGCCTTGTCATGCTCCGAATCAGCCAAATGTCTGGTCCGAATCAGCCACGAATCTGGTCCGAATCAGCCAGGTGCGAATCAGCCATGGTCCGCATCAGCTGGTTACTATGCTTGTACCTAACGGGTCTTGAACACAGACCCGATTTTTTTCTATTTCTGAACTAGTTAACGCCCGAGATGGTTAAAATTGACACATTCTGACTAACCAAAAATATTGCTCAGTTTATGTTTTAGATCCACATAGTTTATTCTCCCGGAAACATGGGCGTTTTTTTATGTCCACGCAGTTTATTCTCCATGAGACGGGAGAAATGAATGAAATGAAATGGGGTTTAACGTCTACTGTTATGCTCCAAACTGGGCTAATGAAGACGGCGGGCAAGACGGGCATACGCCATATACAGAGTGCTATGAGGGAAATTTTGCCTGGACAGCGGCACTACGACCTACTCTTATATCGACTTCTAACTGTCAAGGGATCTTTTACGTGTACGCCAATGTGTACACGGGACCTCGGTTTTTCGTCCCATCCGAATGACTAGACAACTGTCCTTGTCAGACCCTCCGTCCTGCATCACTGACAAGGGAGAACCACGCCGGAAAATCTGGATGAACTTTCTCGGCCAATGCAGGGATCGAACACCCGACCTCCAGGCTAGCGAGCCCAGCGTCCTACCCACTTAGCCAGACGGGAGAGCACACATAACCGGAATATGTAAATCAAAAACCAACAAAATAAATTATTTAAATCTCTATAGGCCTATTGACAGTAGAAGGTTTGGATGAGCTGCAAGTTAAAAAAATCCTACTAGTGTGACCATTTCAATCTGATCACAATCTATTAGATACAGATTTATATTTCGTTTCGTTTGTTTTTATACTTTCGATGGCCTCTACTACACCGGTTGTAGTGGAAGGTTGCGCCAGAATTCATACGAGCAGCCTTTGACCCTATGACGTCAGAAATTTGATTAACCAATCAGTGTTGATGTTTCTCCATGGTGGTTACCCACAGTTCCGTGCACCTCACGCCAAAATCTCGCCGTAACAGACCGTTTCATTGGTTAATCCCTCACACCACCAAGGCTATATAATCACGCTTCCAGCTTCTAGTAGTGGAAGTGGACGTAAAACACCAGAAACGAACGAACGAATTCTAGTAAAACGAAATTCTGAACTATATAGAAAACGAAACAAAATAGGATCCGTGTTTTAATCAGATCGATCTTATCAGCAAGGTCTTTTTCACTTATCTGAACGAGATCTTCTAGGAGACATAACTGTTCTTTTAGGCCTACTGTGCGTACTTTTCCATGGGGGTAACAGATGCAGGTAATTACTGTGTTCAACTAGACATTTATTATAGGTCACTAGGTGTGTGTTCCGCACAATGCTAGGAAGCTATCCAAAGGGGGCATATGCATCGGCGAAGGTAAGAAAATTTCTTTTTTTCGGTTTTGCTTTACAAACAATAATTCACTTCAAATATATAACAGAGAACCCTTAACATGTACCGACAAGGTAAAGATCAGCTGATCTTTTAAAATGAATTTGAAGCTTTGCGCAAAAACAATAGTCCCAAATAGGGGCTAAAAGACTAAGTGAAAATGGGACGCAATGATGGACATGAAACTAATATGGCATGATTGTCCCTTGAACAATTCCGCATCGGTTGACGGACTTCAAATCTCAGAATACACAAATATCGCAAAGTCAGCCTCAAAATTGAAATTTTCGTCATTTTCATAGTTCCTCTCCTCTGCATGGTGCAAACCCTATTTTCCAAAATTTCCTGGGGGGGGGGGGAGCACCCGTTACCCGTTCGCCGTTCGCCGGGGGGGGGGGGGCATTTATTTATTTTGGAAAATTTATTTTCGGGCAATGAAAAATTCGACGACCTTTTTTTTCCATTAACGTTTAGAGAAAAAATATAACTAATTTATTTCTATGAGATCCACACTGCCCGAAAAGTATTTTCTTGTATTTTTCTTGTCCACTGCATGCCCGAAAATATGCCCGAAGCTCTCTTATGATATGTATGCCCGAAAAAAACGGTATTGATTTCGGGCAATTTTCTCTTATGCCCCCCTGAATTACTTTGAGCTCCTATGCCTATGGGTACATCGCGGCGCCCTCAGTTTTGAGCTAGCTATGGGCCTGAGAATTCAGCCCCCCCCCCCCCCCCAAGAAAAATAAAAATTCACTTTTCCAGCCCCCTCCCAACCAGTTCCTACTTAGTACTTAGCCTACATGGTTGATCCGGCGCCCAGCAAAATGGGCTAGTCGGAATTATTTAGGCTATGATATATATATTTTTTTATTTTACACGGCAAAATAGGCTAGTCGGGGTTATTTAGGTTCTGGTAATTACTAATTAGTGTGATATATGTATATTACACATAGGAGTCGTTGACCTACTCCTAATGTCACACACTGACCAAAGAATTTAGGATATAATCCACCTAATATAAGGTCTCCAGTAAAGGTCCACCGATCACTTAATTGAACATTAAAATATTGAACAGACCCGGGTTAAATTACATGGTCATATTGATATTAGGGCTACGCACAAATTGGTCGTGGTATACTGACCACCCTGTCCACGAACTATGTCATCAATACCGTAACCGTTTGTCTTATTTTTTGATATTTAATTGTCATATTGCTATAGGCTACATGTTTAGGCCTATATTGTATGCTGTCCTCAATGGATGTTTCGATAGGCCTTCAATAAAATCTTATCTTATCTTATCAATAGAAACAAGGAATGGATAGACCTTAACTCGGTGTACTTTTCTGGGGAACTATACACTCCCCTCTCCTATTCCTAAATTATAAACAACAACAAAAACAACATTATAAATTATTCCGAGGTCAAGGTGTATCTCAAATTTAGTACCTTAAAATACAGAGTACTTATAGGCCTAGTTACACGTAAATTTTAAATAGCTCGCATTTGTACTTAAATTTTCATGTTTTTGTGCTCTACTTATTTTTCACTGGCTGAAATAATGTCAGTCGCCGAACAAACTGTGAAGGCTGGGCGATCTACTAGACAAAACTGAGTCAAACCGGTTAGAACTGCTTCTCACTAGATCGCGAGTATCGATACACACACATCTCCTCTCCGCATTTTACACCTAACTGTACAAGGAGCCGCATGGTTACTATAATACGTGTACAATAGTGTTAACTTGGGTCTTTGAAAATTTCGACCATAAGAACTTTATCTTTTGATCTATATTACCTAGGACTATGGATGTCTAAGCGCCCCCCGTGGAGCATAATATTGCGTCCACATCTTGTATACGGGGGAATATTAATTATTTAACAAGCGAATTACTGTGTTTGAACAACAGTTTTTGACTTCGTCTTCGTTCAGAAATCAACTGGAGAAGCGGAATAACAACAACCTTCATACTGCTGCCAGTCAAATGGAGATAAGCCTATCTGTAAGTACTAGAACGTTGACGTTTCATAGACCTATGTTAATGTTTTATTTTAATTGGTTAATACAATAGACCCCTTAAAACTGTTACGTTTTTCTTGTTGACATGGCGCGTGCCGTGAAACTATCATATCAACATCAAGGATGAAGGAAGGGCAATTCCATCAACTCGGTATCACGATTTACCTAAAACCCCAATTATTTGTCTATATTTGATAATATACTGTTCTTTGAGTCAAATTGTCATGTCCAATTTTTAAAATTGTAACGTTTTTGTTTAAAAAAATGTCCCTCAAAATAAATATGCAATTTCCAAAGAAGAGATTTCGTGCAAATACACGAGTTATGTCCCTTGGTTAAAACTTCATTTATCGGAAGTCGAATTTTGAGGGGGAACTGACACAAAATCGTTACGATTATGATTATAAAATGACAATTTAGCTTTACAGTAGGCCTATATTATTATCAAATTATTGTAATATGAGTTAGAGTGGATTTGGTTACAACTTCCAAACTTGCTTGGAAATCTATTTGGGCGCATTTTTGACAACAAATTGTCAATGAATTACGAAATACGAATACGATTGTACATCACATGTAAATTAAAATCATCAATTAATTTGGCATGAAGAATTGCATGCTATCATTTATCAATATGAATTATTGTCTTGAAATAATGGCGGATATGCGTAAATTGTGCTATCCCAGCAACTTGCCGAGCGACACATTAGATATTGCTCAATACCACCCGAATACCTAATCTACATTACTTCATTATTATGAAAATTCAAAAGGTTACCGCCAATACCGGGTACTGACAGAATACTTCATAAGATGTAAAAGAGAAATAGAAAATGGGGTTTGACGTCCATTTGTCAGAAGCTGTCATTTTGGGACTAACATATAGTTCAATTATATTTCAATAGCCTGCTTGTGCATAATTGGGGTCTTAGCAGCGAGGAGACATTGAGAAAACCCATGAGATTGAACAGGTGACCCTACTCCTTTCCACGTACAGGCTGCAGAATCGAAACCACGTCACTGCCACCAATGTTTACATTATGATCTCTATTGCAGACTGTTCACTCTGCCATTGACACCCTTAGTGTGATGGTCATGGTCTATCTGATAGGAGTGATAAAAATTAGTATATTGATTAATGTAAATGACTGAATGTTCCATTACATTTCCTATTTGAATGTTTTTCAGCCTGTTGCAAAGTCATTTCTTGCTGGTAGTTTTAGTGGAACATGTTCAACATTATTGTTCCAACCACTGGACCTAGTAAAAACTAGGGTGCAGTCATCAATAACCAATGGGTAAGTTAAATCCCACACCTCAAACTATCACTCCAATGATTAGCTATAAGCATGACAAATTGACATAGACTAAGTCATGCTTACTATTTCCGGATCATCAGATGCCATCTTGGACCATAAGAGGTTTTTTTTGTTTTTTTTTTTAGAAGAAAACCAGAATGAGGATAATAAAATTAAACTTTTGAATTTTAATTTATTTCAGAAATAAAGTGGGTATGGTCGCAGTCTTTACCAATGTTGTTAAAGATGAGACTTTAGTTGGATTATGGCGGGGATTAATACCGGTATGTTATTATAACCACATTTGCTACAGTCTTATTTTTAGAATATTGATCTATGTGAAGGGGTGACATTACAAATGCCCAGATGTCAAGTCACAGATTGAGATTATCAGCTTATGACAAAGCTTTACTTAAATGTGTCATCTTATCTGCAAAATATCTTAAAGAAAAGATTTTCCGGTCAATACATGACAGTATTAAATGTTGGTATAAATAGTGCCAATTATTTTAATAAGTAACTTTGATTATATTTCAGTCAATAACAAGATGTGTACCAGGTGTAGGCGTTTATTTCTCTACTATTCACTACTTGCGAACAAATTACGGGTAAATATTATATATTATAATAAAGTATTTTAAGACGGGAGACCACAGTGACTCATAGAGTAAGGTGCTGGTTGACTATCCAGATCCCGGGTTTGCTCTCAGTGTTGGTCGAGAAAGTTTGTCCGGTTTCCCTTTGTCAGCAGTGCAGGATGGAGGGGGCCTGGCAAGGAACATTGTTTGGATGGGACAAAAATAAAAGCTGAAGTCCTGTCTATGTTGTTGATCATAAAAGAATCCTTGATAGTTGGAGTTTGATAAAGAGTACATACATGTAGGCTATAGTACAGCTGTCGATGACTTTTAAAAAAAAAATCAACTTTTTTTTTTAAATTTTCAGAAGTAAAGATCCTCACCCATTGGAATCATTAACCCTTGGAGCTTTAGCAAGATGTTTTGCTGGTGTCTCAGTCTTACCATTCACTGTTGTTAAAACAAGATATGAGGTAAAGATTAATTTAGTTTGCTTGCTTATTTTCAATAGTCTTAAAATCTTGATCCGGGCTTAAGCATGTAAATGAACCAAGGTATTAATGTTTTACAACAATCCATCATGTAAATGGGCCAAGTGTCATTATTAGCCCAGCCAGTAAAAATACAATAAATCTTTAGGGAGAAAAACTCAGTCACTGATCTCCATATTTAAATTGTTTTTACTTTTGAATTAAGCATAATGTAATAATAATTATTTCCATTACAGAGTGGAACATTCGCTTATAGAGGGGTATCACAAGCTCTAATTGGTATTTATTCCCTCGAAGGACTAAAAGGTATGGTATCATTTATCTTTGTATCAATTTACTTCAGTGTTTATAATATAAATTTCCTTGCAAAGTGAACCATATAATCGTTACATTTAGTTCAGTCACATCAATTTGAAATAAAACCCCTGAATATTCTGTTTCTCACTAACCATATTTTATTTTAGGGTTATACAGTGGGTTGGCACCAACTTTATTAAGAGATGCCCCTTTCTCTGGTCTCTACTTGATGTTTTATTCACAGATCAAGAAAAGTTTACCTCCTAGTAAGTTATATTTATACATTTATTAAGTCGTAGGTTTGAGTCTTTACTATTTTTCTTTTATTTAGAAAGGTCATCTCACTCATTTCTTATGACAATGGAACTAACAAAATAAAGAAGTGAATAGGCTACTTCAATATGGTGAAAACCTTATGGTTTGGTTTAAAAGAATTCATTGAACTATACATGCCTGTTGGTAAAAATTCCTTGACAGCACCTACCCCATTTTCAATACTATTTAAATAATCTTTTTCTTTTAATAGATATTCTCCACAATGGCTCACCTATCATCCATTTTCAATGTGGTATTCTTGCTGGAATGCTGGCATCATTGGTAACCCAACCAGCAGATGTAATAAAGACACATATGCAGCTAAACCCACAGAAGTTCGGCAACATCAGATCAGCTGTGGTTTACGTATTTGAGGTAAACATCCAGTTTATCATAATGTATTAAAGGGCAAGACCCAGATTTCTCAAGATAAAAGTTGGTTTAAATATGTAAATCAAATGACAGGGGCAGCGATATAGTCTATTTACTTTGTTATCCAGACACTTACATATATCATGGAATTTCAAAGACCGAAAGTTTGTATTTCCTTGGAAAAGTATCACAGACTATCAGCTATTTGCATACAAATAGGTGTTTAGGTTTGGTACAGCCTTACATCCAAATAAAGCAGTTTTGTTCACTAAATCTGAAATAATTGTGAGATAAATATGTATAAATGTGGAGCAAGGAAAGTGTCTGAAGTAATTTAAAAACTGCAGAGTGATCAAAGTTCTTATATATATTTTTCTTTTATCAGAGGGAAGGTATGGTTGGGTTTTGGAGAGGACTCATTCCTCGAACTATTCGAAGGACGCTTATCTCGGCAATGGCGTGGACTATTTATGAAGAGGTATATATAATTTATGTATTATTTATTATTAAGATTGATATTTTGTTTTGATTTGTAACTGTAACACTTAGTTTACTGTCCGGACCGGTGTAAATTTTGAACTGATTTTTTCGATTATAAACAAACTACTTAACTTTGGTTGTTATAAACTTACCTGTGTGTTTGAAATCAACTCCTGTTGAATAAAATCCATTGCACAGTTAAATATCCGAACGAATAAAAAAGTTTTCTCTTGTAAAATTAAATTCCCACACACTTTCGACATCGAACAATACTAAAATGGAAGCTGATTACATCACTCTTCGGGAGAGATCATCATGTATAAAGGGATGATCATGCTTTGTTTTGATTGCAACATGTGGTTTGTCAAACTCTGTCAAAGTTTTAACCACCCCTGCAACAGCTTCTTTGGTTTTGTCCAACAGGTGATGAAAACCATGTTGTCTTGTACTCCGTCGAAAATACAAGTTAATCCGTCAAACTTTTCAAGAGAAAACTTTTTTTATTCTTTGGGATATTTAATTGTGCAATGGGTTTTATTTAATGGGAGTTGCTTTCAAACACACAGGTAAGTTTATGATAACCAAATTTAAGTATTTTTTTCACAATTGAAGAAATCTGTTTAAGATTTACGACAGTTCAGACAGTAGCTTTTCTTGGAACCATATCTGCCAAGCAGGTAATTCACAAAACATTTCGCTCACACATATTTCTTTTATATTTCAGTTCATGAAAAACTGTGGCTTGGGAAAATAACTTGTAAATCTCAACAACAGTTATTGAAATGCTGTCATGAAATTTAACCTTCATAAACAGGTGTAAAATCAGTGGATTTAAAATGTGTTAATGCCAACATTGAATAATGAATATAGTGTCAGCTACTCCTGCATTTTTGAGCGAGTGATGTTGAATTTATTAACAAAATGAAACTTTATAAATGTTATGGATGTTCATTATTTATTTTTTACTTTGTGAGAGAGAATTGTGATTAGGTGGTTAGGCATAAATTTAGTGCAATGAATTCCAGTCTATTGCATTTAATCATTTTGACTATTGAAAGCATTCTGTGATGGAAGGTGAATTATCATTTGTTTGTATATAGATTATATTTTTTTTCTTTTAATAATTTGATATTATGTTAATAATTACGTATGTTTGTTTTCTGTAAAATCCATAGAAATATTTTCTTTATAAGCAATTACGTGAAATATTTGAAGTTGCCATATGTTTATTGTTACTTTTAATGTTATGATAATTTCTATTATTCATTTTTGATGATTAATATTATTCTATTTTTGTACCAGTACTTTATTAAAAGTTCTATGATGAATATATTATTTATTGTGGACTTTATTGGTGTCATTTTTATGCAATATTAATGCTGTATACACCCACAGATGCATGTTGGATAGGCGCTATCAGAAGAATCTTCTGTTGAACTCGATTTGACAATTTGAGTATAATTTATACATATACACATGTACATAATTTTCTATAGCCGATGTATAGTGTATATATATAACTGTACATCAGTTTAAATCTTATACATTTCATCATTATTATGCACTACAAATGTGAGATTAGTAGCTGTAATAAAATTTTAAATAATTTTGCAAACTTTTACTTTATTTCTTATTCAGAGATAAATTACAAATATTAAACAGGCATTATGTGAGATAATGTTACAAAAAATATTATTTAAACAATTATTCACATAAGCCCATAATCAACTCTCTAAACCACCGTATGACTAAAATATTGAGTGGATTAGACAACGACGGCTATATATGTGTTAGGTGGAAATAAGAACATGCATAACGTTTAGTAATATCAGACTTCCTTGTGTTTCCTTTGTGATCATTAATAAACTACAGGTTAGTTTGATTCTACAACTTTAATTGGCTTCAATGTTCCTCGTTCTCAATAAAGCATAGATGATATCTGCTCGGAATATCTTGGTGAGCTCTGATGAATTTCGCTCAACACCCTCTTTTATAACCTCCTAATTTCTGTACGTCATTTACTGACCTTGGTATTAATTTCCTTCCCAAATATGGATTAAACATCCCCATTCTACACAGACCGTGGGGACAACATTACCTTATTTGGTCTACCAAACACGTCATAAACAAGATAGTATTTGATGGATATTTTGACAATGGTAAGGATTTTACCAAAATATCACTGTTTTTTTTACATATAAATATACCACTCAATTCATTAAGTACTGTGATTTGACCATAGAAAGTGTGAACCAAATAATTAGTTAAAGATACAATATGGTCACAAGGACCATAGTACATGTATTACAAATGTCACTTACAGAGATCACTGACAAAAGGCCTAGAAATGCAGTTATACCCAGCTTTATGTTAAATTGAATTGCATCCGCTGTCTGAAAAAAAAACAGATAAAAGTAGCCATTCATAAAATGGCTCAGAATAGAGTAATTTGACTGAGAACTTCAATCCATTTATTTTTCATTATCTATTTTTATACGCCCACATGAAAATGTGGTCGCATATTGTTGTCACTCCTGTCTGTCCATCCACAATTAGTGAGATAAAGAAGTCTGTTGAATTTCAATAATTTCCATTAATTTCTTCTGGAGTTGTGGCCCTTGTTTCACTTTATTGCACCCTGTGAACACTCCAACTACAAAAATTATCATCCAATCTGTATGAAATTTATACTAGAACTAGAAGTGATTAAAATCACTTCTAGAGTTATGACCCCTTGTTTCACTTTGTCGAACACTCTTAACAACAAAAGTTATCAAATTGTACTGTGTTCCCCCACTTTCATTACAAATTGGTTGAACAATCAGTGTTGATGTTTCTAGAGATTTACTCACAGTTCCATGCATCAGTGCATTGCACGACAAGAAGTTGTTGTAACAGATGGTTTCATTGGCTTATCCCTCACGCCATCCAGAACGCATGTTATATAACAACTCTTCCAGATCCTAGTGTAGTACAGACAAATAAATGGAATTTTGAACTATAAAAAACGAAACGAAATAGGATCTGTGTTTGAATCAGATTGATCGAAACCCCTCATGATCAGGCATTGATCAACTTAATGATATCAAATCCCACCATAAAGAATCAATAGTCCAACCAGTCACCCTGAAGTACTGCTGCAACTGGTCATTCTTGTGAAGATCATGATTGCTACATTGCGGGCTGCTCCTTCAACCCGTCAGATTCTTTTACTACTTCAAAGTGCACTGCTATTATTCCCTCATACCTACAGATATTGCACAGTTCTCATGACAGATACCTGAAAGACAACCATTTGTGACCATCCATGCATTTGTTAGGTTGCAAAGCTCCTTCCAATGGATCTGGTACTGATGTCATTCTTGAATTAACGCAATATAAACATTCGCCTGGTCTGTCCGATTCGCCAAACCATTTGCTCGCTTGTAGTCTTCATTAGCTAATCACCACTCATATCGAGAAGTCACATGATTGTTTGAAGACATGGTCGCTGCCATGTTTAATCATGTGGAGTGAAGTGTGATGCAATCGACTGGTGAATCAGGCAAAGGATTGCCTAGTGTGTCCACTCATTCGGCTGCAATTTGACGCCAAGTGATTCAGCCAATGTGTCCACCGCTTTAGGCTTCGATATGTATGATAAATGGACAGCGTCTTTTAAATACAATGAATTCTCCGCTGGCTTCGCACCTGTTGCTAGGAACAGTGACAGCCATGTCAAGTGATAAAAACATAACTTCTTTTAATAGATTTGTATAGCTTGAGGTATTTCCTTGCGAATACAATGTTTTGAAAGGATTTGAATCAAAATTTTGATAAATTAATTAGTCTGAATATGTTTTTAGTCCAAATATATCATCAAATCACCCAGTTTGTATGCGGAAAGGTATCTTTAAATCTTTAGATAAATTTGATTGCTGAAATTATGACCTGATCTTTAAATATCAAACCAAATATAACTTTAAAAGGATTACATTTCTTTGATTTGGATAACAAAATTAAAGAATTGGTGTAATATTAAAGCCAAAAACTACCAATAAACTAAAAGCAGTCAACAAACCATCTTCCATTTGATATTTGGAAAAATTTTTTTAATTGTATCAAACTATTAGATTAATGGAACTCTAAGTTTTATTTTGTCCTAAATCAAAGGGGATTATAACTCCTTTAATAATAACATGTAAATAATATATAATTTACAATCCATAATTATAATTGCCATGGTAACATACAATTTATCACAGAACATTAACACTTACAGTTTAGATAAATAGCTTCAAGAAGTACATATATTAAATATACACCACCACCATTCCTTTAACTTGCATATATTGAATCACAGCCAGAATATGGTGCACATTGTGGCATACTGATAATATTACAAAACAACTCATTTGTTTATTTTCTCTATACGGAAAGATGCCAGGGCATTAAATGTTTGTTGCCATTACTTGTTGAAATATTATTCCATTTTTTGCATGAATAATTAATTTAAGATGCCAGAATTTTTCTGGTGCCAAGTAATAAATAAAATCCATCGATGTAAAAAAAAGTTCACAATCTTCCTGATTTAACGAAAACTGGGTCTCCTTCACTTACTCCTGGACCTAAATAATATAAAGCAAATTGAAATTGTTTTAATTGGGTATCTTTCTTGTGGGATAATTTCAGCTTAAATGAGATGGATTATACAAGGTGAAATAAAATCTAAGATACATTTTCCACCAAATTTAAATACATTGTGTAGTTCAGAAGACATAATTTTTCTTTCATATCCATGTTTGTTATCCAGTCCTATACCTGAAAAGAGCCAGTAGGTTCCTTTTTTAATGTATTTAATCATGTCATTAGTTGCAAGATATAATACTGTTTTCTTACCCAAATCTTTCTCTATATGTTCTAAAAATGCTGTTTTGGATTGTTTGCCAGCCCCTGTTTGTTTATTTTTAGGTCGGTGTTGGTTGCTATATGTAGATATTAAACTATACATTAATGGGCTGAAATCAAAATAAATATCCATATATTTCATTATAATGAGCACAATACACACAAATAACAAGTGAAACTGTACATTCTGAGATCTTGGTAATTAGCAGGGGCATAAAAAATTTTGAATCCACTAGCCCAGGGATTTTGTTTTTAAATCAACCCGATTTCAACTGGTTTATCCGTGACCTGTCAATCTCAAAGCGTGCAAGATGGAGAAATGAAATGTCAAGAATGAATAGAAAGGGTACAAAAAATGTCCATACGACTCTAATTGGAGAAATAAATGTGGGATGTTTTACAGTTTATTTATCTATATCGTCACTAGTTTAATTCACAAACCAGTGAAAGGGCACTAGTCCAGGACTAGTACGGCTAAATAGATCACTAGCCCGTAAGTTATTTTTGGTAGCCCAGGGCATCGGGCTAGAGGATTTTTACAATCCTGGTAACTATATAGAATTACAGACAACAATTCATTTTGTTTATTTTTCATGTTATTAACGGTAAATGGCAAAATATAAATTTTACATAATGGCAAACTTTTTTATATTTCTTGTAAGTTTCTTCTACAGAAGTTACATTTAGATAACATCAAAGAGGCACTCTAACTCTTAACTTCAGCAATTGTCACAGATCAAAATATAACTCTCAAATCTTTACGATTGTCTTAGGTTTTCAGAATATGAAAATGAGAGCATTTCTAATTTCTATATGCTGCTTTAATTGTATAATTAAAGCAATGAGTAATACATATGAACTGATTATTCTTTTTCAGAGGTTGATTATTATATTTCAGTCTACCTCCCTGATTTGACCTATGTTGATAATAAAATGACTCACACTGATCTGGATGGTCCATCTTCTACTATGTTCAATTCATTCTTTAAAAAATCTCTATCCAATGGTGATGGATGCATTCCTGATTCTAATAAAACAAAAATCACATCATATACTCTATGTGCTCTATCAGTATTTAATGAATTCGATATTCTTAAAGTTGCAATGTGCCAGAAGGCTAACTATCATTTTCCATAACTAAATTTAATAAAAATTCAGGGCTGAAAATTAGAAGGCTATTAAGATAGTAATTTGGACAAGTTAAACAAAAAAATAAAATATACATGTAGCTAGATACCATCTTGAGTTTGTTCATGGATATAATCTGTGAGTTATCCATCAGTCATTGACCCCTTGATTGAGTCTTGGGAAAACAATGTGTTGACATCAATAGAAAGTAATGTGAAATTTAAATGATGATTGAATGATGATTGATCATTTTTGGATCAATATGCTTTTTGGTAAGATTACTGTAAATTTCATAATTTATAAACTGTAATTTTGTGCTGTACCTAATTTTACTAATGCAAATACTTGTAAATGATCTATAATTTGTGCATTCTAGGGGACATTTTTGTTAATTGTTCATGACATAAATCATTAAAATACCATTCTTTTTTAATACAATGTAGAATCATTCTAATTCCATAAACTTATTGCTATGTATATTTTTAGGTCCTTTGTAATTTGTAACTATAGACTAAATTTTAGTTAAGAATAAACAAAAATAATAGCCTGCATAAACATAGTTGACTATAAACAGAACACACAATTCAATACCTGAATAAAGCAATAATTACTATAGTTACCTGATACCAATACAGATGCAGCATATTTGTAATTATTATATTCTAAGTATTCTCTAATAAGTTCATTTATCAACACGTTTTCATTACTAAGCTGTGGTTTATTTTCTGTTTGGTCATTTAAAGCAGTAAAGACTTCTGCTCTTATTCTGGCTTTAATTTGGCCTAAAACACCTCTATTTTCAAGGCTCTCTTTTAATACTGAAGAATAAAAAAACAGATGTATGAATATATACATTTGGACTCGGGGAAGTTCAGAGGATTCAGAAAATTAGAGTCAAGTTAATCCTTGAACTCATCCAATAAGAAGTGGTATTAGGTGTTACCGTGTTCTAAAAAGAGTAAGAATAATATTTGTATGTTGCAGTAGGTATAACCAGCCTAATTATTTCTTGTGGCAAACCTACTGGACGGTTTATCGATAGGGAAAAGGTACCTGATAACTGTGGTTAAAAATTGACAATCATGATTAACACCTGATATTTTAGTTACTTTAGTAACAGATTCTTATTGGACTGTCCTTTATCCATTACTGCCTGATCCTATACACAACTAATATGAAAAAAAAAGGTTTTCCCCCTATCTGGGTTCTAAGGCTTTTTTGGAATCCTTACCGTCTATTTTTCACTGCGATTCTTCTTTGTTCGCCAAAAGGAATCATTTCTTACCACATTCGACACAAATTTATAATAATCCAACACCATTTTCATGTAGAATTTTTCAATACAAAAACACAAACAGGATTGGTTTGAATTGATCCGCAATTATGAAACTCACACCTGCACAGGTTCATAGCTGCGATCAGCCTATATCCCATATATAGAATGGAATTTTACCGTAAATGATAATTTGTGCTGTACATCAATTAACGGACTTAACTTGTTATTTGATACCACTAAAGTTTTTATATTCAACATACATGAACAATTTTTACATAAAATCCAGGAAGTTATGGTCTGAAATGTGTGAATATCGAAAGGGTCCGATTTTCACGAAATTAGCTGGCAAAACCGTGTAACGGTGATATATTCGAACGTTTTTTTTAAATTGGATAATAACTGTGACATCTAGAGGGACCACAAGCTAGAAAACGCGATTTTTTGTACAATCAGGGGCCATAATTCAGAAAGATGCAATCCGATATTTGCAAATATCGAAAGGAACCGAGATCTTTGGGTTATAAAATTTTGACCTCTAGGATGTCTACAAGCTAAAAGCATAATTTTTTTAACAATCAGGGTCCATATTCCACGAAGTTTTGGTCCGATACATACCCTCTATCAATTTTCCACACCCACTCCAACAGACCAACAGACGACCTGGAGGTGAACCCTTGAGTGCATGAAAATAAGGTGCCCTACTTGTGGGAGGCAATTTCTCTGACTCTATTTTTTTACTAGTGACAATCATTACTTGATATTTCCCTTACCTTAGTGACACAAAAACTTCATCCTTCTTCCCTCCATACAATAAACAGAAAATATTTATATGTGTACTGCCCACCTCTTCAGTAGTAGCCTTTATATTTGAGACAATCTCTGCCAATTTGATCAGAGAAGGAGACTTGAGCAAACTTTTTATAATTACAGTTTTACCATGGCCAAAAGTACTGGAGGTTTTGTCACCCCAAGTCCAAGCATGGATAAATAGGATCAGTATTTTTTATGTCTGGATTGGTTAATTAATGTCTAATTTATAATTTAAATAACATTTCAGCCCTAAAGAAAGACCTGCAATAGGCAGATGTAGCTCTCGCATAATGTATGTTTAATTGATGTAGAGCACGAGTTTTCATTTACAGTAAAATTCCACTCCTAAATATGGAATATTGGCTGAGTGCAGCTATGAACCTGTGGCCTGTGACCTCTGGTCTGTGCCGGCGTGAGTTTCATAATCGCGGATCAATTAAAACAAATTTTATTTGTGTTTTTGTATTACACAATTCTACATGAAAATAGCGTTGGATTATTAGCAATGATTCCTTTTGGTAAACAAAGAAGAATGACAGTGAAAAATAGACGGTAAATATTCCAAAATAGCCTTAGAACCGAGGTATGTATAGGATCAGGTAGATAAGAAACCTCATCTCTCAACCTCTTCATATTTCAAGATAAGAGATGGTACTATATAGATCCAACTGGCAACCTCCAACACTAATCACATCGGGCTTCAAATCAAATAGGAAAAATTGACAATTTTTTCTTCAAAACAACTATTGATTATTGTTATTTATAACATTTCTGCCACATTCAACTACAATTAAGCATATAATTCTACATGACACAAGTACAAATCTCCTCTATTAAATCGAAGCGATAATAGATTGCATTCCCGACATTTTAAATTTGACATTTTTACCTCATAAAGGGTACAATAGCCAATCAAAGTACTAACCTGATCCGAGTTGCGCAGGACTAATACAGGATGTTTGTATCAATTTTAATACAAATTTACTTTATGAACAATATTTGCTGATAAACAAAAGTTGTTTCACGGACACTAGATTGGGCTGAGTATGTTTAATAAGTTCTAATACCGGTAGTATAAAATTAACTTATTTTTAAGATTTTATATGCATTAGTAAAGAAATTAAGTTTGCCAGGTGAAACTAAAAAAAAACAGGCACCCAATCATAGCTAAAAACAAATACATCATTATTTTTTTTATATCTCAATCTGATTATCTCCTAGTCGTAATACTAGCTAAGGATCAGGCACTGCTGAGGCAGTAACGGATAGAGGACAGAGTCCGATAAGAATCTGTTACTAAAGTAACTACTGATATTTCTGACTTGTTGGCGTCTTTCAAAACTGTCAAATTTCCACACAGTGCACCGAGTTGAACTGATTTGTCTCGACTTGTTTTTGTTTGACGTTTGTTTGACACTTGTTATTATTCTCACTGACAATTCGTCAATTGTGTGCAAATTTTGTCATATACCGAAGATTCTACAATGGTATTGGCAGCAATTAGTTTGCTATGATTAATTTAATCTCTAATGTAATCGATATTAGTTATTTTAAACGTGTAATAAGTAATATTTTGTCTCAAACCTTCTTTGAGTTCATCTGTAGAAGCCATTTCGGAGTAAGCGCTTGTGAAAAACGTAATGCACAATTACCTATGACGTATTCACAGCGATAGCCTTGATCATACCAGGCAGACCATACTTCAAGTTCAACAGAGCTGAACTAGTTCAACACAAGTCAAAACGGCACCATTTTCTATCAAATCTGTAATGTTGACATCTAATCGCCTTTGTGGAGTACTACAATTCACGCAATATCCAAAACCACCATTTTTTCAAATTTTATTTTTAACTTTTGTCATTTGTCATTTTTATTTTAAAGATTCTTTCCCACAAAAGTATAATCAGGTGGTTATTTCCAATAAAAGTATATATGGCGATTTTGGTATATATATCTTATTAGAAAAATATACTGGATTCCCTAAAAAAACACCCTTGGAGCACATTCCAAAACCGGCCACCCGACGATTAGGGATATTTGTTTGAGCATGGACCTTGTATTATAAGGTCCATGGTTTGAGTGATGTCAAAGGTTGCACGCAAAGATTGCATGTCTGATCTCACAGCATTAATTATTGGGCACTTGATAAATTTGATGGTGAGCTGAAACGATAACAGTTTCTGAGATAAAAAAACACAGAAGAAGACGTGGGCAGTGGATAATCTGACAATTTATAATTATATAGGCTTTGATATTTATGATAAAAGGAGAGTACTTAAATATATATAAAGACAACATCACCTTATATATTGTAATGTATATGCAATGAATTGTCAGGAAACACGTGGGCAAAGTCACGTGACACAAACACAACCTCTTTTTCATAGATTATTTATAGCAGGGGTATTCCCGCTCGAATACAATATTTTGAGAAGGATTTGAGGCAAAAGTTTTAAAATTTAATTAGTTTGAATATGTTTTTAGTCTAAATCTATCACAAACTCAATATCATCCAAAATCTTCAACATTGAAAAGTCGATTTATTTGTCAAATTAAATCAACATTCATGTTGTGATCTTACCGGGAAAAGATGGGCTTTTGATATCCAATATTTAAGACAAAATAAACATTTTACCATTGGTACACGAATCGTGTACCATAATGCGCTTCAGCCCCAGTTGTATCAAGAGACTCGAGGGACGAGGCTAGACACATTGCACCAAATCAAATGGCGTATGTAGACTGGAATAACCAGATGCTAGAAATTTGCACTCGCTTGAGACTGCTGGCTTATTTCGCCGAACATAACTGATTTGAAATTGGAGTAAAAACGGGAACCATTGAATGTAAATCAGTTTGTATACATTCATATTACAGTATTATATGCGTTGCGACCCACTTTTGTCAATTTCTAGGTCCCAAATGTCTAGCTCCTTTAAAGGGGCTAAATCGCTAATATTTGAGACCTAGAAATTGATACAAACGGGTCGCAACGCATATAATAATGTAATATGAATGTATATAAACTGATTTACATTCAATCTTTTCTGTTTGTATACATTCATATTACAGTATTATATGCGTTGCGACCCACTTTTGTCAATTTCTAGGTCCCAAATGTTTAGCTCCTTTAAAGGGGCTAAATCGCTAATATTTGAGACCTAGAAATTGATACAAACGGGTCGCAACGCATATAATAATGTAATATGAATGTATATAAACTGATTTACATTCAATCTTTTCTGTTTTCACTGTAATTTCTAATCATTTATGTTCGGCAAAATACGCCAGAAGTCTCAATTGAATGGCAATCTCTAGCGCCTGGTTATTCCAGTCTACACCGATAGTATTTATTGCACATGCTCTCCAGATAAGAATATGGCGTCACCGTTTGACTTGACTTGTGGAATATGCGTAGCCTGGTTTTTCAAGTCCCTTTTTACAAATGACGCTATAATGCATTATGGTACATAATTCGTGTACCAATGGGAAAATGTTTATTTTGTCTTAAATATTGGAAATCAGAAGCCCATCTCTTCCCGGTAAGATCACAACATCAATGTTGATTTAAATTGATAAATAATTTGTGTTTTCAATGTTGAAGATTTTGGATGATATTGAGTTAGAGACTTAGCTACTTTAACCTAAATCAGAGAGGTCTATCATTTTGTAAAGAGTATATGCCTAGCCGGTTTGCCATTGGATTGTATTAATATATAAACAGATTGATGTAATAATCTATTTAATATTCTGATATTTGTTGGGAACATATTTGCAGGCTTTACAATATTTATTTATTGTTTTTATTTTCTGATGAATTACATAATAATCATTGCATAGGATAAGATTGTGACAAAAACGAAAATGTACTCCAAATTGTAATTTTATATAAAACTAGAAGAATGCCCGGCTTCGCTCGGGGGTCATAACCCCAAATTTCAGACTCGGGGCAGACCTAGTGTAGCCGCCAACCCCGAACAGACAGACAGACAGACAAACGTTAGTCACAAATATTAGTATAGATAGATAAACCCAGTTCACTCATTTTAAATAATATGATGAAAACAATTATACAGGAACTTGTAAAAAAGTTACCTATATCTTATTTCAATACATCTTTAAATTAAAACAATCCCCAAATCCCATCCAAAGATACTTTATATACAGTAATAAAGGTGTGTATAATATATATATATATAGAAATTCATATATAAATATTGCATGATTAGTCATCATTTAATAATTCATAAAGAGGACTGTTTAAACTTTAAAGTCCATGTAATATCTTGTGGCATTTTGACACCTCCTCACCCATCAAATATTTTTTAACTAGCACATCCACTACATGTAGTCCTTCAGATATTTTGTTATGTTTACAATGCAGTTTTACATAGAATTATGTCAAAAATGGTGTGATGTGAAAAATATAATGCCAGTATATTGATAGGATGGTATTCTTCATCCTGTACTGGATAGTACTTTATAAAGTGAGATAACTTTCAACTGGCATACATAACAAATTAATTGTTTACAAATACTATGTGTCCCATTTCATTATTTTTTCTAATATAAAAGTTTTCATTTGTCACAAATTATTGCATTTATAATAATATGTCTATCACATTTTATTTAATTTTATAACATATATAATATTGGGTAAATTTATCCTGATTTGACCAAATTGTTTATTCAGTTTTTTCTAAAACCAGTTTAGCTGCTACAGCATCTTGTATTGCTAAACCTGAAAGTATAAATTAAAAGTTAATGATCTAGGAAGTCAGGAGGAGTTTTTGTAAAACCCCATAATAAGCAGGAGTTATAGTTATAATGATCAGCATATAACATCAAATTGAAATAGCTGCCTTCCACCCATCAGCTGAACACAAACGACAGATTATCATTATGACATTCATAATTGTGACCTTTTAATGTTTATAGATATAATAATTATAAAAAATAAAAGTACATTTGTATATTCAATTCCTGTATCAGTGAAAAATTGAGATTTACAAACTTGTTTAATCTGACAAAATGTATTTCACTATATTTCATTTTGGACAATGCCAGAAACTAATCTATCCAACAGCAATGAATTCAAGATCATCTTTGTAATAAAGAATCATAATCTAGAGTCTTAAAATAGCTGCTAACATAACTGTTCCTTAAAATAAGGAATACCTAATAGCAAAAACTGTAGTAGAATCTGTAGTTGCTTGACATACTGTTAATATTTTTCTACTGTTTTTATATAACCATTTTATAGGAATAAGGGACCATGTCACCGTTGTGATCAAAGAGTTAGAATTATGAGAATACTAAGCTCATTAAAGACAGAGTCTTGGTAAAGGCATAGGGTTCTTTGAGTAAAATGTTTTCGTATAAAAAGCCTTATTGACTCTTCAGGATTTTATTCTGAAGTGAAAGTAATTGGTTTGTTATTTGTCTTGGATAAATCTCATTTTGTGGATGTTAAAAAGAAGCTGTTGCCATGCAAGATATATGCCCACATTTTGCAAGAGATGGACAGAGAACAAGCCAAAAAGGCAATTTTCATACAATATGGGGCCATCATGATTTTACGGTCCGACATGTGTCAATATCAAAAGGGAACAAGATCTTTGAGATATAAACATACATTTTAGGTTTCATCAAAATCAGATAAAAATCGTAACCTTCAAAGGGTCAACAACCTTGGTATTACATGCTTTAACACTATTTGTGCAAAGGGAGCAGCCATTTTGAAGGGAAGTTTCAGTCAGATTTTCACAAAATTCAAACTTAATTGTAATTACAGTGTAATGGTGATATAAATGAAATGAAATGAAATGGGGTTTAACGTCCTACTGTGATATAAATGAAGGTTTTTTAAAATCAAATGGAGTAGTCATAAGCTAAAAACGTGATTTTTTTTGTACAATCAGGGGCCATAATTCTGGAATTTAAGGGACGAATAGTGCAAATAGTGTAAAAGTATGTAATACCAAGGTTGTGGATCCTCCAGAGGTCAAAATTTTTATCTGATTTTGATGTAGCTTAAAATATATGTTTATATCCCAGACGTATAAAAAAATCAACATGAAGTCACTGAAAACATATAACATACCTAATGATTTAAAAACTGTGAGTTGATCTCTTTTAGCTTGTTTTACCCCTAATATCATTTCTCCTAATTCTCCATAGATCTCAGCCTACAGGAAAAACATTCGATACATTTAGTATTAACAATTGTCAACAATTTCCTGTGATGTAATGAAATGTAACCAGATGACAGCAGTAAGCAAATCTCAACCTGACCAGTTATGCGTTAATATGAAATAAAATAATATTGCGACGAATAATTCATTGAAAGACCTTTATGTTGCTAACCTAACAAAAATGAAATTAAATGGGGTTTAACGTTCTACTGTTCTGCTCCGAACTGGGCTAATGAAGACGGGCGTACGCCATACAGTGTGTTATGAGGGAAATTTTGCCCGGACAGCGGCACTACAGCCTACTCTTATATCGAATTCCAATGTGTACATGGGACCTCAGTTTTTCGTCCCATCCAAATGACTAGACAGCTGTCCTTGTCAGGTCTCTGTCCTGCATCACTGACAAGGGGGAACCAGGCCAGAAAATCTGGATGAACTTTCTCGGCCAATGCAGGGATCGAACACCCGATCTCCAGGCTAGCAAGTCAGCGTCTTACCCACTTAGCCACTGTGACCCCTGCTAACCTAGCATGTACCCATATACCACTATCATATCCTTGGGTTTGTTTTTTTTTTTTTGATCACTTTCAATATTGTAGTCTACAACTGTAAATATATACCGGTATGTTCTTGTTAATGTCTTATACAAATGTCACCTTTATGATGATTCAAATAAACATCTTATTAATTGATACTTTACAATCAACATATTAGATTAACATTTTCCCAGTTAACAATGGATAAGAGTAACATTTAAGATGGTCAGAAAATTAAAGGGGCATTAGGTAAGATTAGACAAAAAGCTAACATTTCTCGCTATAATAGTTAAAAAATAGATAATGTAAACAGACCGAATATGCTGCAATTTCAGTCAAATTAATTCACTATAAATCAAGATATTAGCGATTTAATTTTAAGCTAGCCTCAATCAACATTACTACGGTTTGTACGATAATAAACAATGTCTTGATTATCCATTTTTACGTTAAATCAAGCACCAAAAAATGTATTCAAATTCACTAAATATCGCAAGCTAACAATGACATCGAGAGTTGATAATGGTCTTGCTAAGTCTAATTAATAATTTAGATAGCATTTCAGGCCTAAAGAAAGACCTGCAATAGGCAGATTTAGCTCTTGCACAATGCATGTTTAAACACTATGTTCAAAATTATTTACCTTGCTAATAATAATATCTCCACTCTCTTTAACAGCAGCATCTTTACTATCCACATATACTACGGCTGCCTGCATTATAGCTGGATCTATTTCATTCCAATCATATCTACAGGCTCCTACAGCTTAAAAATAAAATAATTATTATAACGTAATTTAAAAGCATAGAAAGGTGAAGTTGCTTAAAGACAGTGTTTTGATAGGTCATATTCAGGAGTAGCTTAGAAATTCATAGCTCCAGCATATTTTAATTATTGAAAATACACTCACTATATACTTACCTCGACCATCAGTTTAGAATTGTTAACTTGTTGTTAATGTTAACTTATTATTTACCCACAACTACTACCACGTTCCCCCTTCACCTGTTATGACCACTTATTCACCAAAACATTAGGAAATTTTGATTATTTGTTAAAGACATTATTTTATTCACCATTAATATGTGCACTAGGTTTAACCCATTCTAGTTTAATAACAGGTATAGGTGATGATGTGACTGTATTAATAACATCTGCTCCAGACACAGCCTCTTCTGCTGTTTTAAATGCTATACCATTCATTTCTTTAGCTAGTTTTTCTGCATTGGCAAAATTTCTACTCCATATTCTTACCTAAAATACAATGTTAGGAGCAAATAATACATCATCAATGATGGGTTTTTTATTGTTACACTATTGTATTTGTTAAAGGTCTTTCTTTTGTCGTCAGATGTTAGATTAACTATTAATTAGACATTCATTCACATAAGCATATAATCAACTCACTGTCATCGGATGGATTCAAACACCCTTGAGAATTTAAATTAATGATAAACAATGAATAATTGAGAATTAGTTTCGGTTGTCAAGTAACGATACTACAATATTAAATGATCTACGCTTCACCTTCAACCAGTCTCAATATATTCATTTTTCATTATCTATCTATTATAGCAAAAACGACTAGCACTTGATCTAAATCTTACATGATGCATCTTTAAATAAAGATATTATTCAAGTTTTTTAACTAATAAAAGCCATCTGCATACCATGCAAGACACGTTGATATAGAGAGAGAGAGAAATAGGGTTTAACGTCCACTCGACACAAACTAGGTCATTTCGGGACTAACATATGGTTCAATTTTATTTCAATACTTCACTTGCGCGTAGGGTCTTTAGCAATGGGAGGAAACCGGAGGACCCAGAGAAAGCCCACAAGGTTGGACAGGCGACTCTACTCCTTGTCATGTACAACCAGGGAATCGAAACCACGCCATGCAGTTGACTCAATGACAGACCGTATGATACAACGCACACATGCTAACAATTCGGCCATCCAACGTACCCCCCACATGTTGGTATAAATGGTTATAAAGAATGGATCTGTAGGGTCTGAAAGAGCACATATTTTTCTATTTATGTCCTCCCTAATTTTATACTAACAAGACGTGCACGTGTGTGTGTGTGTGTGTGTGTGTGTGGTATTGAACCTTTAACCTATAAGTAAAGATGACAAAAAATGTTAAATATATACATTGGTATGATTTATTCTTAATATAAAGAATTAGAGGACATATTCTTAACTATATGCTTTTCCTAGCTGAAACCCCCAAACAATCTGACTGTTAAAGGGTTAACAACTAAATAAAACTGAAAGCTACTAACAACAAAATTCCTAATAAAACATCTTTGTTGAGTTTCTTGGCATGTAAAAGAAAGCATATTAGAAAACTAAAAGTTATTCATAAACTTTGTTTATAGCATTATACCTCTTTGAATGGATATATTTTCCTCATGGCAATACAGTGAGATCTAGCCTGGACACCAGAACCAAGAATGGCTAAAACTTGTGGATCTGCAGGTGAAAGGTACTATACAAGATAAAAAAAAACTCCAGAGTTTAAACTAATTAATGTGATATTCAATATAGGACACTTAAATCTTTGAAGAAAATATTCTTATAACAATATATCTATTTTCATGTTCTATCATCAAAAATAGAAATAAAACCTAACCACCATAATCAATGAGAATATGTATGTTAAATATTATGGGGTATGATTTCAGTTTGAAAGAAGAGTGCTCATGTTATGTAGAACTTAAATTAAAATAAGTAAAGTGAACAAATTTGTTTGTGTGAAAAAATATTATTATAATTGTTAATTATTTACTTTAGCAGCTACAGCTGAGACTGCTGCTGTTCTCATTTCTGTTATAATATCACCATCCACCATCTGCAAAAAATGGCACTTTCATAATTAACAATGTATTGATTAGAGCTATTTAGATGTCAGATCTATCTTTCCAAAAATTGACCTAAAACAAAATAGTTTTTATGTTTATTATATTAGTCGAAATGGTTTAAACAAACAGTACTGAGAATCTATTAAATTGTTTCAAAGCAAATTAGTTCATTTGTGGGAGTTAACTGTCAGCTTACTATAGAGCATTGAATTAAAATAATAAAAAAAAAACGTTTTATTAGCTGTAACATATTTTTGATAAAAACAATGTTTAGAAAAGATCAAATAATAAAGATAAGTAACTAATAGTTATAATAAAATATAATAGCATACAGCTTTTGGTGCTCCATTTTTTGCATCAAATACCATAACAATGGCATAATGTGATGGTTCTTGTTGTAATGAATTATGTGGATAAAAACAGAGAAGTTTAGCTGCCAAAAGATTATCATATTGGCTATACACAGGCATAACACCCAAATAACTGAAATAAATAACACATGACAATATATTTGTTAAATACAAAATGCAATTTACATGCCACGAGAAGGTGTGCTGAAAAGAAATTAGTGGCTTTTAAGTTGTTTTTTTTAAAAAAAAACTGAAACAAGATAATGATCAAATTTTATACAAAATTATAATTATTATGATTCTTATATATTTAATTCCAATATGGTTATAGGGCCACTATGTACGAATGTTATTTCATATAGTAGAACATTAAAGAGCTAAATGTGCCTATTTTTTTTTTGGGGGGGGGGGGGGGGGCTTTAAATCAAATGTTATTTAAATTATTATTTAGACATCTATTTACAATAAAAGCCCAGATTCAACTCTCTGACCATTGGATGGCTTGGAAATTAATTGGATTAGACCATCTGCGACATTTAATCGGTAAACGAATAATGGAAAATCAAGACTACGCTATTCTTGTCAAAATTTCAAACATCCATAACTTCACTGAGAGTAAGGTAATTTGACTGACATTTTCGATATTTTCATTTTTTATTATCTACTTTCAAACTATAATAATGAGAACAACGAGTTCTTTATTTAAAGCTTAGACAATGCACAGTATATTTATCAGGCACATACTTAACATTTATATAAAGATAACAGAAAATTGTTACATGTGTATGTCCACTCATCTTGTAATTGCACATGACTATGAATAACTTAATCAGTCAGTACAATATGGTCAGTTGCTGTAGACTAGATAACTTTATAAAATAGTTTGGTACATGTAGGCTACATGAAGGCGATGTTGGGTAAGATAAAGAGCTGAAGACGACAGTTCTCACTATAATAGATAAAAATAGATAATGAAAAGAGAATATGCTGAAAATTTCAGTCAAATTACTTCACTCTGAGCCTAGATTGATGATACGATTAAAGTCTGGCCTCGATTGTCATTACTACTGTTGTTACAATAATAAAGTCTTGATTATACAGTTTTACGGTAACCACATCACCCACAAAATGTATTTAAATCTACTAAATATCGCAGCCATCTGATGGCATTGAGAGTTGATTTATTGTCTTGGTAAGTTAATTAATGTCTAATTAATAATTTACATAACATTTCAGGCCTAAAGAAAGACCTGCAATAGGCAGATTTAGCTCTTGCATAATGCCTATTTAAATATTGTATATGCATCATAGTTTGCTATGCCATTTTAAAATGAACAGAAATTTTGCATAGCAGTTGGGTTTAATGAAATCATATAATTATGCGGTAAGGTTTCACCTTTATTTCAATGGGAATTGGTTTATTATATATTAAGCTATGTACAGTACAGTTTGGACCATTGGGGTCAGTGTCGCACTCAGTGATATTGGAAATTAAGGGAGTTATAGGCAAGTAACTTTTTTGTAGTCAATTTGCTCAAACAACTACACTACTGTTGTTGGAGCAAGCGGAACCATTTCTACTAACGACGCCTACGCGCAAGCAAATTATTGAAATAAAATTGAACCATTAGTCCCGAATTGACCTAGTTTGTATCGAGTGGACGTTAAACCGTATTTATCTCTCTCTCTCTCTATGTATGAACTCCATATGGTATAGATAGATAATAACACTACTAATACTATAACTAATAGTAATTTAAAGATTGATAGATATATTACCAGGACAATTCATCAAGTCAATTGTCAATTAATTCAGCGTCTCTCTTACCCATCAGCTGGTTTAATCTTGACAATTGTCCTAACAGGTTGGTCTACACCAGATTCTTCCATTGTGGACACTTTAGACATGGCTTTTTCCATTTCGGGAATGAGATCTTCATATTTTAGGACGGATATAACAGTAGCAGACGAAATTTGTTTTACGCAGGCTGCCATTTTGTAAGATCACGTGACTCGTAAGAACAGATAACTCTTTACATCTTGCTGAAAACATGGCTACCGAGCGGGAAAGCGAAACTGTTCATTTGGTATTTATTCTTGTTTACCAAACTTATTAGTGCTTTAGAACAATTAAATTATGCCATTTCGAATTATGGTATATTAAGAAAGTATTAAATATTGATTCTGAGAATATTTTATTTGATACGAATGTTATTTTTATGTGTTTGCCACAAGTCTGTGACCAGCGACGAGATATTATTTTTTTTGTTTTTTGAGAAATTCATTTCATTCATGTTACCTCAGTTCCAGTATCTATAATGTTTAAAATTTCTGTGGAGAAGTTAAAGTTCTTTATCCCTTTTGTAGTTCACTGTAGTCTGTGTATCTTCATTAGTTACAGGTTTTAAAAAGAAGGTTCTATTCATTCCTGGTGCAGGACTTGAGGTTTGAGACTAGGCCTAGTTCAGCTCTGATTAGTTTGAACGACACGTAGGTCTCATGTCTCATTACACCTGCCCAGTACATTCAGGAACCGTCCTATTGAATCCTTGTCGAAAAAGAATCGGTCCCTAGTCAATTTTTACTGCTAAACGGTTGTACCATAGTGTGTCCTTCTGTGAATGCCTGAGTGTAAAGGAACATTTTAGTGAGAAAAAAAGACCATGCTTACTTCACTAGAGTCAGTATGTACAACACAACATGCTGAACGTACAGGGCGTATGTAGTAATGAGACCTACGTTCAGAGCTGAACTAGTTTGAGGCATGCTGTTGCTCTCGCACTCCATTGACCTTGCTCACCCAAAGCCCAATCTACTGGACTAGAAGCATATTTTATTGCTCTCCTCTGTCCTCTGTATTCACTGATTTTGCTCTCCCCAACTGCGTATTTTATTTCCATGAAAATTTTCCGAAATTGTCAAACATACATCGCTTGGCCCTGGCAGGTGATTTTCATGACTGATGTTTAGCCTATTTCTTATTTACTTTCCATTAATTAGTTCTGTACCGTTGTCAGTTGCGATCATACAATATTCCAATTTTTTATCGGTTAAGAATCAGTCACATCATTCACATAACGTGCATGACTGTCATCATGCCATTTTAATAATTTTCCAACCCAAAGAAACATTCATTGAGCAACAAATGTGCAATATACAACAAAGATATTCCTTCCTATCCTAAAGCGCTTCCTATTATTAAACACCAGTTAATTTATTTTCTGCTAATCCATAATGTACAACTTTTGTTAACGACTGAATTTTGAAATTCTATAAGATAGATCCATTAATATTATCCAGCCATCTTGCATTAAGATACTACGCTTTGAACTCTTACCTTATAAGACGCCAAGGATCTGCCATGTAAGGCATTTCATACTATAGGCTATTTTGTGGCTATAGGCTGTGCAAACTTATTGTCCTTTGTGTTGATTTGTGAAGCATGCACAAACACACTAGATTGACTCTTACAAGTCAAGAAATGGTATTTATAGAGATTTTTAACTAGTTTTCATTATCTGCCCCTGGAAGCGTAAAAAATTTCCCAATAATTTACTGGGTTTCTAGTTCAACAAGCCACCAGACTGCAGGAATGTATAAAATCTTGGGTAGACTTGTAGTGAAGATATACAGACCTAATTTAATACTGAACTAGTTGAGAAATTAAAAGACCTTATTTTCGACTTTCATTCAAAATTGACTAAAATCTCCTTTGACTAAACTGTATACAGTTCTTATGTGAGCTTATAAAGTTATTAATTTTTGTTTCATTGTATAATATGATCACAAAAGAATAACAACAGTTTAATTTCAATTGTTGTAGAATGTTGAAGGATGCCCAGATGGTAAACTTCAGGCAATATGGGGACTTGGTAACCAATTGTTTGCCTTTTCAGGAAGCACTCCAGACACACGAAGCAAAGGTAATGAATGCATTGTAGATGTACTTTAAACAGTTTGAATTAATTAAAGTTGCATTTATGGTACCAGTATTACTGATACTTGCTAACAGGTTAAAAAAGAAATATCTGTTGTCTTCTGCATCAGTATAGAGTCACGGCAATGGATAGACTATGGGTCAAAGTATTTACAATTTAAAAATGATTCAATATAGGTTATTTTGTTTTAAGTTAGCCGATATAAAAATACATATTTGATACTTATAGTTTCTATAACTTTTATTTTGATTGTAATAACAGGAAGACCAGCTGAAAACCGTGTCTCAAGTGATATCTGTGATGTAAGATGGAACACAGAAATGCACACTTTTATTACAAGAAAATTGGTAAATGAAACCCACAGTAAGTTATGTATGCTCAAAATAAAACCGATTAAGAAATGGAATCCATTGTAACGGTATGATAAATATTTAGGAAAGGATTGGAATAGCATCTTTTATGATCATACCGTTAAGTCTGACAAATTATCACTCTTTCATTTAAATGACAGAACGTTTGGCCTGATCTATAATTGTGTTCTGTTAAGTCAGAAATATGACATCTTTTGTTTAAATAGTGTATTTATTACAATATTTTTGTATTGTAGATGTATTTGTGATGTTACAAGGTCAAGTAGCTAGTTCCACAGGCTCCAACTTACAATCACAGTAAGTATTTTTTATATTCTTTACAATTTGAATGTAATTAAACTTCTGTCAGAAATAAATGAGATTGCATTTGATATGATTATTTGTTTTTGTAGAATGGTAATGAGTAGTAAACAGTACAGAGCTATACTAAAAGCTTGCAGCATGGAGTTAATGCACATGGCGGGTATGTAAAAGATAATTAAATAATTGCGCTAAAACATCCATATCATTGCTTTCATTTTATATGTCCAATTCAAAGTACAGAGCGAAATTTAGTAAAGAATTTCCAGTATTATTCAAAAGTAAATTCTTTGTTTTATGAAAAAGTCTAAATTATCATTTATTTTTATTATTACAGAAACATGTGAAGATTCAGATGAAAGAGAGTCATGTGAAGACCAGTTACAGATATTTGAAATGATTCAGCTTATTTGGGGATTTTGCCAGATCTTGTTTATAGAAGTAACACCTGGTAAGTTATCTTGATATAATATTAACAACAGATCTGATAATTGGTTAGGCACCTTTCTTTCCTATTTCAACTCTAACTTTGAACATATTTGCCACTATGTGTTCCAAGTCAGTCAAGTGGTAGTGAAATCACATCCCTTCAATGCTGACTTTATACATGTTCATCATTATGTTTTAAGTAATAACACACAAAGAGAATGTTTTAGTTTTGGAATAATGATGATTTATTTGTAATATCCCAATCTCTACATATCACCATTCTTTTGATATCTAGGGTACATTAAAGCCTGTTTATTTCTCTTTTTTACCTGTGTGCTTTTTTATCACTGTAAATGTTACTGTGTTAACATGTTTTGCAAGTGAAGGAAAGAAGTAATAGTTGATAAATATAGTGGGTAAATTACGGGAACTATGTTATATTTATAGCACGGCTTTCATGAGTTAACAGGTTTAACCAGAGGCCAAAGGCCGAGGGGTTAAACCTGTTAACGAATGAAGCATGCTATAAATGACTTGTAACATTGACAACTGCACAACATTCTTATTGTTATTGCACAGAAAACCCACCTCACTTCTCTATATGATTTCTACTAAAACTAGTGTAAACCAGCAAAAGTGCAATAACATTGAACATGTCTAGTTATTGCACAGTTAAGCTCCACCCAATCTACTAGAGGGAAAACAATCTGTTTATTCAACAAAGAGAACAAAGGAAGATTTCCCATCCATGTAACAAATTATGTTATTAAAGTTATCGTTTGATTGTATATTATTATTTTCTATTATAGATGGATTATTGTTGAACCAGTTATTAGATTGGATTAAGTGGCATTTTACAGATGGTAAAAGATTGGCTGTAGATATATTACATGATGAAGTACCTGCTGAACATCCTGCTTACTGGGAAGCTGTAAGTTATTATCTAGCTAATTTTAATGAAGATAATAGTTTTACTAAACTTGGAACAGAAAATGCTTAATTCATAATTACTAATGAACTGAACCCAGGATGGTTATGACAAGGTGAATTCAAATTGTTACAAATGTAGATTTTCAAAGAGTTAATTTACTATTCTGAATATTTTGTTTGTATACAGGGGGGTTGGATGGCCGAATGGTTAGCACGTGCGCGCACTGTATCATAAGGCCTGTCATTGAGTCGACTGGCATGGATTCGAATCCCTGGTTATACGTGACAAGGAGTAGGGTTGCCTGTCCGACCCCGTGGGTTTTCTCCGGGTCCTCCGGTTTCCTCCCACTGCTAAAGACCCCTATGCGCAAGCGAATTATTGAAATAAAATTAAACCATATGTTAGTCTCGAAATGACCTAGTTTGTCTCGAGTGGACGTTAAACCCCATTTCTCTCTCTCTCTCTTGTTTGTAAACTTGTGTGCATAGGGACTTCGAAAGAAAAAAAAAGCAAAATCTGATAGAAAAATACAAAAAAGTGATTAACTATCCTAAGAAAAAACTACAATATTAATGAACACAATAATTGTCTATTCTTTACACTGCTGCTAACCTCTAGTTATATTATTTTATTTGTTTCATTGCAGATTTTTCGTTTGTTGTTACAAGGTGAGGTTGACAGCGTAAGAAAATTACTGTCACTCAACAATTCTAATCAAAATGAAGCATTCCTCAGTGTTGATGAACTTTTAAGAAAAATGCCACAATGGGCGGTAAGTATTTATTTTATTCTATTTTTTGATACAAGATTTATCCTCTCATTGTATAAAAGTTTCTTTGCAACTACCTTTATTACTGAAAGATACATTATGGGAGATTTGATAAAGAGCTAGCAGTTCTCACTATAATAGTTAAAAACTAGATACTGTAAAGTGAATTTGCTGAGAATTTCAGTCAGATTGATCCACTATGAACCGAGATTTTAGCGATTGAATTTTCGGCCTAGCCTGGATCATCATTACTAAAGTCGATAGGATAAAAAACATAGTCTCAATTATCCATTTCATGATTAAATTATGAATGGAAGTCGAACAACAAATCGGAACCTAATCCAATAAATGTTGCACGCTAGCCATAGAGAGTTGATTATGGTATGGATAAGTTAATAAATGTCTAGTTAATAATTTAGATAACATTTCAGGCCTAAAGAAAGACCTGCAATAGGCAGATTTAGCTCTTGCATAATGTATGTTTACTGAAGGGATGGCCTGAAATTGTAGGAAAATTAAATGTTGATAACATATTATGTATATAATTCACAGCACTATCATCATGCCCTGTCTGCAGCTGAATTTGATATGAAATGGCGTCACTGGAGAGATGAATGTCAAAGACGTTTAGAAGAAGGACACTATGCAGCCTTTCCTAATCTAGAAACTTTAGTAATGGTAAGTCAACAAAAAATATTGAGAATTGTCATTCGACTTTTAAAAGATTTAGAATAATTAAAGGCAAATTTAAAAATAGGACTAGGGCAAATATTTGTCTAATATTCTTTTTGTCTTTCGTGATTAAGAAGGTTTTCTGGGAATATTAAACCCAGTGTATCTGGTTGTGAAATTAAACTTGTGTACCAAATGAATTTTATATTGGTAAGACTTATATAGTTCATAGTTAAATGTTTTTTGGGGTTTTTTTTTACCAGGTATTATGTGGTGATGAGAATGTGTTTACAGAAATGAAAGATATGTGTGGTAGTTGGTATCATTTATTAGTATCAAAGATGTTATATCAAAATCCTACTGTTAGAGCACCAGATCTTCATTACCATGCTGAGGTATGTCTTAATATTTTAAGTTTTCCTGAAAATAAAGGTTGTTATGTTAAACTTACATTGAACATATTGTTTAGCCGGGACAATACAAATTGTTGGCTGTGAGAACATCTCAGTGGAATGAAAAGTAGCAAAATGTGTTCTAGAAAGAGTAATACAACAGAAATGTTTATCTATGTAAGGGAGGCTCGCTAACCTGGAGGTCCCATGTTCGATCCCTGCGTTAGTGGTGCAGGACAGAGGGCCTGGCAAGGGATAACGTATTGTCGTTCGGATGGGGCCAAAAACCGAGGTCCTATGTACACATTGGCGTGCATGTAAAAGAACCCTTGAAAGTTTGAATTTGATATAAAAGTAGGTGGTAGTACCACTGTCTGGGCAAAATGTACCTTAGAGCACACTGTGTGGCGTATGCCTGTCTTCATTAGCCCAGTCGAAGCAGAACAGTAGGACGTTAAACCACATTTAATTCATCTATGTAAACTTAACTAAAATGAGAAATGGTATATTATGTTTTAGAAAGACATACTAAAAAAGCATTTGAGTTAAATTGCTCTGAAATCTTTATTGGACAGACAAAAGTGTTGTATTTTTCAATTAATGGGAAATTTTAATTCAAGATTTCAGAAAAGTAGTCATCATAATCAAAATGTTGATTATCCACAGTGTCTCATTGAATCCTTAAAACTGCTTAAACAACTTATTAATGATATACTACATTATATATTATAGGCTTGTATGGAAGAATTTAGTTTAAGTGGTACTAGAATAGGTGAATTAGATAATATATTATTAGCAGCTATACAGTTTGATATTCATCAAGTTATTAAAGACAGCAGGTAAAATTATTGATTTGATGGGGCACCTGTTTAATAGTGAAAGGTTTAGTTATTTCCGCAACTGGAAAATAACCTACTTGAACAGCTAAATCCATGTTATTAAATGTTTTGTATACAAAATGTTAGTATGGGCCAAACAAATCGTAATGATTTTCTGATAATTACTTAATGAGTTGTTACTGTTAATCAGATTTTAGTGTATTATAAATATTTCATTACCAACAAAAGTAAAAATATTTGACAACTCACGTTGACTGCCCGGACGATTTAGCTGTTGTGGAGTAACCTATCTTATTTCATATATAATACCAATTCACCCAATTTGTACGCAGGAAGGCATCTTAAAGGTAATAAATGGTACTTTTAAAAGAAATTATTGATCTTTAAATTTTGTTGTTTTTTTTCAGTGCTTTTCTTAGTACAGGAAGTTGGTGGTTTGTGTCACACTTTACAGATTTATTACATCATTGTGGTCAACTAGATACACAGAACTTGGCGTATGTTTTATTTTATTATATTATAACCATTAAATATCTTGAATCAAAGTGTTCTTGAATTAGGTTTTTGATTGGGTTAATGTCTCAGATTTCCACCTTCTTGCTCGTTGTTTTATTATATTGAATATTACATTCACAGATATGGGTCCAATCTACGAGAGTTCTTACTTTTAGAATATGCCTCAAGTCTTATGTCTCATAAAAGGTAATGTTTGTATTTACCATAATGTAGTAATCATTAATTGTCAATTTCATCGGTAAATACTGCACCAATTTGAAAATAACTAAACAATCTTATTATATATCAATATTTTGTGGAAAACCTTATTTTCTCAGTTAGAAATGCTTTATTACAATCAAGTTAAGTACTTATGCATGATTACATTTCTTTATTTTAAAAAAAAGCTATCTCTAACATTTTCTTCTATTACAGTTTATGGCAAGTTGGAATAGATTATTTAGATTATTGTTCAGTATTTGGCAGGTGAGTTGAAAGATATGTTCTCTTTTTGAACTGGAGGTCAAAGGTTACAGCTTATGCAGAGGTGTAGCTCACCGCCTGTAAATAATGTGGTAGCTTTAAGTTAGGTTTTTAAAAGAAAATGTATTCCCACAAATACCTGTGGAGTTTATTGTTGCAGCAAATATATGTTTGCTAGAAATTTGGATATATCCTCTTATCAATGGTCATGCAAAAAGTGTCAAAGGAATAGTTCTTTGATATATGAATAATGCAATTTTCAATGTTGGAATACTAAAGAATACGTTAATTGCAATACAAGAAAAATGAAAAAAATAATTATTAGCATCCTTATAAAGAAAATGTTATTTTATAGAGGATAATGATTTTAATATATTTTATCATTCAAGTAAAAGAGATTTGCTGATATTTGTGTTTATTTGTAGAACGTACATAACACAGTTTATAAATCATATGTCTCTAGACAATGAAAAGAAAGCTCATAAACTACTACATATATGTGAAGAAAGGAATATGCAGGAAGAAGGTGAGAAATAGATTTAGTTAATATTGTGAATATTGTAAACTCTAAAATTACATTTTACGTTTACTATATTGTAAAGTATTTTATAAGAATGTAAATTGTAGAAAAAGCCATGTTAATAAGAATCAACTAATTATCATTTGTTTGTTTGTTCAAATGACATGATGATAAAACTATATTTGTTTACTATTATATAGTTCAGACAATCTGTAAAGTTATGGGGATGAAGAGTTTAAGAAGAGGTAAATTAGGAGCAGCATTATCGTGGTTTTTACGATCAAGGGTGTGTAATATTAAATATTCAAACTTTTTTATGCAATAGAATATCCCATTTCTGTTTAGTTTAAATGAAAATGAAATGGGGGTTTAGGGTCCGAACTTCTTTTCTACAACAACCAGGCTAATAAAGACAAGCATTCACCATGGAGAGTGGTATGAGGGGAATTTTTGCCTGGCTGGCAATGCTACGGCCTACTCTTATTTCGAATTCCATCTGTCAAGGGTTCTTTTACATGTACACCAACTTGTACACACAACTTACAATCGAATGACTAGACTGTTCCTCCGTTGCTAGACCCTTCTTCCTGCACCACTGAAAAGGGGAAACCAAGCTGGAAAATCCTGAGATACTTTCTTGCCTTCCTCACTGAACCACTGTTGCTCCCTGTTTAGTTTAAATTTGAAATATAGGTGTTACAGATAATATTTTATATTTATTTAGGATGTGACAGCTACAAGTAAATTAACAGAAAGGTAAATGAAATGTATTTTCTATTAAATTTGTTATTACAGTAGTTGATGTAATAACTGCTTGTGTGCTTAATTTTTATTTTTTTTTTTTTTCAAACAATATTTTCAAAAATTGAAAGGGATTGAGGTACAGGCATGGCCTATATGACCTCTCGCATAAATCATTTATGAACATTATATGTGCTAATTAATGAAAATTCAAATATTTCTGGTTCAATCATCATTGTCTGTTATCCTTATATGCACAACATATTTATCAACAACTGAAAGTTTTCTTTTAATAATATTAACTTTTAGTTTTAAAAAATTATACAGATTAATAATTACCTGTTTTAATATTATACAGATTGATAATGGAGTACAGTAAAACGGGTCAATTTGAATATACAGATATATTAGACAATCTCGGACCAGCCATGTTTCTAAGCAACAGATTAACATTTTTAGGTATTATAACATTTACTTTATTAGCATAATTTGAATCTTTCATTTAGATTTTGATTCCTAAAATGTGTTTCTTTGGGTTATCAAATTTTACTTATTAGGGGTAATTTATGTGTGGCTAATAAAGTAAGTCTGATACATTATTCAGAAAGAATACATTGGCCTGCACAAAAAAAAAACATTGAAAGTTTGAATTTAGAGAGGAGCACTGTCTCGGCATAATTGCATAAGGATTATATGTCAAACCCAAAGTGGGTGTTAAGTCTCAATTCCTTCACCCCTTCACCCCCCCCCCCCCCCCCCCCCCTGTGTTTTGAAACAATAACACTCTGCCATCCATTTTATCTGCTATAGAAGTGCAAAATGTAGACATGAAAATAAAATGTAATTTGTATAAAATGTTCTGCTGATGCTTAAAATACAATTTATGGTTATATTTACAGTAAAATACAGAGAATTCCACAAATTATATGAAAGTGGTGAAACAAATAAAGCAGCATCTTTATTATTATCTTTATTGGAAGCCAGATTAGCTCCTAGAACGTAAGTTGAATTTGTTTTAGCTATATTATACGTCCTATTGTAATGCTAGCTACTTTACCATGTTCCATAATGACCGAATTGGACTGTTTTATGTTTTCAATATTATAAGGATATCTGGATGATCTTGACTCAACTAGATTGTAAAAGTCAATGTTGAGGTTGGAATGTCTGATACTGCCTACTGGCAGTCTTAGAAAAGGATATAAGAGATTTTCGATAGAAAAGGATATAAGAGATTTTCGATAGAAAAGTCATTCAAGTGTGCTGTCAGAAACATCAAATAAAGATCAACATTCAACATTTATGGAGCATTTTGAGTTCCAGCATGTCAAAGATTTAATATTCAGGAGACTTGAGCAAACATATTGGAGACTTCAAAATCCAAAATGGGTTTTCTACTACCAAACCACTCTTATGCCTGATTAAAGAATCTGACAGCATACTAGGATGTATTCATTAATTGTGTGGTGTAAATAATACATAAAATATATTTTGATTTTATTTCAGTTTCTGGATAACACTGTTTAAAGATGCTACACCGCTTCTTGAATCAGAAAAGGTATTTATTTGCTGTTGTATTCCAGTTTTGAAGATTCAATTCCATATAGATTAAACATAATTGTCAAGATAAATATTTTTATTTTAAATTATCTGTACAAATTGATGTAAATCTTTCAAATTTTTTTAGTATGGATGAATAAATATAGTGCAATTTATTTTCTGCTTTTTTAAGGTTATTTTTAATAGTGGTCAGACATATGTTTTAATGCATTGTTTAGAAGAATTGAGACATGAATTAGATGCTAAAACAGATATATCACAAGTGAGTTCTTAAAGGCTTTTAACTTTACTCTTTGTCAAACAGTTTTTTTGTGTGCCTGAATCTAGTGTGCACACTTAACCTTGATGAGCAAAAAAAAAATGTTCCTATCAACACCTTTGTTAAGAGTGTTGCTCAGTAAAAAAGCAGAAGCAAAATTAATGTTCCATTCTAAATTTTTATATAGTTTTTCTTGATGACTAGTTATGTTTGGAAAAAAAAAATATACCAAACTCCAAAAACATTTCAGAAATCCATTTGTCAATCTGATTAATAAAATACAGATCTATATTTCGTTTCATTTTTTTATGCTTTTGATGGCCTACACTACATGAAGATCTGACAGGTTGTAGTGGGAGGTCGTGTCAGAGGTCATATGAGCGGTTTTTGACCCTATGACGTCAAACATTGATTAATCAACCAGCGTTGACGCTTCTAGTGGTTTACCCACAGTTCTGTGCACAGGACGCCAAGAACTCGGCATAACACTATTAACAGACAGCTTCATTGTCTAATCCCTCACATTAACCTGAATGCAGCTTATATAACGACTCTTCCAGATTCTAGTGTAGTGAAGACAAGTCAAATAAAATTTTGAACAAAAAAAACGAAACGAACAGGATCCGTGTTTTAATCCGATTGTCTGATACCTAAATTTACATTTCTCAATCTCTGACCCTTTAACAGGGAGAGACATTTTTGTTTCTCATGATACACAGACAAAATGACGTAAATCATAGTTATAATTGTATAGCACATGGTCATAGACCATTATTAAAATCTGACTTTCTTTGATAAGTATAAGGTCACAATGTTGAAATTCTTGTTAGCAAAAAAGTGGTGGAAATGATATCAATAATTGCTGCCAGTAATAATTAATAACTGTTGATGACAGATAACAATTAGCACTAAATAGTCCTTATATGGCTGAATTTTGCCAAAGCCTGAATTTTGTGCAAGACTGAATTTTATGCAAGACTGGTTTTAGTTTTATCCAACGAAAATACAATTTTTATTTATATTCACTTTCCCCATTCAATATCAACTGTTAATTGTTTATTTACAGAAATTAACAGATATGGAAAAGGATAAATTGGATTTGCTTCAACTATGTTTAACAAGAAATTTATCAAAGGCTATTAAAGCTGAAGGTACAGTTAAAACATCTTGACAATCCTGTTATTGTGCTATAATTGATTATGTGAAATAAGCTATATTTTGTTATTGTGAAACTTGACTATAAGATCATATTGTGTGACCCAGAAACTGAAAGACATTATAATTTGTGAAAACAATGGAATTTTAAACTGGATTTCATATAACATGATACAAAGCATTTCACTGCCAAAACAATTCATTGAAAGAATCAAATCCTTTGTTAGAATCTACTGTTGTTGTATTATGTATATTGTAATCATGTTGTACAATTGTAAAATATAAAATAAAAAATCTGTATATTTCTACTTGTTTATTCTGTTGTCAATAATAACACAATTTATTGATGTTGTAATATACAATATGAACACTAATGTGATGCATTAGTAAAATTTATATTAAAAATATTACTGTGGTAAAAGTAATACCCAAAAGTGTGAACAACTAAAGAAATTAAGGCACTTATTAAAAGAATACAAAAAGGATAGATTGAGTTTCCCTACACTGCTAAATACCCCTACGTGAAAGAGAATTGTTGAAATAAACATGTACCCAAATAACCCAGTTTGTGTTGAGTGCATGTTAAACCTTATTTCTCTCTCACAACAACTGTTCATAAAACAAAGGGAAAATTGTTTTGTAAAAGTTTTTACAGATTTACAATGCAGGGTACTATTAAAATGGGTTCATCTGTCTATCCATCTCACTTTTTGGAACATAATTATTCTGCTTCTAATTCAGGTAGAATGATGCTTTTGGACGTTATAACTTTGATTCTAATTGAGTGATAGTGATGAAACTTGGTGCATTGTTTCATTGCATCAACAATGAGAAATGACTTAGGTTAAGTAGAGTGATAAGTAAATTGAATGCTCAGTGCTTTATTAAAATATAAATGTAAATACAAGTAACTAATGGGTATCACCTATTTATTTTAGAATCGAGGCTTCAAACATTGGCCTCACTTTTAGCTTATTTTGGTATATTAATTAGAGATTGGCTTTAAGATTTAACCAAGAAAAGAAAAAAAATTGACTAAGAAAGCTATTTGTGAATTGGATCTTGTAACTAGGTTTGTAATTGTTGCAATTAATCTCTTTGCTATAACTTGATCCATCAACACATAAACAGACTTTATATACTAAATATATATACCGGTATTTATAAGCACACAACTTTTTCGGTTTCAGCAAAATATGAAAGGTTTGATTTGTTTCAAAGATAACTTATAAGATGAGATATTTTGAGTACTGTATATTATACTCAAAATAAACAGAGTAAAAGAACATTCTTTTGCTGAACACAAATTAAATATGAGTAAGGGCATGGTTCAATAACATTGATGAATAGACAGAACATCCATAAATACAGAACACAGTTGTAACAATTAATCACACATAACAAAATACAATAAACAAAATTATGTTACAAGAGAATGAACATAAATAAATATTATATAAAGTAGTTAAAAGAATTCTGAATTTGAACAATAATCAGTTAGTAACAAACCATTAACTGGATTGAATCATCAAGGAATGTATATTGATTCTAAACGCATAATATAATATAAAAAGAACAATTAATCATATAGGGCTAGCACTTTGGCAGTCTTTGTTAAATGGTAAAAAATATAATTTTAATTTGACTAAAAGTCTACAGTTACAGTTTCACACACAGTCTGACAAAGTACCTTACTCAAATATGGTCAGTGCTGATCTTTTCGATAATAAGGAGCATCTAAGATTATTTTAAATATGGTATATAAATAATGTCCCTTTCTTTATCTAATTGTTTATTAATTTTTCAGCAATAATTATTTAAATATAACTGAATACAATAAAGATAATATATGCAGACCCTGTAACTAAACGTTACTAGAACAACATATGGTGTAGATATTAAAATTATATATATATATATATATCGGTAAATAAACTATAAAACAATGCTATCATCATTGTCTGGTTATAATATGATTAACAGTAACAAAACCAATACAACATGCAGACCATATTAATACCAAAATAATCCATATTTTATGTTTAAATGGCGAACAGTGACTTTTATAGTCATGACCACTGGTGCACACCTCATCTTTTCTAGCGTAATAAACCAATAGAGCTGGTATAACATATTGTATTCCTGCTCCAGCATAAGAACCCGTAATACCAACTAAAATTTCAACCTGATTCGTTCCAAATGCGATGGCCACGGAAGGTAGAAGGGCTAACAAAGGAAATAATAAATTGTGAACTGCCCAGTTGGTTTCTCTTTCTGGAGATGAGAACATAGTTTGTAGATTATTACGTAGAGTTATAGATATAATAGGAAAGTTTGTGCTTAGTGTAAATACAGGAAATAGTGCTAAAAAGTACTGAATAAATTTAATATTCGTAACAGAATTTGTCTCACAGTTAACATTGAAAAAATTCAATGTATAGAGATCTTCAAGGGTTGCAAATGCAAAAATACCCGTAAATGATAACAATGCATAGAATATGAGAATACATAGATAATCTACACCTAATACTTTATATAAACTGGATTTATCTTTGATTGGCGTTATAAGTGACGGTAAGGAATGGTGGCACATGAAGGAATACACACAGACGCCAAATAAATTTGGTATTCCTGCAAGGTTTCCTACGGCAGGACGTCCTTTACCTTCTCCATTACTTAATTTCATGACTGCTAATACTATCATGATTCCAAAAGCTATTTTAAAAAAAGAGAAAATTTAATTACAATATTATAATCTTGTCTTTTAATATTAAGCAAACAGCCATTCATTTCCATTTTGTCTGTTTAAGGGTATTATATAATTCTTTAATCTTGAATAGATTCATCTTTACAATAAGGCTATCAATAGCATTAGCCAACTGCATGGCACACCATCATTAAAAATGATAGAATCTTGAAAGAAAGTACTAGTTGTCCAGGTCAATTGATTCATAAACTTTACACTATGAAAGATGAATAAATAAAAAAAAATCCAATAAATAGTAACTGACTCACCAAGCCATCTAAAAATTGTTGTTATGATCTGTAAGTATTTGGTTTTCTGTACATTAAAAAATGTAAATGGTCCCAAACAAACTAGAAATATTGCCTATAAATAGAAAGGAGTGTCTTAACTTGATTTTATTACTCCTTTAACTTACCGTAATTATATCAACCTATCCATAATATCATGTATAATGTATTGAACGTTAACTTTGTAATAAACAACAACATAATATAATTCATTCAAATTATTTCTAAATTAAAGAATTGACATCAAGCATTTAAACTTTACAATGATTTTATGATTTAAAGGGAATATTAAATGGTGTAATATAAAGTATATAGGAATGAATTTAATAATTATGCTAATTTATTGAATTTCTCTTTAAACTGTGTCTTGAATTCATTTGGAACAGTCTAAAAATCTATCCTGAATTACAGGGATAGGTGCTTTCAAATTTAGCAACTGTTTCAGTTTAATTTCAGTTTAACTTGATTTGAATAAATATACACTAGGATACTGTCATCCAGATAATAATGGATGGACTGTGGACAACAGATGAAGTCTTTGTGTCAAGTGTTTCCTGAGTTCATGATATGCACTTGTAATTGGTGAAATTGTTTTTGGTTCAATAGACAATGGAAGTACAGGTCATTGACCTAATATGGTTTTATAACATAAGAGATCAATACTTATTGAAGAGTGAAGAGTATTGATGTGTTTAATAAAAAAGATTGAATAATGTATTGATAATAAATCAGTTGTTGTTTATGACTGAAGTAGATATGGGTGAGAGCTTTATGCATGATCAAAGTAGGTAATACATAGACTTTTTGACTTCCACATTTGGAAGATTGACCATTTGGTTTCCTACATGTCATGTATTGCAAACAGACAAACAAACCTTTTCTTTTATAAATTTATACATTTAAAACTCACCACAAACATTCTATAGACATTCATCCTTGTTATATTACTGTTATCCCAACATAAATCATCTTCACTTAATGTTTTATTGCAATCTGTATTATTAGCTAATCTATATGTACTGAAATTACAATATAAATAATTAATAAATAAGTGTTATGAAAAACAAATTACTTTTTATGAAAGATTAAGACAGAATATTTTATTTCTAAATGAAGGCACTTGAAAACATTGGGTTAGTTGAAAATGGAACAAATTAAACTTTCTATGTTTAAAAGCACTGAAATGTCAACTAATAGCCAGCAATACATGTATTGCTGCGTTAAATACTTGTCATGCCAGTAGTAGTGTTAAAAATACTTTAGTATAGTAAAAGTTACATACACCTTTAGTATAGTAAAAGTTACATACACCTTTAGTAAAAGTTACATACACCTTTAGTATAGTAAAAGTTACATACACCTTTAGTATAGTGAAAGTTACATGAACCTATAGTATAGAGAAAGTTATATATGCCTTAAAGTATATTGAAAGTTATATACACCTTAAGTATAGTGAAAGGAATTGAGATTAATATCTTGTCTACACAATATTTGTGAAAGTTTATGACTATGGTAACATGGTTTTTGCTGTGGTCAGGCTGGGGGGAGAATTTTGCCTGGGCAGCAATATTTCTGACTACACTTCATCAAATTCAAACTATCGGCGGTTCTTTTATGTGCATGTCAATGTCTTGACATCGACCTAAGTTTTACAAATTACTTGTCCGGTATACTTATGTTCCACTCAACCCATCCGGGGATTCAAACCCAGGACATTCTAGTCAAAAGTCATGTGTCCTTACAGCTGAGCTACCACAATCCCCTACTTTAGTATATTATGTGCATTACCAAATTTTACAGTTGACTAGATCAATGATTCCCACTAAGAAAATGGGTAAAACCATGTAACTCCAGTTGAGTATTCACAGGTGTCTACTGGTAAGTTCATAGCTATAATGTTTTTCTTTATTTAGTTTGAGTCACTTTATGTGCCTATGACTAGTCTGTGTCTACGGTTGTATGCCGTCTATGACTTGCCATGTTTATATTTTGCAAAATTCAAATATTTTTCATATATATTTAGCCAGGTTTGCTGTCGGCATAAAAAAGCTTGAGAACCACTGGACTATATCATGACTGATGTCGTAGTGGTAAACTCACCATGATACATCCCTAAGTGATTTGGGTACAGCAGCAGCATATATAGATAAATCTCCATATAAATAAATAACTATACAAGCATAGAATAACTTCTCTCCAACTAAATCATAAAAATAAACAAATAGAAAATAAATTCATTTCAAAATGCAATATACTATGTTTTACCTTCAAATATAATATTTCTTAGGAAACATCAAATCAAATATGGAAAGTGGCTTAACCTTACAATACATAAATTAAATAGTCAACATTTGTTTCAGATTTTCTTTAACTTAAAACCTTTTGTGATTGTTTGCTACAATAAGTGAGTTTTTAAATATGGTGCATTCACTGCATTGTAATATATAGTACATAATACTATTAACATACTATTACTGAACCTGGTATAGTCTCAGTAATATTTATAAATAGAAGTATAATGATGTAAATATCACAAACCTTTGTTGAAAAATATCTCTGCCATTCTTCCCTATAAGTGTAAGTCAAAAGAAAAAGTATCTTTTAATAGAGTCAACCTATTCATTTACAAAACAAAGATCTGTTATTATAGCCTTAAAGGGATACATGTTGATTTCTTTGTTAGTTTGTTTATTTCTTATATGGTTATATTTCTATTGAATTCTAATATTCATTTATGTTAAATTGGTTAAGTATGCTTAATTGGTTAAGTATGCTAAATTGGTTAAGTATGCTGAATTGGTTAAGAATGCTAAATTGGTTAAAAAATGCATTGCCTGTAGCTGGACTACTAGACTTTAGAATGTACACGATTTACACACTTGTAGTTTACAGTTTACTTACCAATTCAATCTTCTGTGTAATATCAAATACATTGCTACCATCTACAATATAAAATAGGTTTCTTATTAATTTTCAAAAAACAAAAAACAAACAGAAGTACATATTTGACTTGATACCACTTTACATTTGCATAACAATTTTTTTTATTTTTTGAAATAATGTTCACCTTGTATTGATCTTCTTGCTCCAAGAAGAGGGGAAGATACCCCATCTATTTCATTTAAACCAAGCTGAAATAAAACAAATACAATCCCCATTAAGAATAAGAAAAAAAAACCAAGACTTGGGTGGGGTTTTTTTTGTTGGGGGTATTAAAAAAAAACTTTAAAAGTTAAAGTTCCAACAGGACCCCATCTATTTCATTTAAACCAAGCTGAAATAAAACAAATACAATCCCCAATTAAGAATAAGAAAAAAAAAACCAAGACTTGGGTGGGGGTTTTTTTGTTGGGGGTATTAAAAAAAAACTTTAAAAGTTAAAGTTCCAACAGGACCCCATCTATTTCATTTAAACCAAGCTGAAATAAAACAAATACAATCCCCATTAAGAATAAGACAAAAAACAAGACTTGGGTGGGTTTTTTTTTTGTTGGGGGTATTAAAAAAAAACTTTAAAAGTTAAAGTTCCAACAGGACAAGGAGAGAAAAAAGGTCAATAATGTTTTGATGTTATATAAAACTTATAGATGGCTTCTAACTGTGCCGGTTTAAAGCTCTGCTGGTCCTAAGGCACATTTTGATAGGTGGCCTGAAAATACAGATATTTTTGGTTCACCGATAAAAGGAAGAAAGTTAAATTTAACAGAAAATTTATGACAAAAAAATTCATAACCATTTTTTTTGATAGTACTGTATATAAGATTACAGTAGCTAGATTACAACTTTTTTTTCTTTATTTTTTGGGGCCTGGATTTAGGACATGCCTTATTTGCTTAATGGTAAAACCGCCACTGGCTTCTAATACATAAATGTGAGCAAAGAGTTTATAATCTATCTACTCACAAAACAGCTGGTTTGAAAAGTTGAAAATGTAGCAATATTGTATAAGCTTACCTTTACTTTTGCATATTTTTCTTTGGCATTTGCAACTGACATGGCTTCAGCAACAAAAGTAACAGTTATGAAACTTAAGAAAAAAAAATACAAAATTTGTAGGCTTTGATTTATTTATATAATTACAGTCATTTGTTTACAATTACAGACACCAATCAAAATGGCCCACATATCTGACCACTTTTTAAAGTATAATTTGTGAACTATGGTGATTATGTGAGTTAATAAATAGTTTTTGATAAAATATTCAACATGAACAATATCGTCACGTCTTTTTATACCTAATCCTAAATCTAAAATAAATTCAACCAAACCCACCAAAGGAGGATCTTGTAGAGTTTTATATTTAAAACAAATTCTAAAAATCAATTACAGATTTAAAAAAATGAGTAATAGTATAAAAGATTACCTTGTCAATGCCAGAAATATGACTAGGATTAAACTAACTAGCCATCCAGCACTATGAAATGCTGCAGGCATAGTCAGAGCTCCTGTACCAACTATTAAATTGAACACATAAATAACACCCACCTAAATAATAGTAAATTGATATAAAAAAAATTAAAATTATTTCTGTGGTCAAATCAAAATCTCAAATCACACGACTATTAAAAAAATATAACTCCTATCCAAACTACACAAATTCTCTCAAACACTATAACCATATAAATAACACTTACTGTACAATATTTTATTGAGAAAAACAAACATAATATAGAGCTAGGCCTGACAAGTTGTACTTTCCAATGAATATTATTATAAATCTTTATTTCATTTCCCCTACGGCCCGGTACCGGTACTGTATTATAAATCTTTTTATATTTAATTACACAAACTACACAAATTCTCTCAAACACTATAACCATATAAATAACACTTACTGTACAATATTTTATTGAGAAAAACAAACATAATATAGAGCTAGGCCTGACAAGTTGTACTTTCCAATGAATATTATTATAAATCTTTATTTCATTTCCCCTACGGCCCGGTACCGGTACTGTATTATAAATCTTTTTATATTTAATTTTCAGGTCGGTGTTGTAAATCTTTATTTATTTAATTTCAGAATTCTAAATCTCAGAAAAGTAAAAAAAAAAGTTCAGTATTATAAATTTTTATTTTATGATCAGTAGTGGAATACCGCGTTTTATCAGTGAAATAAAAGTGTTATTCTACTGGCTAGTTGTATTTACCTAAAATGATTGTAAAATCATAAAATAAATAGAACATTTAAATTGTCGTTTAGTCGTGGCATTCGTGAAAATATAAGTTTTCTTGCTTCTCGATGAAATAAAATATGTTATTCACTCTAAAACAACAAATATCCTCTATGTATTTATTAATATTAATTTGTGCCTTGGGCCTTGTCAATTTTCAATGTTCAACTAAATAAAGAGAAAAGATTCTTATTGAAAATAAAATAAAAACATAATTACCAATGTGGAATATTGTGTACCACTTTCGGTTGTTTCGTCTGCCATTTTTTATATAATGAAATAAACACATGTACACAATCCAATGAACATCTGATGTATTATTTTAATCCATTTGACCACACACTCATGTGGCTGTCAACTTCCCTACCATCATGTTTACAGTCCTTACCACATGACAGATCATGTGATCACTAATTTTACTAAGGCTAGGGTCGGGTGTGGACTACAGCTGCGTTCATGTTTTTTTTTTAAGATAGGAAATGTTAATTTGTTTTATTGGCCATTGTGACAGTGTTCTGCGCTATTCTATAGACCTAGTCCTTACTTTTTGTGTCGCTAGCCATAATAGAAACCCATTTTTGCTACACGAAATCTATGTTTCAACGTATTGTTCATGATAACTATGACCGTCGCCCGAACATAGCAATTCAAAATGGTGTTGTACAGTTAGGCGACGAAAAACAAAATTTACATTTTTCGCAGTTTCATTAGCTCTTTCTAGGCCTAGTATAGATTGCCATTGATTTGAAGAGAAGTTGGTGGTGGTTCCTTAACCTAGACAAATATTGTGGTGAATATCAAGACAACATGACATGACAATTTTTGTTTTTGTGTCTTCGACTCAGTTCCAGTTACTCTTGAAACTGGACAGGACTGCTGAGGACAGGCATTAAAGTAGCTAAGTCTCTTACTGAACTCAATATCATCCAAAATCTTCAACATTGAAAACACGAATTATTTGTCAATTTAAATCAACATTGATGCTGTGATCTTACTGGAAAAAGATGGACTTCTGATATCACATATTTAAGACAAAATAAACATTTCACCATTGGTACACGAATTGTGTACCACAATGCGTTTCAGCCCCAGTTGTAACAAGAGACTCGAGGAACGAGGCTAGACACATTGCACCAAATCAAACGGCGTCGCCATATTCTTATCTGGAGATCATGCGCAATAAATACTATGTAGACTGGAATAGCCAGACGCTAGAAATTTGCATTCGATTGAGACTGCTGGCTTATTTCGCCGAACATAACTGATTTGAAATTAGATTTAAAACGGAAAACATTGAATGTAAATCAGTTTATATACATTCATATTACAGTATTATATGCGTTGCGACCCAATTGTGTCAATTTCTAGGTCACAAATGTTAGCGATTTAGCTCCTTTAATCTATCCTCTAAATACCAGTTCTAATATGCATTTTGCTAAAAAAAAAAAAATGAATAAATAAATAAACAAGATAACCTAAAGGACAAATTATTCTCCGCTAAGTGTAGTCGTGACGTCCTGAGGCATGCAAGGACAATTCTTGAATTTCTTCTGTTCAGAGTTTTAGTCTTACTCTTAGTTCCTTTTGAATGGTCTCATGAACAGAAGAAGTCCTGTGTTGACCGTTCCTGTCCGGGCAATATGAAATGAATGAAAATACCTCTCTAAGTTCAGCTTGTCCTATCTCTCCTGGAGTTTACCAACATGAAGGCCTGAATATTTGCTACTTATTAATTTTAATTTTTTTTCTTTAACTCTATTTTATATTGGAATTATAAATATGAACAATTTGTTGGATATTTTATTTTAATCAGATTGATGGAAGTAGGTCAATTTTGTACTTCAGAAATGACGTCTGATTATGCAATTCTTTTTCAAATCAAACAGAAGGATGCAGTCTAATGAAATTTTTATTTTGTTGTAATCGGTTGACTCGGGTATATAAAGCAATATTTAATTTTCTATTATCATATAATTTATGCCTGCCAACATTGTGATATACAGGTATTGCATTATAGTATTGATATTGAACAATATGTAAAACGTATTAACCAGTAGAAGTGTACTAAGTAATAGGGAAGAAACCCATCTCATCACAACATGGTTTAATTATATTCATTTGATCTACCTTTGATTTCAGAACTCCATTAAATTCATGAAAGGAAATGAAACAAGAACCAACTTAAAAAAGCTGTATATTTTGTTTAGAGACATACATGTATTGTGCTTGTCAGATTGTTATTGTTCAAAAAGATGCGTATTAATGAATATACAGTGATCTATGGAGATAAAGTTCTTCTTGTACCTTATGAGTCACATCATGTACCAAAGTAAGTAAGAGAAATAATTTATTTTTGTTAAGTCTTTTTAATCATTTTACCTAGCTATGTAATTTAAGTAGCAAGATTTGACAGTAGTGGCATCAAAATTGTATTTTACTAGTAATTATTGATGCATCCAGTTTGTATAGAGAATTCAATCAATAAGTGACTTGTTTATATAAAAATATGATTTTGAATAAAGGTATATGTCTGATAACTTTTGTGTGTAAATGAGTGTTGTATGGTAACGATGTGCCTGTTCAAATTTCAACTTTTTTCAGATACCATGCATGGATGCAGGGGAGAGAACTTCAACGCCTAACAGCATCAGAACCGCTTACGCTTGAAGAAGAATATCAGATGCAAAAGCACTGGAGGGAAGACAATGATAGTGAGTCTTATACTAAATTATATATAGATATATTTCTTATGGCATAGTGGCAGTCAAATGATAGATAAGCTACTGCCTTGTCAAAATTGCTACTAACTGCCCGTTTTTTTAATGCTACAATCATGTCTGATTTATCAATATTATTTAAGTTCCTTATCTCTTCTTTTCTTTCAGAATGTACATTTATAATTCTTGATTTGAAAAATTATCAACGTCATCAGGGAGGATTAAAAGATAAAGAAATTGGTAAGATTCTTATTTGCTTGAGACCTGGTGGTTTATTGTGTATTGAGGGTGTGAAATATAAATTTCATAAATGTGTAGAATGAAATGCTTAATAAAATTTATAGGTTTTTTTCACTGGTGGTGGGGGGAAACTAGGAAGTGGAGGGATCATATTCTACTAAAAAATTGAAATAAATTTTAGGAACAAACATAGTCTATTTAATCTCCGAATTGAGGGCCCCTGTAGCAGTCTTTTGAGACGCTTCTTATTTCATTTAAAATTTAAGAATAGCTGAAATATACATAATTTTAGTTGTACTCCAGCGTGACACAACTTTGTTGTTCATTTTCATCTCTGATAGCACTGTAAGTTCTGTTAGCAAGAGAGGATCATTTCGGTTCAATTGTATTTCAACAATTCACTTGTGCATAGAGGTCCTCAGCAGTGTGGGGAAACAGGAGGATCCGGAGAAAACCCACAAGGTTGGACAGGCGATCCTATTCCTTGTCACATACAACCAGGGAATGGAAACCACACCAGTTGACTCAATGACAGACCTTAACGCGCATATTACATGTACTTTTGAACCCATTTTCATCCATTTAGCTCTTTTAAATGGAGAGCTTTGACTAAATATGATTAGGGTATTTGTATAATGAAGATGTGAATTGTTTCTTTTTCAGATACCATGATAGGTGATGTTAATCTGTTTTTTAATGAAGGAGAAAGTCGAGATATAGCTGAAGTTGAAATAATGATAGCAGGTATAATAAATATAACAAATTACAATTAACTAGAAATGGAATGCATGTAAGCTGTTTTGTATTACATTTCTATGGTGCAGTTTTACTACCAGATACAAATCAACTCGTATTTTGATTTTGCAAATACAAAATACAAAAGCTATAATTTTACCATCTATATCAAGAAATAAAATTATTATTCTTTTTCTGAAAAAATGATTCAGCTCTGGTGTACACTTATGGTAAGATATTTATATATTTATGTTTAGATGCTGGTTCAAGAGGAAAGGGATTTGGTAAAGAAGCGTTAAACTCTATGATGAGATACGGTATGTATCGGTTTCTATTAACTCAAGTTTTTTTTTATCAAGATCTTGGTTCTCATCAAGTAATAGGACTAGGCTAAGAATTGATTCAGTATTATTAAGCATTCATTGCCAGGTTATTAAGGTTAAGAATCTCAAGGATGATTTGTAGTTTCAATTCTGTTTCCTTGTGATTTGTTGCCAGTCAACCTATCTTTTCTTATTTGCATTTTGATTGACTGGTGTGTGTATTTTAGGTATGGAAGTTCTACATGTAAATAAATATATTGCTAAAATTGGTTATAATAATCAACCTAGTCTTGGTATGTTTAAGAAATTTGGTTTTGAAGAGGTAAGCTAAATAAAATTGCATTTTATCTGAAATTTCAATCACAGTATTCCAAGAAGGAGTTATTATTATATCGTTTTTATACGCCCACATGTATTTTGGGTGTATATAGTCGTTGCCCCTGTCCATCCGCCCGCCCATCAACAGTTGGCTTGAGAACGCGATAGTGGCTAAGTTTTTAACAGGTTTTTTTTCAGATTCTGTTTGAAGCATTCTGGTTATAAGAGGACAAACTCTATCGATATTCAGTGATCTAAAACTTTCCATTCCCAAGTTATGCCCCTTTGCCGAAAACCTTGTGACTGTGATAAAGGCTACAGATTATAACAGATTCTTTTCAAATATGGTGTGAAGCATTGCGGTCATAAGAGGATGAAACCTATCAATAATCAGCATTCTGCAACCTTCCATACCAGAGTTACCCCACCACCTTTGCTGAAAACCTTTCGAACGCAACAGAGGCTTTAGTTTGGCACAGATTCTTTTCAGTTGCCGGATTATCAGATTGGGTCAGCATCAAAGTTTTCTTTTTGGATAAGCTGCTGTCAAGACATTGCTGCTTGTTGGGCATATTTCCACACTTTGCATGGCTAACTATAAGAACTGATTATGTCAAGTGCAGTAATAATTATTCCTTCAGATTTTCTTTAAGTTACTTATATTTATTGTTGTTGATATTTTAGGTATCTAGAAGTGATGTGTTTGAAGAGGTGACACTTGAACTTTATCTTACAGATGAAGATAAAATGATGATATTAGAAAATACACCAGTTTATAGAATAGATGTTCAGGGCAGTTAATACTATATAACATAATGTTTTTGTGGTTATAGCATGTTCTGTCTTCACTCTCTTGTGATAATATAGACAAACTTCTATCAGTTGTACTTCCTAATCATTACACTAGTCACTGTCTCTATCATTGAAAGTGTGCTGTTTAAGATTAAGAGGTCTGTTAAAGATGTGCTGTACTATAATTAAGATTATATCATAATAATGCACAAGCTAGATTGACATTACGGATATAGATCTTCATGAGCCCAGGTTATTTTTTCTAGGCGAATATGTTTAGAAAAACTCAGGTTTCTCTTTTGTAAGTATATATATGCAAGTATTTGTATATAATATTGTATTGTGTATATAACATGTTCAATGAATGAAACCAGATTATGTTTATTGTTATGATACAATAAAGAGATTATAGAAACCAGTTGATGTTTTCTACAAAATTTGATATACTGATAAGCAATGAAAATGCACAACTAATTTGACTGAATGTGCTGGTGAAATGTGATCTTTGGCACAATTGTAGGCTGGCCATTTACCAAAAAAAAAAATAACATTTACCAACATCCCACAGATGCCATAAGAACATATCTTTACAGAGAAACATAGCTGCCAGGGCTAAAAATAAGATGTCAATAACATGTGGACTTATATTGTTGTTGCCCCTGTCCGTCCACAATTTGTTTGTGGACACTCGACAGGTCAAAATTTTTATCCGATTTTGACGAAACTTGAAATATAGGTTTGTCTCTTAATGATCTTGGTTTCTTTCGATATTGGCATGTATGAGACCATAACTTCATGGATTATGGCCCCTGATTGTACGAAAAATCACGTTTTTAGCTTGTGGTCACTCAAGGGGTCACAATTTTCATCTGATTTTGATAAAACACGAAATGGATGTTTATAACCCAAAGATCATGGTTCCCTGCGATATCGGATCGTAACTTCCTGAATTATGGCCCCCGATTGTATGATAAATTGCATTTTTAACTTGTGGTCCCTCCAAAGGTCACAATTATTATTCGATTTATCACCGTTCAGTTCGAATTTCGTGAAAATCGGACCAAAACTGGCGGACAAAATGGCCGCCCCATGTACGCAAATAGTGTAAACAATGGTATAGCAAGGTTGCGGACCCCTAGAGGCCACAATTTTGATCTGATTTTGATGACACTTTAATTTAATGTTTTTATCACAAAGCTCTTGGTTCCGTTCTATAATCGCACATATCCGAATGTAACTTCCTGGATTATGGCCCCTGATTGTTAAAAAAATCGTATTTTTTAGCTTGTGGACCCGCTAAAAGTCACAATTTGTATTCAGTTTTTGAAAAAAAGTTTAAATATATCACCGTTACACGTCAATTAAGGTGGAGTTCGAATTTCGTAGAAATCTGACTGAAACTGCCAGGCAAAATGGACGCTCCTTGTACGCAAATAATGTAAAATTATGTAATACCAAGTTTGTGGACACTCTAGAAGTCACAATTTTTATCCGATTTTGATGAAACTTGAAATGTATGTTTATAATCCAAAAAGAGAGAGAGAAATGGGGTTTAACATCCACTCGACTCAAACTAGGTAATTTCGGGACTTACACTTATTCAATAATTCAATACTCCTCGTCACGTACAACCGGAGAATTGAAACCATGTCAGTTGACTCAATGACAGGGGGGGTTGGATGGCTGAATGGTTAGCGCGCGCGCGCTGTATCATAAAGTCTGTCATTGAGTCGACTGGCGTGGTTTCGAATCCCCAGTTGTACATGACAAGGAGTAGGGTCGCCTGTCCAACCTCGTGGGTTTTCTCCGGTTTCCTCCCACTGCTAAAGACCCCTATGCGCAAGCGAATGATTGAAATAAAATTAAAACCATATGTTAGTCCCAAAATGACCTAGTTTGTGTCGAGTGGACGTTAAACCCCATTTCTCTCTCTCTCAATGACAGACCTTATGATACAGCGTGCATGTGCTAACCATTCGGCCATCCAACCCCCCTATAATCCAAAGATCCTGGTTCTTTTTGATATTAGCAGATATCAGACAATAACTTCTTGATTGTACGAAAAATCACATTTTTAGCTTGTGGACGGTTGAGTTTGAATTTCGTGAAAATCAACCCAAAAATGTCCAACAAAATGGCCGCTCCTTGTACAAGTATGTAATACGAAGGTTGTAGACCTCTAGAGGTCACAATTTTTGTCTGATTTGGATGAAACTTAAAATTTATCTTTATATTGCAAAGATCTCAGTCCCTTTTGATATTCGTGCATTTCAAACCATAACTTCTTGGATTCTGATTGTATAGAAAATCGCGTTTTTTTGTTGTTTTTTAAGCTTGTTCTCTATCCATCTCTTGTAAAATTTGGGCGTATCATGCCTGGCAACCGCTGGTTATCCAATTTTGATGAAACTTAATACATGTGTTTATATCCCAAATATCTCAGTTCCTTTCGATATACACGCATAACATGCACAACGGGGGGTAACTTCTTGGATTATGGCCCTTGATTGTACGAAGAAATAGCAATTTTAACTTGAGAGGTCAGAATTTTTATCTGATTCTGAAAATCGTTTAAATATATCATCATTACACCCTGATGATGATCGAGTTCAAATTGCCTGTCGAAATGGCCTCTTCTTGAATGCAAATTGTGTAAAAGTATGTAACACCAAAGTTGTGGACCTGCTAAAGGTCACAATTTTGTCCGATTTTGATGAAACTTAAAATATATGTTTAAATCTCAAATATCTCAGTTCCTTTAAATATTTGTACATATCAGACTATAACTTGTACGCAAAATCACATCCTCTAACAACACAATTTTTATCAGATCTTAAAAGAACATTTAAATATAACACCATAATGAAGGTTGAGTTTGAATTTTGTGAAAAATTGAATCGAAACTTCCCGACATAATGGTCTTTCCTTTCCACAAATTGGGTAAAAGTATGTAAATACGAAGGTTGTGAATCCTCTAGAGATCACAATTTTTGTCCGATTTGATGAAAATATATCTTTATATCCCAAAGATCTCAGTCCCTTTCAATATTCGCGCAGTTCAGACCATAATTTCTTGGATTGCGGCCCCTGATTGTACGAAAAATCACTTTTCTCTGTCCATCTCTTGCAAAATGTGGGCATATCTTGCCTGGCAATCACTGGATTTCTTGTCAGTTCTGCTAGTTAATCCAACCTACCTGTTTTGTTGTTGAATAATGAAGTGCTTCAGCTATTTGCAGGGTTGGGTGGGCAAGTGGTGTAACATGCTCTGTAGTTCAAAAAATCTGATATCTATGCAAGTCATTGATTCGGTCCAGGATTTTTTTGTGACAAGGAGTAGGGTCGCCAGCTTAATCTTTTTTTGGATACTATGACTTTAAATAACCACAATATATGAAAATTATGTTGATATGATTTATTTTTTGTTATAAAAGCTGATATGCATAATTTATTCTAATAATACATACATACAATAATCAGACTACAATCCTAGTTCATGATATAACATAAGATTATCAAAAATTTGTTAGTATGTGTTATACAGCCTAAAATTATGAAATGCAATAGAAAATTTGTTTTTGACAAAGAAAGCATTATCTACAAAATTTATAATATTCTTAATAAAAAGGAGATCAAGCCAGATAAAAAGTCAAATATAGAGTTTAGGACCACACCCTGTAAAACAATCTTTAAAAAAAACCCCAAATATCATTTTATAAATAATTCAAATCAATCAACCCTAACGTAGGGTATTGACTTTGGCCATTTGAAGTCCTGAACTGTTTTTATTTCCATTGTGCCAACATAGATTTCTCACTGCATTCTACATATTGCAAAAGTTAAGTCTCAAAAAGATGACGAGTCCAAAAGTGGTTTAAATCCGTTCAATATTTAAAAGTTATGAACTGACAATTTCGTAACATTCTGCAGATGATATAAACAGGCCAGTACCACGTGTTGGTAAATTTTTTCAACGGCCTCTTTTTAATCAGATTGAATCCAAGCCAACTAAGATTATCTATGCAGATTATTGTGACCGCCGCATGCGGTAATGCACAATTGACCCAATATACCAGGAAAACTAAAATTCAAAAAAGGCATATCATATCATTTGAATCACATTATTTCACATGAAGTTAATATGTTTTAAAACTAAATAAATATCAATAAATTTATTGCAAATAGAAATATCAGTAGAACTAGATTGACTGAGACAGATATGAAGAGTAATTATTAAAAAAAAAAAGAACCGAACCAGATTCATTACAAGTTCATTCCTACATGTATAATATAAATATAGATATATGATAATACATAATTGAATAGAAAAACAGATACGAGGAAAAAAAAACAACAATGACAATTTTGAATTTCAGAAAATAGAAAGACTGATTAGTAAATAATACATGTAGGCATAGTATTTGCATAGTAATTAATTACACTTAAATAATGTTAGTCTTTTGATCTTGTGTCATATTTCAATAAATATTATTGACTAGTAAGTTACACTAAATTAAATATATCACATGTTCTAACTACACTATTTATAACATGAGTTCACAAACTTTAGTCTATTGTACATACAGGTATATAAAATAAAGTATTGAAGTACTGCATGCATTCAAATAAAGGTGTGGTTCTTTTTTACACCTACACATATCATATAAAACTCCATACAAAGCTTATAATAGTTAAGGCTGTACCTGTTTAAGGCAGTTTAAAAAAATCTTGATTCATCATGTCAACTATCTCTATCACGTCATGTAGAAATAACCATGATGGGGCATGTGCTACAATCTTAATTTACTTAAAATAAATTTTGTAATATAATTTATTTTGTCTGTAGGCTCTACAGGTCTATATAGATGTTCATGAATACATTAGGTAAAGCAGATTTGTAATCACTCAGCAGTTTATACTGGTCTTAGCACAGACAAAGCAAATCTATAATCACAGTCATTTCATATATTCAATAACATAAAATTGGTTTATGTAATACAGTATTTGCCACAAAATAAAAGAAAGAGAAATAACTGACTCTGCCAATACATTTAATGATGTGTTTACGTTGGCAATGAGGCACAAATTTAATATCTATACCAAGTACAATTACCCTACCTTTTGTATACATATACATGTAATTGTTACTAATAATATTAACATTTTACCTCAGAAAATTTAATGACATATCCATATTTTATAGCTTTTAAGCACTCGCCAGTTATTTATCAGAATATCTGATTTCAAAACCATATAAATGAGTACTGGTATAGATTGGGAATTGTTTTAAAATCAGTTAAACATTAAATTTCGTAACAAAGTATTGTTCATTGTAATTTCATTAAACCTGCGACTGTAATAAAACTTAAAAAGATATTTATTGTTAAAAAACCTAAAATTATGTAGGATCACATTTACATTTGCAAAATCTTTGTCACAACAATTAGTCTTGATAACTCCAGACCAAAATTTCTCAAGTGTCAGTTAAAATGAGGCTATTTGGTATGGACTAATACAGGTGGACAAAACTGGAGATAATTCCGGCTGGAGCTACACCACAACCGTATTATCTGCAGTAATTTGAGTATCACTTCAGTCAGTTATGTATCATAATAAATACAACAGAGCACCAACTATTTACAACTATCAAGTGGAAAATTACGAATATTCAATCCCTAATCAACAATGGCTTGTAATGGAATGCGATCAGCGAACATGGCTATTTGTATTTTCATTTGTAGTGTTAAAGAAATACGGTTTAATTCAATGTCTACTCAACACAAACTAGGTCATTTTGGGACTAAAATATGTCAGCACATCTTTAGTCCAATAATTCTTTTGTGCACACTAATCTTCAGTGGGTGTGGAAACCGGATAAAAACTTTCATGGTTAGGCAGGGAACCTTACAATATCTTTCACACAGCTATATTGCAGATGCCAGTGAAAGGGCAAATACTTTGTAGCACTTGTGTGACCATTAATATACTGGTACATGTAATATACTGGTCATTAAAATATAAGTATATATATAATTTTTTTGCTCAAAATGCAAATGAAAGGCACAATAATTAATTATATACAGTAAATTTAAAACATAGAAGGGGACTTATCAGGCCCCCTATACACCTTCTAGCAGCAAAGTCGTTAGTGCTAAATCTAAAATCATTGTCAAAAAATCCCACAGTACAAGTTTTAACAAATCTATTATGAACTCTGAAGTCTGTTTGAACTATAGAAAGTTTTAGAAGTAAATATGTAAATGGAAAAATATCTTGACAAAATGCGTTTGATGAAATATATGATCCTAATATTCAAATGGATTCCCCTTATGCCCTGTGAGCAATCCCATCATGTTTTTAAATGCTTCCATTGAGAACTTTTTTCTGCATCACATTCACAAGCTTTTACAGTCCAAATTTGAACAGAAACACAACTCCAAATGAACAATGCTACCTTGTTTTTAAAAATTCCATCAAGAACTTAACATGCTTTACAAGTCAAAATATAACCAAAAATATAAATTGGCAGAACAAGTTCAAAATTTTACGTAACGAAAATGTAAAAAAATCATCGTTATACCCTAAAACTCCATTAAGAATTGTCCTGTATTCTGTTCAAGAACTTTCATAAATTTGAATGTAAATGGGGACAGGACACTACAATTTACTTAGTCTAAAACTTTTGATTTCACTTTAGGTCTTACTTTCGATCAAATAAACAATCCCTGCAAATGTAGAGCGTTCACATGGAAAGTTGGATGGACAGATGGATACAGTTGACAACAATATGCATCCACATTAAATATGGGCATGCAAAAACAATATATCACTTTTAACAGGTAAGTAAAATATAAACTGAGCAAAGTCTAAAACAGCAAGCTATGTAAATAATCATCCTAATTTACCCAATGTATTTACCTTCAATTACACTTTTCAAAAAACATGGTCCATATCACTAACTTGTGTATAAAAAAGATTTCTCCATTACATGTAAGTGCATCCAGATTATACCTGTAAGCACTGATATTCGGAGAACCAGTAAATAGTTATGTACAGTAGTTATCTATAATATATAATGATGATATATCACTTCACATCCATTGAACTTTTCTAGGAACTTAAAATCTCTAGGCATGTTTATTAAAGTTTGTTGTACTTTATTGTTCACTAGTACCGGTACTTTAAGTGTGGTTTAATGGTCGAGAGCGAGGCATTCGTGTTGTTTCGATATATTACCCAACATCTTAAGCTCGAGACCATTAAACAACTTAAAATACAGACACTCACATGTATTTTGCAATGATATATGTCACACGGGTCCAAAATTTCAACTAGTATAAATAATATATGCTTGGCACACTGCCCGTACCATTATTTGAAATGATGGTTTGCCAACATCAAAGGATGACATCACATCTGTATTTTAATAACAACTAATTTAACCACTAACAATACATGTGTGATAATCAGCACAGCATGACCATTTTCATAGTGCATCGTCCAGTTATGAAAATACTTGTACAAGAATCAATAAAATAACCACTGCCTAAAGTATTTGACTATAAAAAGGTAAATCACTATCTTGTGATTGATCCATATGTTGTTGATTTTGTCGATTATAAGGTTGTTCTAATGGTGGTGTTCCATGGTGGCGGTTTAATGGAACACGATATGCCATTAAAGTTGAATTTGAAGAAATCTGTGGTGCATTTCGTTGTAATCGAATAGGAAGAGTGTTGTATATTGAGGTAGGTATTGGTCGATACTGGGAACCGACTGTAGAATGATGATCATATTCTTGTATACCATGATGATGTATGTTGGAGCGTATAAGATGTGGTTGATTTGATGCTGACATATTAGCACTAAATGATGACATATTATGATGATGATTGACATCAGGTGAAAATGATGCACCTTGATCAGCTGGTTGTAAGTTACTATCAGCTGCAGCATGAGTATAAGTATCAAGATCAGGTTCACCATTTCTGTCTGGTCTGACTGTTGAAGGCAAGAGAATGTTTTTCCATACATTAGCATTTGGTTCACTAATTGATCTATTTACACCCCTAGTTTCAGGTGATGTGCTTAAAGCACTTGTTGCCCCTTCTTCCAGATGCGATTCATTGACTGATCTTTGTGATGATCTGCGTTTGACCGGTCTAAAAGCAGATCTAGGTGAACCTATAGTTATTGGTAATGAAGGAGAAATATTTATATCAGAATTCAAAGCGTTAAATGCCGGTCTCTTATCATTTATGGGCATTACATTCATGTCACAAGCTTGTTCCCCAGGTGCGCCTACGCATTCATCATGATTTTCAGGAATATTGTTCTGCTCAACAACCAAATTCTGATTAGGAACTGCTGGTAACTCAGGCAAATTTTGTGTCAGAGATCTATTAATCTGTGGTTGGGGATATCTGTCCGGGTATGCACGAATGTTTAACACATTTGGATTAACCGAAGTAATGTCATAACCTCTGCCAAGAGGGGAGGCAGTGATATAATTCTTAAATGAAAGTCTTGGAGTGGATGGGATACTACTGTCAGTTTCTGTTACATTTTGAATTTGTTCAGCTTCTTCATTTTGAAGATTTTGTCTGAGTTCATGACTAAGCTCATCTGACTGGCGAGGTTCACTATAACCAACATTTCCTCGGTTTCTTTGTGAGTCTCTTCTACTGAGCTGTGGTCGATCCTGAATCTCCATGTACAAAGGACTAATAAGACGTCTTTGTAACTGAAACTCTTCATTTGCTTTGTCTTCTTCATAATTCCTGATCCTCTCTTTCGGAAGTGGTGGCTGTTTAATAGCATCTGTATAAGATGGCAGTTCATCTTCATTGAATGCTGTGGGTAGTAACTCAGCATTGGCCTCAACTTCACATGGAGGTCGTGACTTAGGTCGACGTGAACGATGAGGTAAAGACCTATAACTCTGTTGTTTAGTTTTTCTCTGATCATCTAAAGAATCTTTATGTACCGGTACTGAGCATTCACTTCTTTGTTTTGGCCCTGGTGGGTTACCCTGACTGTGCCGTCGACTGTGTTTTTTCTCACTTCTACAACCACGGTTTTGCTGATCAGAACTAGAACGTCTGCTGCTGCTAGAGTCTTTCCTTCTGGTTCTGTCTATAGTTCCTAATTTGGGGGTTTCTTTGCTATTTGGTCCTCCCGCAGATCCACTAGAAATTTCTCTTTCTTGTAAGTCAGATCTACTGTTGGTACTTGCTCGTAAATAGTCACTTTGATTATTTGTTCTTCTAGATGAACTCCATGTCATTTTATATTTTTTACTTTTCCGTTGATAAAAACCATCATGTCTAGCACATAAAAATAACGCTGTGATATTACCCATCAAACTTAATAAAGAAAATGTTAAAGCTGCCACATGAACATAAAATGTTGATTTTTGGTGATTGACTTTGAAATATGCGACATGTTTATAAAAGTTGCTGCTGTAATCTAGTCCAGCAGACGACATAACAATCATAATAAGAGACATAACAATAGCAAAACAAGAACAACCAAAATAACATTTCACACTTTTAGCGCCTTTAAATTGTGATGATATTATACCACTGATACCTGCCGCAAATATAACTGTACCACACCATAATCCTGTTCCCATATAATGTCCCCAAACACGTAAAGTAAATCCAACAATCGCCACAAGAATACATGCAAGGCCCAGAACTGATACAGCAATAGCCAGTAACAACACTTTATGGTGAGGATATTTTTCCAACGACTGTCGTACTTGTTGAGACATTTTGGTTTATCCGTTTGGAAATAATTTGGTCCCAGGTGTTGATATATTGTACTTGACTTTAAAATTTCATAATTTTATAAATTCTTTTCCATTGGGGTTTTTTTTTTTCGATTTTAACATCCAGATCTATTCCTAGTGGATTGTTTTACTTTGCCATTTTCATCTTTTTTTTTACTTCTATTTAGCTTGGAATATGACAAGTTGCACTATAATATTATTATTTAATTCTCACAGACACAGAAATGGAAATACATGAGTAGGCCTACTCATTTCATTCCTCCATTTTTCCTTTGTAATTTTTGATCCAACATAAATTCAACTAAAGAAATTGATCTTACGCAGTAAAGTTCAATTTCCAGTACCCATGCACCCAGCACTCCCATTAGCATTGTTGGCACTGTATTGAATGGAAAGTAAACGATGATGACACCGACTTGGTGGGCTTTTCCCCATCAGTATTTAGTCCAATACTTATAAATCTCAATTGAGTGCAATAATATCCTTATTCGCTTTTATACTTTCTTCAAAAAAACTTAACAGTATACTAGAACTAAACAATGCAAAAGTTGTTTTCTTGTAAACAAAATAAAAATTCCTATAATTTCGACCCTGGCCATTATTTTTTAGACTTGTTTCTCCAGATGTAATTCACTTAACGGGGAGGTAACTCTTGAATGATTTCATTGATATGTGACTTGTATATCAAAGACTACTATGTTATTGCGAAGAAAATACTTATCATCATGGAGAATGAAAATGTTTGCCAGTTAGCTTTTGAGGGAAAATATGGATTAATGAAAATGAAAATACAACAGAATTCAGCCTTAGCATCAAAAATTGACCAAGTAATTGGGCGCCCACGTTATCTTAACTAAAAATAAATATTTAGATTCTACAGTGCAAAGGCAAAGCCAAAGAAAATATGAATTAATTTTAATCTTAAAAAGTTAAAAGTGAATATGACAACATCCAAAATCTTCGACATTGAAAACACGATTTATTTGTCGGTTTAAAATCAACATTGATGTTGTCATCTTACCGGGAAAAGGCGGTCTTCTGATATCCAATATTTAAGACAAAATAAACATTTTACCATTGGTACACGAATCGTGTACCGTACCAAATAATGCGTTTCAGCGCTATTTGTAACGAGGGACTCAAAGAACGAGGCTACACATATTCCACAAGTCATGTCAAACGGTGACGCTACTATATTCTTATCTGGAGAGCATGCCCAATAAATACAATCGGCATAGACTGGAATAACCAGACGCTAGAGATTGAAATTCGATCCTAACTGATTAGAAATTACAGTAAAAACAGAAACGAATGAATGTAAATCAATTTATATACATTCATATTACATTATTATATGCGTTGCGACCCATTTGTGTCAATTTCTAGGTCCCAAATATTAGCGACTTAGCTCCTTTAATTATATGTCTATTTTTATGGAACTTGTGAAATAACCTAGATGTTGTAGATTCATTTATTCTGCTTTTGTTATTGAAACAATAATTAGTATAATCTGCCTTTGATATATTTTATTTATGTTAAATTGTCGAGGCATGCTGTTGGCAATATAAATTTTAACATTATTAACAATCAACAATCTTGATAAGTTGATAGAAGTCAAATGCCTTCTACAGCTAGGGCAAACAAAATGTTACACTGGCTTTCTTTTAAATTAGATATCTATAGAACAGCCCAGAACATTATAATATTCAATTATTGTTATCTCTTTTATAGGTTCAATTAAATCAATCTTTACAATATTTACATTACAATAATCTTAACTGTGGCTTTTCCTTTTTGTATTGACAGAGCCAACGGACACCTTTACATTGGGCTGCTTCAGGTGGACATACAAACATTGTTGAATATCTCACCACATTAAATGTAGATATTGATGTTAGAGATGAGGTAATCTAACAGATGAGAAAATGTTATTATTTAAATGAAATACGGATATTAGTATTATATACGTAATATATTCATTACAAACTGAGATTATAAATTCTACCTCCCTGTTCCAAACCTATGTAGACTATATATTAAGAAAATAATTACATATGTTTGTGATACCATAGTCCGGATTAAACCCATTTTATCCATAACAATAATTTGAACATTGTTATATTTTTCTGTGAATATGAAAGCAAACTAATGCAATGTACTTTAATAAATACTTATAGTCAAATTGGACACCTTTGATGATTGCTGTATCTGCTGGAAGAACACAGATTGTTATAGACCTGGTATCAAAAGGAGCACAAGTTAATGCCATCAACAGGACTGGACAGTGTTCACTACATTATTCTGCATCTAAGGACAGATATGAGGTAATACTGGTTCTTTTAAAGAGACATTATCACATCAGTATATGATTACCCTAGAATCCCCTAATTTAATCATTCCTAGTGAAATTGACCAGCAAAGGTCTCCAGAGCACTAATCCCTCTTTAAAGATGATAGATTTTAAAATAGTGTAAACAGTCAAAAATGCAAATATTGATCGGGTGACTTTGAAATTAGGAGTGAATTGGTTTTTCCATGAAAATAATATTATTTACCTGTTATTATTTTTTTTTTATGTTATTTGCAGATAACAGAATATTTATTACAAAATGGTGCTGATTGCAACATAAAAGATTCAAATGGTCATACCCCACTTCATAGAGCAGCGAGTAAAGGTCATTTACAATTAACAAAATTACTCATAGATCATCAAGCTGAACTAGATGTTGTAGACTCAGAAGGAAACACACCCCTGTAAGGTTTATGTTTCAGTATAATTTCTAGTGTGCAAACGAAAGAATAATTGGGGAGTGAACTAAAAAGTATACATCAACAGTAGGCAATTACCACTGGCCTGACAATAGTCTGTAAAATTTCCTGAACTAGAATGTAACTAATATTACAATTTTTTTTGATAAATTTCCATTCATGTGGAAATGTCAGAAGACCAGTATTGCTGCTGCCATAGCAAAAGTCTTGTGAAATTTCTTCAGTTTCGATTTTAGAATAAACCTAACTGATAAAAACAACAGACTAGATTGCCATTACTTGATATTCTGTCCTTTCTGTTATTTTTCAGCCATTTAGCTTGTGAAGAACAAAGACCTGATATTGCTAAATTATTAATAGAATGTGGTGCCAGAACAGATATTTTGAATAAGGTATATAAATGAATATAAATTTAAACATTTTCTAGTAAGCTTACTCTGATCTGTGTTATGAACAATAACTTGGTGGATGGAAAAGGATTTTGTATTTGTGGTAAAACAAGTTTACATTCAATGCTGATTGAAATATCCTAAATACTTCTATAAATTGGAATATAACCTTTAGTTCAATTTATTTCTTTTTTAGGAAAAGCAGACAGCGCTAGAATTTTTACCACCTGGCAGTCAAAGAAACTTAAGAAATTTAGTTGAACGCTAATTTTTATGGGTAGAAAACATCTTCAGTTAAAGAGTTTTTTTCTCACCATTTTATCTGACATTCATTTCGCATATTTGTTTCTTGTTTACATTGACATTAAAAAAATTTGATCATATATTGGCATTGTCATTATTATGTACATGTAATAGAATAAAAACAAGTACTGTCAAGCTTAACTGAGAGCCAAGGAACCAGACCCTATTTCTAATTTGGAACAAAACAAGGGATTAGAAATGAAACCTTCCGAAAGTAAACAATGTATTTAAATATCATTGTTACTATAGTAATACATACACTGCATATATAAGGAATATGAGCAATTTATAAAATTATTTACAACCAAGAAAGCCCCTTTCCTGAGAGTATTCATAATTCTATACACATGTACTAAAAAGGCTAAATCTACATTTGTATCCTACTGAGCCTATCGGTTAGTACACATTAAATATACAAATCAAACCGATCGATGTACCGTCTTGCAGTGTGTACATTCTGCAATAACCCATTGAATATACATTTAAACCCATACTACACATCTGACAGTGAATACACAAAACCAATATTTCAGAATACACAATATATCGCAGGGAATATACATGTAACTCATACTTTACAATACACAATCTTAAAAGTTACCGTGCAAATCAATATTGCGACTGATTGGTTGTGATTCAAGCTATGTCGAGCGAACATAATAAAGGGAACATCTTGCCCTTGGCATTGAAGTTTGCATTATCCCTAGAAGCTGTAGATATCTTTATAGGACATTTGGATATCCCGTATGTGCTAATTTTGCCAGGTCAGGTATACACATTGCTACGCATCATGATACGTCCAGATCTGATATTCAAAAGTTACCATTAATTTTCCCAGACTTTTTACTAAATTTCACGAAATCAGTTATTTATAAAAGGTTTTTTCCTTCAATGCACAGATCAGATCAAGTGGGAATGTATCCGGGGGCTAGCCGTAATTATCCGCTGCGCTGTACACATTAGACGTACGACTGACTATACGTTGTCCCAAGCCTGGCGCTCCGTCATGCACCACTGTTAAGGGGGGGGGGGCACGACAAAATATACCGATGAACTCCCTCGGCTAACACCTGGATCGAAGACCGGACCTCTAGGTTAGCGAGCCAACGTGTTACCCACTGAGCCACCGCACTCCCGTATCATACTAGTTACTGGTGTGATTCATGATCGGATATGTGCTACAAGAAATCTCAATATTCGTACATTGTGTCCGGACCGTAGGTTTTTTTTGTTTAATTGTTTGTTTGCGGTGCGGTGGCCCCCTGCACTTACTATTACTTTATAGACGTGTGTGTATATACGTGTTGTCAGTGGTGCAGGATGAAGCGCCTGACAAGGACAACATTACTGTTTGTTATTCGGATGGGACAAAAAATCGAGGTCCTGGATACACAATAACCTTTGACAGTTGGCATTTGATATAAGAGTAGGCCGTAGCGTCGCTGTCCGGGCAAAATTTCCCTCATACACTGCTTGGCGTATACCCGTCTTCATTAGCCAAATCGGTGCAGAAAAATAGGACACTTCGCTTCATATATACTTGATACAAAACATTTATTTCTTACGAAGGGCTATACCAATAATAGTCATCTAAGACAACACCTATTCAGGAAAAATAATGTTATTTAAATCGTATCTAGCAATAAACTAATCAATATTATAATTATCTACAAGGTATGGAGCTCCCACACGCCCGTTAATACAACAAACCCTTCAAAATCATCTAGAAAAAATAAGTATGCGTAGTGTTTACAATTTTTCTTTGGTAAGGGCAATAACTTTGATATGAAACACAACTAATTTAGAACAACAATCCTAAAACGCTTAGTAGTGTGTTTACGGGGTTTTGATTACAGAAGTCAGAAGAGAATAGCTCTTCGAAAAACCAAAAACTCTTCTCGTTACTCGTATAGGCTACATGTTCAAAAGTCGGGAGCAATGAATGTATCTTGTGCAATTTCAGACGGGGATCACGTGGCTAAGTGGGTATAAGACGCTGGCTCGATAGCCTGGGCGACCTTCGGTTGCACGGACTTTCGTACTAAAGTCGAACCATCTGCATGCGAATTACATTTAGTTCAACCAGTGGTCGTGACAAGCCGTACCATGCGATAAAGTACGGTCGGGATAGTTCAAAGTTGGCTGACAAAACTGACACTTGAGAAGATTTTCTGAAAAATATAATAAAATTGCCGATTGCCGTTGCGTTATTTACACCTGGGTCGGTATTATAGGGCCCATGTTAGCACCTGAAAGTTAGTGAATGGGCATTGTAGTATAGATGTTAAATTTGATTTTTTTTTCGTCTTTTTTTGATGAATTTGACAGATTAGGATCTTCTTATTCGAATATATATAGGCACACGACAAAAAAACTATACGTGTGAAATGATCTTGGTTGGGTGACATAAATCCAATGGAAAATATTCTGATATTGACTAATCCTATTTGTAACCTATTTTAAGCTTGCTTTCACATCACAGTATGGAAAATTAATCAGTTTTTAAAAATACATGAGTAAATAGGAGAAAATAATTATAGCAGGCGGAACAACTGACATGGTCGCCACCATATTGAATAGTCAATGGCTAGGGCCATTTGCGTTTTGGTGCTGGTTCAGACTGTATTCGCGACCATAGTCTACATCCGAAGGTCGCCCTGGAGGTCGGGTGTTCGATCCCTGCATTGGCCGAGAAAGTTCATCCAGATTTTCCGGCATGGTTTCCCCTTGTCAGTGATGCAGGACGGAGGGCCTGACAAGGACAGCTGTCTAGTCGTTCGGATGGGACGGAAAACCGAGGTCCCGTGTACATATTGGCGTGCACGTAAAAGATCCCTTGGCAGTTGGAATTCGATATAAGAGTAGGTCGTAGCGCCGCTGCCCGGGCAAAATTTCCCCCAAAACACACTGTATGGCGTATGCCCGTCTTCATTAGCCCAGTTTAGGAGCAGACCAGTAGGACGTTAAACCCCATTTCATTTCATTTCATTTTGCAATTTCAGACCACATATATAGGCCTACCAAACCATTCTTTGGAGTTATTTTTGGATACGAATAGTATCCCAAGACCGTTTTGTGTATGCCCACGCTCCGCTCTTCAATACCGTTACCACTTACCCCACATAGGTCTATTATTGTTGGGGGGTTGAATGACCAAATGGTTAGAGTGTGCACGTTTTATCATAAGGTCTGTCATTGAGTCAACTGGCGTGGTTTCGAGTAGGGTCGCCTGTCCAGTCTCCTGGGTTTTCTCCGGGTCCTCCGACTGCTAAATACCCCTACGCGCAAGCGAATTATTGAAATAAAATTGAACCATATGTTAGATTGTTATTTAATCTCGAAATGACATAGTTTGTGTCGAGTGGACGTTAAACCCCATTTCTCGCCCTCTCTCTCCCTATTGTTACCGTTTTCCATGTGATTTTAACTAATTTTCCACATGGAGCTTGAAGACTGGTTTTATTTAGAATTACTACAGGTGTATGAGTATCTTCACTTTTACTCAATTGACGTAAATAATCAGAATGTTAAAATGTCCATCTTGTCTCACAAAGAAATTATACCTAGTCGTTCAAATGGGACGAAAAGAAACCTTCCAGGTCCACCCGTGTTCAGCATACTTATGTGCACGTAACTGAACAGTTGGGAATGGAAGTGAAGTTTTGAACACCACCATCGAAGCTACATGTACATTATCCTAGCTAACATTGCACAAGCAAGGTGTGCTTAGTTGTTCGGATGGGACAAAAACGGGGTCCACTCGTGTGGGCTACAATATGCACGTAAGAGCAGTTGGAAATGCTTGGCATTACATACGAAACTATATGTTGGTCTCAAAATTACCGATGTATTGGGTTCACGAGACAATTTGTCGCAATTTTATGAACGTTTTGACTGTTCATTTATCAGTCTGGTTAATAGAGTTAATTCAAGGGAGGTTACTCTGTCGTATTTTTAACAAAATGGCTTCGGAAATCACCAGTAAAACGTTTTATTGACAAACATTTTGATTTTATAAGACAGTACAGCAACTTAGCACTGAACACACACGGTAAAATACACAAACATCAAAATATGTCCCTATAAACCACTGTAGTCTGTAACTTTGTTATTTTAGGTTGGCTTTTTTGTGAATTTCACACAATTTGGGTGTATTGAGAGTTTTGTGGGATTCGGCTAGTTCCTTACTCAGGACTTGTCTCTGAGCGGACGATGTCCCGAGCCTATATGATTGGGCCATTTTTTCACTCACCTCATTTCAATTAGTAGATTTGTATTACTTAAACTTATGTAAAATATTTCCTTAGATTTTGGGACAAATATTGCCCAATGATTTTCAAGAATTTTAGACGTTTTTAGGCATTTCCACTCCAGACAACAATTTCCATCTGAACACAAGGTACAATTTTATGGATACACAATAACTTAGTATCAAACTCAGTAATTGTGTATCCATAAAATTGTACCTTGTGTTAATATGTTCAATTACTAAATGCCAATCAAAGAAGAAATTTCCATTTCAGGTTATGTCAATTTTCTTAGAAAAATAGTAATATTTTATCATGGACCTTATTTTATTAGGTTCATGATTTGATTTATGTAACTTTTCATGAGTAGATGAGACACAATGTTAATAAATGAATCGCTAATAAATTTCGGAGTGATATAATAACTTACAATGCTGTGACCAGGATTATTTGCAGAGGTCTGTCAGGGACGAACATGTATTGCAGCTGAAAGCTTATGCAGTTCTTAAGTGATGAATCAGTACATTAAATAGTCTAGTATTTTGAGATTTAGACTTTTGAGAAGATTTTGTAGGAATTCCATGAGAGTTTTAAACTTTTTCGTGAGGATGGGAGTTCAGTCCATATTTCATGAGACTCACTGAAATTCTGTGAATCTTGGCAGGCCTGTTTTCTGTTAGTTTTATTTTGGTTGGAAGTTTTTACATGTCAAGTCTAAGTACGGGTACTTAGTTTACAGGTTCTCTGGAAACATTCATCCTGTCAATTGTCATTTGAAAATACACATGCAGTGTTCGAACTACTTCCTAGATCTTTCAATAGGGCTGACTAACTAGATAAATATGTACTTAACTACAGGATAAGGATGTCGTCTCCAGAGGTCGAAAGGTTTGAAATTACAGAAGATGACATAGAGAGTATTTTTGATCCGACGGCGAGAAGATTTAGACAGAGTAAAGAACAAGCCAGATATGGTAAGTAAAAGATTTGACCAATAACTCTTCAACCTTCAGTCCTTGATTAACATCCAAGATAGTCTTTGGTGGTTTTACGCCATGTTAATTTATGCAATAATTAATCCAATATGCTAATTAATTTCAGGCATCTGGGCTGATAAAGACAGTGATGAGGAAGAAGAGGTTGCTGGTTTTGGTGGGCGAACTAGAAGAAAGAAAGATTACTCAGCACCTATTAGTTTTATAAGTGGTGGTTTTAAAGCTGAGGCAAAGCTGAAGAAAGAAGAAGATGATGATGTAAGATAATTCATTCATAAACATGTTTCAGATCAGATATATCTTTATATTAAATTATATTGATTAAGATTTTAAAGATAAATATCATACACAAATATTTTTTCTTGTAAGTTTACATAATCTACACACTGGATTGAATCCTTTTGAATGGCCCGAACTTTTAAGACCCTAAAAAGAGATTAGTTTTGTCCCCATGCAATATAATAATAAATGGTATATTTATTTTTTTGTATATTTAAAAGGGGTCCAATGATAGTGATAGTCAGAGTTCAGCACGGGAAATGAGTTTCAAACCCAAGAAAGGGCACACAAGTCAAAGATCATCAGGGGTACCTCATTTCTTACAGGGACATAGACCAGACAAGTAAGTTCTCATACAATATTTTTATAGCTGCTTTTTGTAATTGTAGATTAAAGATTTCAATTTCTAATTAGCTGTGAATTGAAATAAATATTCTTTTATATCATTCATATATGTTCAACACTTTGCAGTATTTTTGGTAATTGGTACTCCATTTTCTCACTATTTTTGATGGAATTGGAAATTATAAAAAATATAGTAACATATGTATTGTTCCATACATGTATAGAGAGATAAAATTTTATAATTACAATACATGTATAACATTGATATTTTTAGAGAATTTGGAGGATGGGAGAAACATACAAGAGGAATGGGTCAGAAATTACTGCAAAAAGTAAGTATATTTTATGATGCATAATTATTACTCAAATACTGGCATAATGTTATGATGCTGTTGAATCCTGCTCCCCAAGCTAATTATTACTACTATACTGGCATAAGGTTATTGTTGAACCCTGCTCCCCAAGCTAATTATTGAAATAAAGATATATCTTGTTAGACCTGAAATAATATAGTCGTGTTATTATTCGCATTAAACCATATTTTTTTCGTTTTTGTCTTGTCACATAGTCACAAGTACTGTTATGCATAGCAGTCAAAATTTAGTCAGAAATCAAAGAGTTCTTATTTAGTTATGGGTTGAAGCTCATTTAATAGTTACAAATAATACTTTTTATAGCAGATTAGTTTTAGGTCAATTCATAGTTACGGTACAAATAATACTTTTTATAGTAGATTAGTTTTCGGTCTATTCATAGTTACAAATAATACTTTTTATAGCAGATTATTTTTACCATAACATTCATGTTTGGTATCTTTATGCCTGAAATGTGACAACTTAATAAAGTGTTTATGTATTATTATAGATGGGTTATGTGGCCGGACAAGGTTTAGGTAAAACAGGTCAAGGTATAACAACACCTGTTGAAGCTGTAAAACGTAAAGGTAAAGGTGCAATAGCTTATCATGGTTCTGAAAGATCAGAGAGATCACTTAAAGACTATCCTGCTGCACACTCTGATGAAGATGAAGAAAAAGAATTTAAGGTGAAATTACAACAATGGAAGAGACAGCCAGAGGTAAATGCATTGATGATATTAATATTGTTAAAAAAGTATTATGATTTTCTACCTACCTCTAATATGTTTAATTATTGAATAGAGCTGCTACGATAAATATGTAAATGTAAGGTCATTAAAAGTTATAAAAAGGTCATTTTTTAAAACCAAAAGATATATTTGTAATCAAAACTGACTTTCTATCTTCAAAATAATCAAATATTCTTAAAACGTTTTCAACCATTTTTTTGCAGGGTAAAAAGAAACCAAAGTATAATTATAAAACAGCACAAGAGTTAATAGATTCTGGTGTTGGTAAAAAACGTAAAGTTATAGATAAAACACAAATGTCTAAAGTCAAGGTTATTGATATGACTGGTAGAGAACAAAGAGTATTGTCAGGTTAGATATATATTAACATCATCCTATTTGTATCAAGGTTAATCCATGTAAATTTAAAAACTTCAAAATTCAAACAGTATTGGATGGGAACTGCTCATAGTAAATAGTAAGTGCAGGGGGACCGCACCACATAAACAATTACACAAGACAAACCTACGGACAGGACACAATATACAGACACCACAAACAACAAACTCACATATAAGATCAAGTGAATGGATCCAGGAGTTAGGCGTGAGTGTCCACTGTGCTGTACAGTTGCGGGGGCCTCACTGAAAAGTATTAATTATCTGCCCATTGTTAATGTGATAGTACCTCGTCGTCACCTGCTCTGCTGTCTGTCAACACTCTACTTGTTAATATTCCAGGCAGATTGTTTCAAATTCAGGAATTATTCATAAGGAAGAACTCCATCGAAATTCAGAATTCTTTGTGAAAAAATCTCCAGTTCCACAAGCAAACAGATGGCAAGTAGATGAATGATTTGCACGACTAGCCATTTCCAAAATTTCTTAGTTCAGGTATTGATTCATGCTGTTTGTTAATAAATGTAATAAAATATATTTTAGGTTATCATGCTATAGCACAACGTCATGATAAACCTGATGAAGAAGAAGATGTTATTGATCTACAGAATGAAAATATACCACGATCATTTGATATGCCAGAATTACTCCATAATCTGAATTTATTAGTTGATATGGCTGAAGAAGATATAATACAAAATGATAGAAAGTGAGTTAAGTTTAATTCCTGGACATTCACACCCTGTTTCACCAAAAAAGTTAAAACTATTGGGACGAATGTTAGTTTCACTCAGAATTACATCTGTTTGATATTACAACTCCTGAAATTATCTGTTACAGTCAGAGCTTAACATATAAAATGATAGCATGTTTATTTTACCAGATATAAGAGTTTGAAAATGTTCTTTAGAATGTAATTTAGATGATTAAAACAAACAATTAAGGCTAGATTCTAGGCCGTGATGTTCATGGGTAGGAATTTTATCCATCAGACATCAACAGATATTATTTAGTTTAAAAATGGCAGTCCGAAATCGAAGAGAAAGTAATGTGAACTTTAGATGGCCATAACTTATGTTAGGATTTGTCAATTTTAAAACTTTTTGGACCAATATACTTTTTATAACACTACTTATCATTGTGTTTGCTCTGAAATTCTATTTATACCCTTTATTCAGGGATATCAGATCTTTGATTCCAATTTTATAATGATCAATTTGATTTCCTAATTAAGAATTAGATTATCCTGTACTGAGAAATAATTATGGGTTTTTTTTATGTTTAGATTACGACATGGACAAGATCATATGGTTAATATGAAGTTTGAAAGAGAAAGATTAGAAACTGTTTGTAACCAAGAAGAAGTTCAAACTGTTAGATTACAAAAAATTCTAGATATTGTTGAAAGGTAAGCAAGCTGTGATACTTTGATAAAAATAGATATACTGATTTGTTCCAGGAAATGTATTAGGTCATAGAAAATCGCCTACACGTCTTTTTTGATATCGAAAAATATCAACACAAGTCAGTAATGTAAAAAGAAACAAGGTTTTGCCGAGTGTTTTATTTTACTTTATCGACGAGTGTTGATATATTTCTTATATCAGAAAAGATGTGTAGAAGATTTTATGACCCAACCCTTTCTTACAAGCTCAAATAAATAAATATAATTCTTTGGTATTGATTGAAAGCAATATCTCCTAGGAGATATGATATCGCTCAGTAGAGAGATATCTACTGTAGAATGTGTGATTGGGTGATAAAAAAAAATATTCCAATTCTCAGATAATCTTGCATCACTGAAACAGGGCTGCATGACCCATTTTTATTTCAAAAAATAAAAAGTCTCATTAATAACCGTATATAAATGTTTCAACCTTTTAATCTGGTTACAGTATTTCTAAAAAATTTTTTTAAATGAATCTATGAATGTGGCGTAGGCTCATTTATTAAGTATGTAACCTTGTTAAATGCTAATGACAATAACAAATGCCTATAAACAAAAGTAACATAGTATATGATATGTATATTTTAGTTGTGAGAAGAGAACTCAAGTTGATAGTGATAATCCCCTAACATTAGATGAGTGTGTTGGTATATTTAAATCTTTACAAGATGAATATTATGAAGAATATAAAATATATGATATGCCAGCACTGGCTATCGCTCTTGTCTTTCCTTTGGTGAGTATTAATAAATTGTATAAGATTGAATGTTAATAATTTATTGCAAATTAAAATGATTATTTTAAATACTGGAGTCAAAATCTGTCCTTTATTTTGAAAGCTGTATCATGAAAGACAGACAATATGCTATTTTTATTTTGCCAATTGTAACAACTGCTGAGCTCTTCTATAGAGAACTTAAACCTATTTTATATCATCCACAGATGAAGTCTTTCTTCTTAATATGGGATCCTTTAAACAATCCCAACTATGGTGTAAATACTGTTAAACAATGGAAGATATTACTTAGTGAACAAACACAAAATTATAATGAAGACATTAATAATATGGACACCTATCAAAGATTAATATGGGAAATATGGTTACCTCATATCCGACAAACTGTATTGTAAGTATATTGTATATAATTACTCCACAATACTTAATTTTAATACATCACTATGTTAATTATTAAATAGGTGTACTATTAAAATTTCCTAATCTGAGGAGTGGTGTAAATGAAACAAAATTTAACATCCTATTGGGCTAATGAAGACAAGCATACGCTATTATTTTATATTTTTGTTATTATTTAGAAAATGGAATGTAAGAGATTGTATACATATGATAGATCTATTAGATACCTGGACGCCTGTTATACCAAGCTGGATTATACAAAATATACTAGATCAATTAGTCTTTCCACGTCTTATGCAAGACGTAGAAGATTGGAATCCATTAACAGATACAGTACCAATACATTCATGGCTTCATCCTTGGTTACCATTAATGGGTAAACTGAATATTTAAACCCTTTTAATTTTATAATATTTTGTCAAGTTTTAACATGTGCATAGTGTATGATGTAACTCATTAGTATGTCAACTGCATATCACATTAACAAGATCCAAATAAATAAAATTAAAACACACATCTTAAAAAAGCAGACAAGTAGAATATTAATGTTAAAAAAACAAGATGAAAATTCCTTGAAAGGTAAAGAATTAAATAGACCGTCTTTAAAGCGATTAATAATAGGAATTTAAGATTTATTACATTGACTACAATGATTGTACTAATCTTTCATTATTTTTTTTATTTTTCAGGAACTAAATTAGAGCCACTGTATGGACCAATAAGACATAAATTAGCTAATGCTCTGACTAGTTGGCATCCATCTGATGTTTCAGCAAAGATTATTCTTCAACCATGGGTTGGTGTTTTCAAACAAGGTCATACAGATGCTTTCTTGGTTAAAAATATCTTACCTAAACTAGCAATGGTCTTAACAGAGTTTTCTATAAATCCACATCAGCAAGTTCTAGGTAAGATTTATTGCCCTTGTCTATTTTAAATCATTTAAGAAAAAAGGACTATATATATCTTTGATTTCTCAGAATTTCTTTTGATTGAATAGATTCCCTGTAATGCTAATCTGAAGTTAGTACATTGAATGCAATTCTTGTTAATTATTGTGTAGATCCGTGGAGATGGGTGATGGCATGGCAAGATTTAATGCCCATTCAGAGTATGGTGGCAATGCTTGATAAAACATTTTTTCCAAAATGGCTACAAGTTTTATGTGGTTGGTTATCTAATATGCCTAATTTTGAAGAGATAACCAAATGGTACAAAGGATGGAAATCTCTATTTCCTGAATCTTACATGTCTTATCCATGTATTAAAGGTTAGTTTTGAATCTAATCCTAATAAAATGAGGAAATCTATTTTTAATTATCTAAATATTAAAATCATTAACAAGGAAATTGTTATTATCAATTGATAATTTTTAATAACAGAACACCACACCACTTAGTTTAATCTAAATATAGACATGTATATTTGGGAATATATTTCAATTGATTATCCTTTTCTTTACAGAACATTTTAATAAAGCTTTAGAGTTAATGAACCAAGCAGTTTCTGGACACTTTCAACCAGGAGCAAAAGAGAATATGGCTTATTTTACAATGACAGAACGACGAAATATAGGGGCAACTGCTCCACCACCCCCAAAACCGTCATCAAATGTAAATATTGTCTTAGAATACTTCAATGATTGTACATGGTTGTGTTTGTTATTTTAGAGCAGAGTGGGTGGTGGGTCATGGGTGGTAGGGGGACTATAGGTAAATAATATGCATCTTAAAACACCAGAAACCACCAATAATGCAATGTAGAAGTAAAACATTTTCCAAATGCTTATTAATTTCCTGTCCTCATCTCTTAAACCATGACCTTCCATGCAAGTATTTCAATATGCTGCCCAAAACTACAAGCAAAGATTCTCAAATGACCTATCAAAATTACTTGCAAAGATTTGAAGTGCTTCACTTGTCCCAAAAAATGCAGATAAAACAGCACTACAACTTACGAAATGTGATGTAAAAGAATTTTAAAAACATGCAATACAGATTTTCTATATCCACCATTCAAATTCATAGAATATACTTAACATAGTAAGGAGTAATTTGAACCAAAAGTTAGTTGTACAGTTTTAATAATGAGGTTTTTTGTTGTTACATTACAGACTGGAGCTGGTCGTGGCATTAGTATGTCTAATGTTGGTAGTTTTAGAGAACTAATTGAACAGAAGGTAATTTCTATTTTATCAATGTTTACAATTATTGAAAACTTTTAGGTTTCGGAAATTCAAACTGTAGTCTATTGGTTCATTTGAAATATTAACTACTATTTTTTGTATACAAATTAGTATCTAAATTTTAATTTTGTATATTTTCAGGGAATGTCTAAAGGTATTGCTTTAATACCAGTACCTAATAAGTTCAGAGAAGGTAAACAAGTATATAGATTTGGTAATGTGCAGATATACTTTGACAGAAATGTGGTGTTTATGTTAGAAAATGGACAATGGGTTCCAGTGTCTTTACAACATTTACTAGATAATGCTAAGTGACATTTTATAATAAAGACAGTGCTAAGTGTATATAATACAATCCATCATCATCTTCATCAGACCATCATTAAAGAATATGAAAATCAATTTGTTCTTCCCTCTTGTTTTTGTCCTTATGAATTATATTTGAGTTGACCCAAAAAGAATTATTTATTATCCATAAATGGGGTTACTTAAAAAGTCTACGATAAAAAGTCAAACTCGAGCAGTATATGAAGAGCATGTTACAGTTTATGCACAATCACACTGTACATGTTTGTTTTCAATTATTAGTTGACTTAGCCTTGATCTTGTGTGAACTTAAACACTATTTCTCTGCCAATGCCAGTGGTCTAATACCACAGTCTTTTCATACTATTTCCCAATACGAACACAGTCGTGGTTTCTGGGATAAACCAACAGAATGTATGGTGCAGTATGCCAAGAATAAGTCACAGCTTTTATCAAATTCAATTACCAAAATATGAAATTTCTACATAAATCTAAAGGATCTTGCATACATCTTTTAATTATTATACATAATTTACAGTGGTATAGAATTGACACTGGATTATAACAACCATTAATTACATTATAATCAATTTTCCATGTCAAACAGTAGTACATCATTGGTTGTTTATAGGATATACTTGATAATAAATAACCATGGTAACATATCAACAAATATTTCAATATACTCACTTTAAAAATATATATACACATTGAAGTGATAAAATAGAAGCAATATCTATAAAAAGCTACATGACTTATATGTTTTACATACATTGGTAGAATATTGCATGCCGTTATTTCTAGTATCTATAACATATAATTACACAAAATCTTTGTTCAGTTCTCTGTTAGATCAAAACATTAAATAACAACTTTCAATTTCCAGCATAACTATTAGAAGAGGTTATTTAAGTCATAGCTTTTTAATTAATTCATAGCCTATTACCATGACAACTTTTAATTTCCGTGTAACTATTAGAAGACTGTATTCAAGTCATAGATAATTACCATGACAATTTTTATTTCCAGTATAACCATAAGAAGGGGTTATTTAAGACCTGACTTACTACCATGACAACTTTTAATTTCCAGTATAAAATCGATAATCGAGACTTATCGCACCAAAGTATGTAATGGCATTCAAGGCTAGCCTAATAATGGAATTGCCAATATCTCAGTTCAGAGTGAAGGAATTTGACTGAAATTTTCAGGATATTCTGTTTTCATTATCTAGTTTTAAGTATTATAGAGAGAAATGTCAGCTCTTTATCTAATCTTATTAATGCCCCTTTAAGTCAGATTATTTCCTCTTTAGCAATATTAAATTAACATCTTCAAATTGTGTCTGATATTTTATTGAGTCATGTTCTATCTCTTTTGGTTACATTTGCAGATAACAATTGCATTATTTTCTTTAAAGTTTTTAAGACTATGAACCACAAAATAAAGCTTCCTAAGTTTTTGGAGTAATAAAATAAAAAACAATTATCAGTTACCAGTACTTGGAAAAAGTTCCTGTCCTGTACAAGAAAGCTTATACAAAGGAACTATTTCACAGAGCAAACAAAACATATTTACATGCAAAAAAAACCCTCTTTGTTGACCAGGCCCCAGGTATAATTAACTTAACGGTCTGGATTAACGACTAGTGTACACATATTACCTGTAGTTCTTGTACAGGTAATTTGATACTACAATCAGAGGCAATATTATTCAACACAATGCTAATGAAAATAATTATGAAAAGCAAGTTAAACCAAAAACAAACAACCAAAAAATCGATGACTAAGACCCCTTATTTCAAATTGGCAAATAGAGACTATTTTCATCTATTTTTTTGCTTTTAGATTGAATGTTTTTAACTAAGCCACAGTAACTTATGCTGGAAAATCAGCCATTATACATTACTGTGCTAGGTTGCTTTAATTCCAGAAAATGTGAAACAAGCTAAATGTAACTAAAAGGTCTCCTTTCCAACTGGGTTTAATTATATAGTTAATGGTGAACTGTATCGGCAGTCAACATTTCAAAATGCAGAAAAGTGCTTATAATGTTGGAGCAAAATATTAAGATTATGAGCATTATGATCATGGTGATAAAATTTACATGTTTTTATAGAATGAAAAAAAATCTTAAACAATAAAAAAGATTTAACACTGAGTGCTAATCAGCTATGCTGTTTCGATAAATACTTATATAGCTATTTTGACGTATATATAATCTAATTCACAAATATCACAAATTACACAGAATTGTTATGTACCATTACTCATGCCTAGTAAAAGGGAAGAGTTTAGTTCCAAAACAAGATGTTTACTTTTTTCCAATATTTCTATGGGTCCATCCAATTTAACGCATAACCCATTTTACAAATAAATTCTTCAAAGTGTACACATCTTTACGAATGAAAAACCTGTACAAAACTAAGACAATAAGTATAATACATATACATCATAAATCTATAATAATATACAAAATAGATAATAAAAATAGATCAACAACACCCCCCACTCTTCTGTGTTGGTTGTTCATCATCCACTACTACAACACTTCTCCGGCTATTAGCGCCACTTTTATTATTCTTTGTTGCTGAATCTTCATCTGCTTTTTCTATCATTCCTACAATTTCAAAATTACAACATGAACATGTAAACTACCAAATTCAATTGCTATGGAAAAAGTTTTCCCCAATTTCTGGGAGACATGTTGATTAAGCTACAGTTACTTTGTAAAACACTAACACTAAAGAAGAATATGGTCCATCTGTTTCTATATTCTTTATATGCTCGGAAAAATTGTAGATGCCCCTGGCCAAGTTCTACCCTGAATTAAAGATGTGTTATTGATTTCATCAATACTACTAGACCTTTCAATCCAGGGTTTCAAGGGTTAATGGCGAAAATCTTATTAATTATCTGCATCTGTGTGTTAAAATCAACTATTCGTTGTGAGTCATTTATCTACACTTTCCAATTGACAATTGCTAGTTCTGGTTCTACCAGTAATGTAATCTTTAATTCAGTCAGTGACATTTTGAATGATGCATCCAGAAGGCTTTTAAATATTGAATCTAATAGCTGTCATTGTTACCTATGTCTATTAATTATTAAAATATACAAATAGGCGGACAATCACATGTAGGTGAAATGTCTGTAACAAATGGGTAAATGCAGTAAAATGATGGGGTGCAATGGAAAAGGAGCAATTTGTCTATTTGTTTTGACGTTGCAAATTCTCAGTAAGCTGGATGTGCCCTTAAATCCTATATATGAAATGTTTTAAATAAATTTGCTGTATGCAAAACAATTAGTGAAAGACAAAAGATAAGTCTGATTAATGGTGAAGTAAATTTCTTGCAAAATGTTTTTTCCCAAATCCACATGAATGCAAACCTAAGAAACTTTCTAAATAGTTATTATCTTTTTCTGAAATATGACATAAATTAACTTACTTTTACTGAGATCTAGAAATAACTCTTCAATACCTCGACTCAGTTTAGCAGATGTGTGAAAATGTTTAGCTCCAACAGAGGCTGCATATCTAAATTAAAAAAAAAATGTATTAAATAATTTGTTCGCATGAGCATTATCTTCTTACAAATATTGACATGATTCTGATTTTGTGTATATCTTCTGTCATAACAGAGACATCCCAAAACTATTCAGCAACAGATTTATTACCGATACCAGATCAATGAGATTACATGACCATAAAACATAAGTATAATTTGACACTACGAAATGATTATTAACAAAGCAAATGTTGTTATGGATGGCCTGCTATAAATAGTAAAGTATAATTTGATCAAATACAATATGAATAACTTACGTTTCTGCTTCTGCTACAGTCACATGTCTATCTTTTTCTAAATCTGTTTTATTACCAGCTATACATAAACATACATCTTGTCCTAACATTCTTCTTAACTCTTTTACCCAATTCTTTACCTACAATAAAATAACAGTTTATCTATAAAGTACTATAATCAATTATGGTTGTGTTACATTGACACAATACATGTAGTCACTTAATCCTTACCCTAGGCAATACAATAATTTAAAGATATATTATGTAAGATTTAGATAAAGAGCTGGCCTTTCTTGCTATAATAGTTAAAAAATAGATAATGCAAAATGAATATATTGAAAATTACTTTATTCTTAGCGAAGATATTAGGCTTTGAATGCACTAATTGTGACCACAGTACTGGTTGTTCCAGGCTAAGCCTCACTAGACCATTTTTATGGTAAATCATTAAAATCAGACACATCCGATGGCAAAGAGAGTCGATTATGGTCCTGTCATGTTAATAAATGTCTAATAGTTTATATAACATTTAAGGCCCCCAAAAAGGCCAGCAATAAGCAGGTTTAGCTCTTACATAATGCCTGTTTATTTAACTGTCATACACCATCTTAAGCTATATTTATATTTTAAAGCTACTCAGTGTCATTTGCATTTTTCTGAAAATCTCTAATGTTTTATTATGGCTGAATCTGAATCTATACTAAAATGTACTCAAATTAAAGCGGTGGACACACTAGCCGAATGATTCCCCCGAATCAAACAGGTTTGATATATTCGGGCGAATTATATTCGCCTGGTGTGTCCGCTTCGCCGAAGCATTCGGCTGTATATAGCATTCATTAGCCAATCACCACTCATATCGAGAAGTCACGTGATACAGTGAAGACATAGACGCCGCCATGTTTAATCATGTGACGTGAAAGGTGATGCAATCGGCAGGTTGAATCGGGCGAAGCATTCGGCTAGTGTGTCCACCCATTCGGCCGAATAAAATTCGGCGCCGATTGATTCGGCCGAACAATTCGGCTAATGTGTCCACTGCTTTAGCATTTAACATTTATATAAAGATATAAATTGATAATGTAAAATGAAAATATTGAAAATTTCATTCAAATTACTTCATTCTGAGCCAACTTATCACTGTTTGTAGTTTTGACAAGATGTGTGCATTGTGGTAACCAGGGCACTGGTATATTCGAGGCTTAGCCTTGCTTTCCCATTTTTAAATTAAATTTTTAAATGGCGAACCATTCTAATCTAGTTAAAATCTCGAGTATCCAATGCCACCGAGAGTTGATTATATGTCTTGTTTTGTTAATAATTGTCTAATTTATAGTTTATATAACATTTCAGGCCTAAAGAAAGACCTGCAATAGGCAAATTTAGCTCTTGCATAATGTAACAAAACCAAATTATTAATGATAGATAATTCCCATGCTTGGATTCATCCTGCATTGCGTATAGGTGGTATTGGCTTGTTTATATCTGTTGCAGTGAATGATGAATATTGCAAACTTTTCAATTCTGTATATCTAGATAAATACTGAACGAAAATGCGGGTGATATTCCACAAAGACGACCAGCGGCTTTATGGGAACAATACATGTGAACAACAGAAAAACTCAGCTTCAGGCAACCATAACAGCAAACACAGGAGAACAACACAAAAAAAAACCCACAGAGAACAAATGATCAAAAGACATGGTACAATTAGATAGAAATTCCCAGAAAGTCTCAAGATGATTTGTGATGACATGAAACACTAAGATAAATGTTACCTTTTGAAATGAATCTTCATCTGTTATGTCGTACACTAACACTGCCCCATTACTATCTCTGTAATATATAGGACCCAAGGCATGAAACCTCTCTTGTCCTGCTGTATCCTAAAGAAAATCATGTACACATGTAAATAATACAGAATGCCATCCATAAGAAATTCTCATAATATTAGAATATGTTGCATGTAATAAATTCACTCAAAATAATCTGATTAGGCTGATGTTGCCTGATCAATAATCTCTGTCAATTGTCGGTATATTACTTTTATTCATGACTAAAAATACTGTATTTGTCCAAAGTACATTTATTATTCACTGTACACTTAATAAATAATACAATTTGTTCTTAGTTAGCTTACCCAGATAGATAAATTTACTCTTTTTCCACCAATGTTTAACTTTTTATTCAGAAACGATGCCTACAATAAAACACATAAATATAACCTTATAAGCTTTAATTTGTCATTTACCAGCGACTGAACAATTATTGTCTATATAATGTAATTTTCATGGCCATGTGTATTATTTAACAAAACTGACACAATGAGTTCATCTCAACTTTGTACATTTTGTGATTTAATGAGACATTATCACTGTCGCAAAGCAAATAAATGTAATTAATCTTAAACAACATCATATCTAAAACTCTCTGACTTTGAGTAAAGTATTTTCAAGGGCATTATTTAATACATGTACTCCTTGAAAACCACTAAAATAATACATTTTTTGTAAACTAGAAATTAACAAACATCTCTAATATGGTTAGTAAAGGTTAGTTCCTTTAAGAACTGTCTCTGATTGGACGATGTCCGCTGACAGTTCTTATCTGTCCCTATATAGCTGCAATATGAAAATACCACTCTTCCTCACCTCTGTTCTAAGGCTATTTTGGAATCCTAACTCACTATTTTTCACCGTAATTTATAATAATTCAACATTATTATCAAGTAGAATGTCGCGATTAAAACATACACAAAATACATTTGAATTGATCAGCCGTTGCGAGACTCTAACATGCGCACACCGCACGTTTATTTAATCACTAAATTCTACTTGAAAATAGGGTTGTATTATTATAAATTTGTGTCAGATATGGTGAGAAATGATTCCTTTGTGCGAAATATAAAGAATCACAGTGAAAAATAGAAGGTAAGGGTTCCAAAATAGCCTGAGAATAAAGGTGGGGAAGAGCAGTATTTTACTGTACATATTTTCATACTGCAGCTACATAGGGACGGATAGGAACTGTCAGCGGGCATCGTACGATCAGAGACAGTTCCTAAAGAAAATATATTATAATAACTGAAGAGTTAAATTCAAAATAATATAAAGACATCAAATTCCAAAGACTTCAAGACAATGATTACGAAATACACGATTTCACAGTCACACTGTAAGTCTAAGTGACACAGCAGATTCGTGGTACTGAAAGCCAAATATATTTTACCGCTCTTCTACATGTGGTCTTTACCATTCACAAATGACACATTTGTATTTACATTCCATGATATGCGTTTTTCAATCCGCTTTACTTAAAGGAGCTAAATCGTTAATATTTGGGACCTACAAATTGACACAAATGGGTCGCAACGTATAATAATGTAATATGAATGTATAAAAACTCATTTACATTTAATTGTTTCCGTTTTTACTCGAATTTCAAAACAGTTATGTTCGGCGAAATACGCCAGAAGTCTCAATCGAATGGCAATCTCTAGCGTCTGGTTATTCCAGTCTACATCGATAGTATTTATTGCGCATGCTCTTCAGAGAAGAATATGGGGTCACTGTTTGACATGACTCGTGGAATATGTCTAACATCGTTCTTCCGAGTCGCTTGTTACAAATTGCGCTGAAGCGCATTATGATGATACACAATTCGTGTACCAATTGTAAAATGTTTATTTTGTCTTAAATATTGGATATCAGAGGCCCATCTTTTTCCGGTAAGATCACAACACCAATGTTGATTAAAATTGACAAATAATTTGTGTTTTCATTGTCGAAGGTTTTGGATGATATTGAGTTAGAGACTTAGCTACTTTAAATACAACCACAAAACTTTGTCAGGGCAGTGGCCACTGATGTTGTGTAATGACTGTATGTTTCTATTATCAAAAAACGAGGGCCAAAAAATAACAATATTATCAATATCAATACGGTCGTATATAGTACATATATGTTTCTAGGTTAATTAACATGTATATTACCTGCAATGTCGTTATGTGCTTGTCATTAAATTTATTTTCGACATAACGTAAAACTAAAGAAGTTTTCCCAACACAACCCTCCCCAAGTAGGACACATTTAAAATTGTAATTTCTTCCACCACCAGTGCTATGACCTGCCATCTTTAAATGTTAGATCAACCGAAAGTTAAAACTAATTATTGAGATTCCTCTCTAGCGAAAAAACATAATTTGATTTTAATATTTAACACTTCCTGCAATTTCATTTAACTCATCCCATACAATCAGCATGAAAATGGCTTCTACACAATAATACGTCACAGGTCACGCGGTAATGATAACAAAGCTTACATCAATAACAAACATAAACAAAAGGCTGAAATGAATATGTAGATTCTCTAATTGATATTCCCTAACTTTGTGTGGTGCTTATTTATATAAATAAATGGATATAGATACAATTTAGTTTGATGAATCATACATGTTCTATTTATGTATTAAAGTCAAACATGTAAAATCAATATATTTGCAGGTACGTATGCGGCCTCGTGGAAGTGACGTCATTTCCAAAATATACCACAGACTGAATGAGGATTCACAAGTCAATCACTTATTTGTCACAAAGTTTTTATAATCCAGGATGACGGCTCATAACCAGGTATGTAGAAATGTTCCCCAATTTTCATTTTTATATTGATTTCATCTGTAACGTTTTTTGCTTTTAAACCCTTGAGTTTGGAGGCAAACTTTCAACATCTGTTTTGTGAATTTCTGTTGGTGCCAATAAAAATTAAATGCGACTGGATTGTAAAATCAGGTTGTTTCACCAGCGTAAGGTTTTAGTCAATCAATCTAATATCATCTTAGGATATGGAATTTGACAGGTTTGGTATTAATGTGGAGGCCCTGACTCATTGACCCAAAAGCAAATGATTGCGTTTTTCTTCAAGGGTGATATTTAGCTGATGTTCTTGTTGTTAAACCTGCTGTAGTACTCTAGCTACTTATTTATAATTTGATAGTATATAGTAGTTATAATTATTAGTACTTTAATTGTTACCAGGACAGTCATTGAGTCGGGTAAAAGGAATTATTTCATCGACAAATCAAATCTTAATAGACACATACACATCCCTGTGTCTGTCATGTGATATAGAACGCTAATAATTTATAAATAAATTTTTGACAGTCACACTCACAGTCCTGAACAGAGTGCTTGTGTAGGTTCAAGTACAATATTACGGTAGGGTATAATGAGAAATGCATGCTCAGCAGTGCCAGTAGTTGATGCTTATTTATTAGACAATTTGAGTTAATATTTTGATTTGTCATGTTTATTAAAAATATCGTCATTTCCAGATAATAAAAAAAAGTAGGTGGTTGAACAGATAATCCAAGTTTTGCCCAAGGGAACACAACTTTAATTGTCATAGTATGATCTAGGGCATACATGTAGCAATTAATATTGTTTTTATGTTTATTTATTTCTAAATCCATTCAAATAAAAAGATGAAAAATGTAAGAGACTACTTGTATTCAACTATTATTATGTACATTTCTACTTATTATAATACTGGTTTAAATTGTCTGCATCAAAAGTTTAACAATAAACTTGATTCTAAGTTACTATAGTGTTGTTTAAATCTGGTTTTAGGTTGAAAATGATTCTCATTCTCAGTACAGTGTCATAGTTGTATTTTGTGTCCTAGTGTAGTCTAGATATGGAACTTGCCAACTTGATAATACTGTCTCTGGTCGTCATTTGAGAAATGAATATTACCTTACAAACTACAACATTGCGAAAGCTGAATCTATAAAAGGATTGTCAGTACAAAATTGGTTCAATTCCATTTAGTATTTACAAAAATGTGTTAAATTGAAAATCCTCTGCAGACGATACATAGGTTTTGCCGATTAGGTGCAAACCAGCTAGCACCATCTATGATTTTGGTGAAACCTTTCAATTGGCCTAGAAAAAATACTGCCATTTATATTTTTTGTTCTTTTAATTTAATGATATTAAATAAATCTGAGTACATTTTAGCCTGGGTTAAACATTCAAAAATGTGGTTTTATCTGAAAAGTACAAATAGCGATCTGATTATTTTCAACTTTGAGTGAAGTCTGTGTCACTGCAGACCTGGGACTGTACAGCGCAGTGGACGCTTACGGCTAGCCCCCAGATCCTTTCATTTTTTTTTAATTGTCTGTATGTTTGTGTTTTCCGGAGTATGATGTCCTGTCTGTGTATTTGTTTTTGTGTAAATTTTGTGTGGTGCAGTCCCCCTGCACTTACTATTTGAGTAAATGAGTGTAAAGAAGAGTTACCTTGATCTTTGAATAATGAATGATCATAATAAAGTTTTGAATTGTGTTCATCTGATATGTTTAAAGTAGTGAGACTATCTCTAGAATTGTGTCAAAAATCTTGTTAAATTGTTGCTTCTAATAATTATTAATGATAGAACTGTTGAGTTGTTTGACAGTTAAAAATTAATGCTAGACAGTCCTTATCTGTCTGGATTTTTCCAAAACTTGTGTTGTTTGTATGACTGATTAGACTAACAATCCTCTTTCAGAATTCTCCATGTCAGTTTTGGGTTATCTGGACCTGTATTCCAGAAACATAACCTAATTTGAGATGTTCATTTTTAAGCCTGTACTCTGTGTTTAAACATGTGACTGTTCCTGTAAATATCCTATAGTATTATAGAGAATTTGGTTATTTTCTGTGAGATGGAAACATGCCATTTTTACTTTTCATATGTTTTATTTCAGATTCAGTATGAAAAAGAGAGTGTTTTTATTCACATTAATGTATCAGATGCTAAGGATAAAGATGCTCACATACCAGGAAGAGTTTTTCTTATGAACAAGGTTATTATTATAGGCATATTAATTGACCTTTAAATCTTTGTAACTGTATATTTAAAATATTTTATTTAGAAACAATTTTTCATTAATAATAATAATGTATTTATATAGCGTCTATTATCCAGTAAACTGCTCAATGGCGCTGAGTTAATATTTATCATTACGATATATGATTTGTTTTTGAAACAAATTTCATTAATTTACCACTTGAAATATAGTTTGAGGTCAATAACTACTGTGTAGTATTAGTTTATTTTTTTTTTAAAAATTATCAAGGTTGCTAGGTTTTAGATACTAATTTATTATGAATAGTTGCCTGCTGATTTATTTATCTGTCCTCTTCCTAAGTCAAACACATTAAAGAAAAAAGAAAAAGAAATACCACAACAAGCTATTTAAAGTAGGTTATAACAGTTACATGTACTGTAAATGTTTATTTTGTTGTATGTACAATTGTAGCCCGAAGGCGTGTATTTAGAATGGAAAGCTGAAGAAGTTATTTCATTAGATGGTGCTCAAAGTGATCAGGATTGGACTATGGTTAGATCTGTAGCATACAGAAATGATAGAGATTCAGATGCAGGTAATAAGCTTAATAAGCTATAATATTTACTATCACAGTTTAAAATAAACATTGAATATATTGATCCATTATTTAACATAAATAATCTATATGTGTGATGTGACATACCATTCAAAATCAATACGTAAAAACTTTACATGTAGCCAAAATGTCTAGACTACTGGTAGTGTTTTATTAGAACTATCTATGTCATTTTTTTTGTTTATACAGTGTCTTCAATGAATGCAAAAATGGATTCCAGAAGAAAATATAATATAAGTTTTGATATTTTGGATCTTAAAAGTTTTAAAAGAAGTGCACCAAATCACGGATGGGCATACATCATTTTTATCCTGAAAGATGGAACAACATTTCCAGCATTGCATTTTCATAATGGTGGCAGTAAAGCCTTGTTGAAAGAATTTGAGAAATATGTCCACATCAGAAGGTAGGCCCCTTTAAAGATATGTAAACAATGCAACCATTTATCAACAGAAATGTAATTTATTTATCAAAGAAATGTCTATTGACAGAGATTTAGAAAGTCCATTGAAGTTGAACTCCTTTTTTTTAAAAAAAAAAGACAGACTTCCAATTTTAATATTTACACACATTCAGACTTGTAATAAATCTTACAAAGACAAACATATTATCACCATATTTGATGACAAGTTAAACTACATGTACTTCCCAATTGTTTATTAAATTGATTCTGTGAATGAACTTTATACACATGTTGGTGTTAATTATATAATACAGATATGTAAGAGATATGTGTAATGTAATTAAATTATCAAGATTAACAATGATTAGGAGATTCCACATAAAGTACTATGTAATCATTCTATGTGTAGCTATTTATAGCACTATGAGTCTTATCTAAATGTATCAAGATTGTGAGTTGATTGAGGTATAATTAGTATAGAAATGATTTCAATTAATCATGATTCGTTTCAATGTTTGATTTCTTTTTGCAGATCTCCAAATGATAGCCGATTATTTATTGTGATAGAACATGACCCTGAAATGTTGTCAAAATCTTTTGATGAGTTACAGTTATTTTCGGACTCCTCTGGAGATCTTGTTTCGGTAGTATACAAATTTATTACTGTTACTTTTTTTTTTTTAACAAAATAGACATTATAGATGCATTATGATTATGAACAAATTAAATCTGCCTATTGCAGGTCTTTTTTTTCGTGGGGGGGGGGGATTTAAGTGTTATATAAGTTATTAATTAGGCATTTATTCACCCGACAAGCCCATTATCAACTCTCTACAACATTATGTAAACATGATAATCAAGACTATTATCATAGTAATGGTACTAAACAATTAACACTATATTGTCAAAACTTCAAACACTCATAACTTCACTTATTATCAGAATGAAGTAATTTTCAATATATTCATTTTTAATTATCTGTTTTTGAACTGTTATAGTAAGAATGCTTAGCTCTTTTTTCAAAATCTTACATAATCCATTTTTTAAAAAAATACATAAAAAAAATAAGATGGTAAACTAACATTTAAGAAACTGACCACTGGTACAATGTAGTGCATAAACATAATCAGTAGACATATTTTTAAGATTAATTAGCATATTTATTTTTACATTACATATAATAACTTATGGTTGTGGATTCAAATCAGTAGATACATACATAATCAGTAGACATTTTTTTAACTGTACTTATAACAACTTATGGTTTTGGATTCAAATCTTCTGCATTTAAAGTGGCTCTAGTTAGTTCGAAAATGGTTAAGATACAGTTCATGTAAGTACACTGCCTTGGTTAAGGTACAGTATTTGCCTTGTGCATGACATCGGTAACTACTGTTAGGTATAGCTATAGCTTTGAAGTTTGTTTTAAGAGGCTGAAGTTATGTGGTTGTCTGTAACTCTTTGGTAATGACTATCAACATAGTACTTAACGGTTAAATGTCAAAGATGTTTACTGTGATCTGATTAAATTATGGTCCATCAAAAACGGAAATAAATCACCTAGACTATTATAACAACAATTGAAATTAGATATTACCAATATTATTGTTAATCTCATGTTCATCCTAAGAATTTTTATACTGTTTCATTTCATTTATCTGGACTATATATATATATATATGGTTTCATTAACATAGTACATAGTACACAATCACATATATATATATATATATATATATATATATATATATATATATATATATACTGTTTTACATTGATATCATATTACAGAGACTGTCTTCTTGAACTTCGAGTCTGGATGATTGTGATATAAACTTATATATGTAGTTGAGGATGTAAATGCGAAGTTTATTGTGTGACCCTAATTAATACAATTCACTTTAGATTATATTATTGTTCAGTGTTTATATTGGTGTAGCAAAAGATGAAGACCATAATAAGGAGTAATATTACTGTTCTTGGTTTTATTTACTGTATTAAATGATGCTTATTTGTGTATCAACAGTATCGATTTAAAAACAATTTTATCATTTGGTTTTATTCACTAGTGCTATTTGATCACTTCAGATTATTTCAATCATGTATAGATTTAATATCTTCTGTTGAGAAATGTTAGTTTAGCAGTTCTCTTTCGTGGGTGGCATATTTTAAGACTGTTGATACAGAAACGATGCCAGATATGTTGTTAAAATTAATATTTTCTTTTCATAGAAATTTATCAAAGACCCCTACACAGCAACTATGGGTGGATTTTCTAAAGTGACCAACTTTTTACGCAATGTGTTAATTCTAGAAGATAATCCGACAACTCGACCACAAGAAGAAGTAGCTGATATATTACAGGAGGATATACCGGGTATGGAAATCAGTCAACAAGAATCAGGTTTTGAAATGATAACAAAGGTAAAATTGTGCTTCGTTGATATATTGTACAATGCACAAGGTCATTTAGATGGGACAAAAGCTTTGTTTACACATTGGTAATCTCCATTCCATTTCACTGCTTGATTGTACTAAAAAATCCTCAAACATGCCTTAGAAGTTAGAAGCAGTGCAAGGAAATGTTGGTAAAAATTATTTTATATGCCAATATTTTCATGTGGACGTATATTGTTGTCGCCCCGGTCTGTCCAAGTGTCTGTCCGTCTGTTCACATTTGTTTGTGGACACTCTACATTTTATTTATGAACATTTAGCCTATAGCCTATAAACAGTGTTTATGTATAATTTATACATCTTTAAATTTAATGTAAACTAGTTATAAAAAGCATTGTTTCGGATAGAAATTTGACAGTGTTGAATAGCTCCCGCAAAATATATGGCAAAAGCATATCACTTCAGCATGATTTTTTGATTTCAAGGCTTACATTGTAGTTATTTCTTGTGGACTCTCTAGAGGTCACAATTTTTATCCGATTTTGATGAAACTTGAAATGTATGTTTATAACTCAAAGATCTTCGTTTCTTCCAGGATTATGACCCCTGATTGTACGAAAAATAGCGTTTGTAGCTTGTAATTCCTCTAGAGGTCACAATTTTATCACATTTAAAAAGAACGTTCGAATATATCATCATTAATTATACCATAAAGATGATTCAGTTCGAATTTTGTGAAAATCGGAATGAAACTGCTGGACAAAATGGCCGCTCTCTGTACGCAAATAGTGCTAAAGTATGTAATGTCATGGTTGTGGCCCCTCTAGATTTCACAATTTTGATCTAATTTTGATGAAACTTTAAATATAGGTTTATATCCAAAAGATCTTGGTTTCTTTTCGATATTCGTGCATATCAGACCGAAACTTCCTGGATTGTACAAAAAATCATGTTTTTATATGCCCACATTTTCATGTGGACATATTATGTTGTCGCCCCTCCCCATCCACAATTTGATTGTGTACACTCTACAGGTCACAATTTTTATCCGATTTTGACAAAATTTGAAATATAGGTCTATCTCCCAAAGATCTCAGTTCCTTTCGATACTGGCATATATTGGCCCATAACTTCATGGATTGCGACCCCTGTTTCTACGAAAAATCACGGTTTTAGCTTGTGGACCCTCTAGAGGTCACAATTTTCATCTGATTTTGATGAAACTTAAAATACATGTTTATAATCCAAAGGTCACTTCCTGATTCATGGCCCCTGATTGTACGAAAAATGGCGTTTTTAGCTTGTGGTCCCTCACAAGGTCACAATTGTTATCTGATTAAAAGAAAAACGTTCCATTATAACACTGTTACACCATAATGTTGGTTGAGTTTGTACTTTGTGAAAATTGTACCAAAACTGCCGGACAAAATGGCCGCCCCTTATATGCCAATAGTTTAAAAATATGGTATATTAAGGTTGTGGACCCTCTAGAGGTCACAATTTTTATCTGATTTTGATGAAACTTAAAATATGTTTATATCCTGAAGATCTAGGTTCCTGTAGATATTCACGCATATCAGACCGTAACTTCCTGGATTATGGCCCCTGATAGTACGAAAAATCTCTTCTTTTTTGAGCTTGTTCTCTGTCCACCTCTTGCAAAATGTGGCCGTATCTTGCATGGCAACCGCTTGTTTATTTAAGCTTGTTCTCTATCCATTTCTTGCAAAATGTGGGCGTATCTTACCGGGGAACTGATGTTTTTTTGTACCAAAAGGTTGCTTAAATGTGTTAATATATTGATAATTATATTTTCAGACTAAACTACCACCTAGACCGACAGTAGCTAGAGGTGATGCGTTGTTACCAGGGCAATGGGCACTACATCTAGACAGTGAGGGTAAAATTAAAAATAAAGAAGATCTGTTAGAAAGAATATTCCGAGGGGTACGTAGAAGTCTTACTCAAATATTTTACTTCAGATATTAGTTATCTTTATTTCTATGTTTTATTGTATTAACATCTGACATATTTCTCTGAAGCCACTATCCATGTATCAGGAATTTATTTTCTATATTGGGGCGGGGCTGTCTTTTGTGCTGAATTATGGTTGGTTTAGCAATTATAACTATATGAGATATGAATAAAACTCTAGCAAAAAATAGTGGTGATAGAAATAATGTTTTTTTTCTTCAGGGAATAGAACCATCTATACGTATTGAAGTATGGAAATATTTATTATGTTATTATACTTGGGACTCAAATCATAAAACAAGACAGGAACAAAGAAAGCGAAATGTGTAAGTTTGTTCATATTGTAATTAAGACATTATAATTATAGAATATGATATGAATAATGTTAAATTATTTGGGCAGTAAAGCTTTTTAGTCTATCAATTATGTTATACTAGCAGGATACCCGGCTTCGCTCGGGGGTCATAACTCCGAAACCGGAAGTGGTAGACTAACGCCGTCTGGCCTATGTTACTCCCCGGTCCGAGCTACCCCTATACCCCAAATTTCAGATTCGGGGCAGACCTAGTGTAGCCACCAACCCCGAACAGACCGGCTTCGCTCGGGGGTCATAATTCGAAACCGGAAGTGGTAGACTTACGCCACCTTACCTATCTTACTCCCCGGTCCGAGCTACCCCTATACCCCAAATTTCAGACTTGGGGCCAGGGCTGCCGACAACCAGTATCGCAGCGCAATTTGCGATACATATTTTGTCCGTTGCTAACCAAAAATTAAAATCTAACGTTTTTGATTCGCAGTTACTGCGAATCATTAATATGCCTGTCATTTTGGATATTGACACAAGAATAATCCACATTTTGAAGACTAGAAGGCTTACTCAACACTTTCAACGTGTATAAAATGTTGAATAACATTTTAGAAACAAAACGGAATTCTCCGTGTGTCATTTTCTTCTCGAACTGCCCAGACACAATACTATATAACACAGGGACATAACTCTATGAATAGGGACTATTAAACCAGAAATAGGGAATCAAGTAGTACCACTCACGTTGTGAGACATCAAGTAATTATATCATATTCATTTTGAAAGAAATAAATCCAGTGTATCTCCCACGTATTGTAAATAAAATATAAAAAAAATAAATACATGTTAACGTATTGTAAAATGATAAATCAAAGTAAAAATTCCCGTAAAATATTATTGTTTATATCGCGTGTGTCTAGTTAATCGAGGTGCGCCCGATTGAACAAAAATAATAATACACGATAAAAAGCAGACGAAATTGTTTTCTAACGAAGATTTCTAACGTAACAAAAAAATTACAATTAAAATGAGTGGGGCTTCGGAAGTCACTGTCAAGAATTGGCTTCAGACATAAGACCTAACTAAATGTCTACATCACATTCACAAACTGTCACAAGTACTTGTGGCAGTGCTAAAAAATCTAAGAATAGTCAGAATGGAATCTAATCATATTTCAATTCGTTATGAATTAAAGTAATATCTTGTTATTTAGGTGTTTTACGTTGAAACTGAAAAACTGCTAATCAATTTTTAAATTTGCTAATCAAATTTGGCAAAATTGGACTTTTTGATTAGCAGTGCTGCTAATCAACTGTGAAAAATTACCGACAGCCCTGCTCGGGGCAGACCTAGTGTAGTCGCCAACCCTGAAAAGACCGGCTTCACTCGGGGGTCATAACTCCGAAACCGGAAGTGGAAGACTGAAGCCACCTGGCCTATGTTACTCCCCGGTCCGAGCTACCCGTATACCCCAAATTTCAGACTCAGGGCAGACCTAGTGTAGCCGCTAACCCCAAACAGACAGACAGATACCCGGCTTCGCTCGGGGGTCATAACTCCGAAACCGGAAGTGATAGACTAATGCCAACCTGCCTATGTTACTCCCCGGTCCGAGCTACCCCTATACCCCAAATTTCAGACTCGGGGCAGACCTAGTGTAGCCGCCAAACCTGAACAGATAGACAGACAGACAGACAAACGACAGTCACAAATATATATATAGATGTCTTTTACACACTCGATTGTATAAACTGCTCTTCCTTTAACTCAAGTTACATTTAATAGAGATGAATTTTCTGTGAATGTATTATTTTGGAACATGGAACTGGTTGCATACATTTGGTAGTTTTCTATGTGTTTTTAGATGACCCTCTTCTAAAATAGCTACTATGATATCATGATATCGTGCTTGGTTCCTGGTTCAGATAGTACTCTTGTATGGCCATTGAGATGATTACTTTAGAATGTTATAATTGTGAATGATATTTTTTTGTAGGGACGATTACTTTCGAATGAAATTACAATGGAAGACAATTAGTGCAGCACAAGAAAAAAGATTTGCTACATTAAGAGAAAGAAAAGGTTTAATTGGTAAGTTACATATTTTGGAGCCTCAGAAATACACCAAAATGGCCATCGAAAGTTTTAAAAAAAAAACGAAATGAAATATAGATCTGTATTTTAATCAGATTGAGAAATTATAGGATTTTTGTAAACGCTTTCTAAATGCAGTGTCATTCAGATCTATACATCTATACCATAAAATCTGTGTTTATTATTAAAATAAAGTTCTTATTTACAAAAAATATGTTGTGTTTTTACTTTCAACAGATAAAGATGTTACGAGAACTGATCGAACACAGAAGTTTTACCAGGGTGAAAATAACCAGAATTTACTTGTATTAAATGATATTCTTATGACATACTGTATGTATAACTTTGATCTAGGTGAGTAATATTCTTATTAATTATAGCAAAGTTTTATAAAGTTCATCTAGACTTTCTAGTATGAAGAAATATTCAATTAGATGAAACATCAAGGTAACTGATCTCTGGATTTGACTGAAACTCTTTTCTTATGCTTTGCACACATTAGGATTAAAAACAAGATTGTCATATATTTCAGTTAGTTTTAAAATGACCTATGTACAGTATTGGTGTGACATTAAATATTTGAATATAGTTTTATTGTTGATAATTTTAGGATATGTTCAGGGTATGAGTGACTTATTGTCACCAGTTCTTGTTGTCATGGAGAATGAAGTTGATGCTTTTTGGTGTTTTGCTGGTTTAATGGAACGATTGGTATGATAATTCATATGATTTTGTGTTTGGTTTTTTTTTGATTGATTGGATCCATAAATATAAATATATAGATTTCAATTAGGAATAGTATTAATCAATATTACAACATTAAATATTCATATTAAATCTGGTTATTATTCAGCAATTCAAATAAAATTGGATAAGAATTGTTTCAATTTTATCATTTTCATGCTTGCTTTTGTTTCAGTGTGGAAATTTTGAAATGGATCAGAATGGTATGAAAGTACAGTTAGCTCAAATACATAAATTAATGCTTGTATATGATCCAGAATTGTGCCATTACCTAGGTTGGTATTATTACACAACATTTCACAATCAGTACTGTATTTTCTGTTTACTAGATCTTGTGATCTATCAGATGGCATAAATACGATGAGGGTGGTCCTGTCTAACCTCAAAGGTTTTGTCCAGCTCCTTGGTTTCATTCCACTGCGAAAGACCCCTTATTGAAATAAAAATGTGTGATATGTTAGTCTGGAAATGATCTAATTTGTATTGAATGGATGTTAAAACACCTCTCCCTCTCTCTCTCTCTCTCTCTCTCTCTCATTGTCCTAACAGTGGTGCCCTACAGAATGTTTGAAACAAAATGATACAATATATAAGTGATTTTTTGATGAAGTAGTAAATTCATACTCAGACTAATCAGACATTTTTTGTTTTTGTTTTTTTACAGAAAGCCATGATTCGGGAAATTTTTATTTTTGTTTTCGATGGATTCTTATCATGTTCAAAAGAGAATTTCACTTTCATGAAATTCAGAGGCTATGGGAGGTAATATTTAATTTTTTTATTAGTTCACAAATATAGAGCAGCACTGTTGTCAAACATAACAAGTCTCATTTTCATAAAATAATAAGGCCATGTACAAAAAATATTCCAATTATCAGGGCTGCATGACCCATTTTTATCTTAAAAGATAAAAACTGTCTCATTAATTACCATACGTAAATGTTTCTTCCCGTGTTATAGGAAGTAACACTATAAAAATGTTTTTTGAATGAATCAATAAATGTGCTATAGGCTAATTTATTAAGTACGCATGCCTGATAATTATTAATGACAATCATAAATGATATTGGATAATCAATATAACAATGATGTAATTGTCAGATATTTACACTAGTGTATTTCTAGTCATAATATTAGAAAAGAGAATATTATGGTGGTGGGGTGACATTAAAATTTCAGTATACATTTATAAATTTCATGACATATCAATTTCTTGTTTTACAGTAATTACAGAATATTTTAGTTGTAAAATTTAAACAAGTACAAGCAGTAATGAAATGTTAAAATAAAGAAAGTTAAAACCTCTAAACTAAGAGAAGTGCATATAGTTTCCAAACCCTTTTCTTCGCATATTTCTGTTAGTGAAGCATTTGTTCTCCACAAATAGTCTGATATCTTATGATTCTAATAAATAAATGTGTGTCCATTTTTCTTAGTTTATAAATTTTATATTTATCAGGTGATGTGGACAGATAAACCATGTAAGAATTTCCATCTTATAATAAGCCTGGCAATATTAGATTCTGAAAAATCAACACTAATGGAAAATAATTTTGGTTTTACAGAAATTTTAAAGGTTAGTATAAGTGTTGCTTTATATCCAGGATTCATTTTTATACACCCACATTGAAATGTGGCCATATATTGTCGTTCCATCTGTCTGGCGGGCACAATTGTTTGTGGACGCTCTATTACGAGTAATAACCCATTAAGTAATTATCAGAAATCATTAGTATTTGTTTCGACTGTCTCATGACCTTAAACAATTTATATTAACTTTAACCCCTAGAGCTACCACAAGTGATCATGGGCCATAACTCTGGCAGTAATTATTGGAAATTGTTGAAAATGAATAGGATTCATGATCACTTGTGGACACTCTAGGGGTTAAAGTTAATATAAATTGTTTAAGGTCATGAGACAGTCGCAACAAATACTAATGATTTCTGATAATTACTTAATGGGTTATTACTCGTAATCAGAGTTTTTATTGTGTTGTAAGTGTTTTTATTATTGACAAAAGAAAAAATATGCAACAACCCTTGTTGACTGCCCGTACAACTTAGCGGCTGTGTGTGTATGTTTTGTTGCCTGGCAACCTATCGTTTTATATGCCCACCCACATTGAAATGTGATTGTATAATTTTATCAGTCCTAATCAAGTTGGATATTTGAGTATGGCATGGCATTCAATCCTGGTGATGGATGAGAAAATCCCTCTTGATTTTCCAGCCTTGTTTCCCCCTTGTCAGAGGTGCAGGATGAGAGGACCTGACAAGGAAAAAAGAATCTTGTCATTCGGATTGTGCAGAAAACCTGGGTCCACCTGTGTACTCAATGTTGTGCACATAAAAATAAAAAACAATTGACAACTTTCTGTGCTAAATTTCCTGGACTAAGTAAGCTTGTCTTCCTTAGCTCAGTTGGTGCCAAAAAGTAGGAATTGAAAACTTCATTTCATTTCTGTCTCAAAGAAGTAAAAAAATAATCACTTTTCAAGGGAGGTAAACCCATCAGTATAGTATGTTCTATGTCGAACAGGGTAATAAAATGTGTTACCAATTGATTCACGAAGTCAAACAAAAGATGTAAATTACACTTAACTGATTTTTTTTTTGTGTGTGTTTACAGCATATCAATGATATAAGTCTTTCAATACCTTTAGAAGATACGTTAAAGAAAGCAGAAGGAATATTTCTACAATTAAAGAAATACAAGAAACTACCTAATGACATCAAAGAAATATTAGGTCTTGATGTCTCACCTAATAACTCAAGTTCAAGTTCAGCTCATCCAACCCCTACAGGTACGCCTGTCAACCGGGAGAACAGTCCTCGATTAGAGTTACCCTTACATATGAGTAATGGAATGAATAATTCTGGTAGTGGAACTGCTGCTACCACTCCTGATGACAGTAGCATTGAAATTTTAACAGATACGGTTGATTCAGCAATAAACAATTATTATCATTGATGACTTTTACATCAAGTTTATTTAGTGCATTCTGAGTAGGTGTAGGTTTATGGCAATAGACTGTCATTTGTGTATCATTGTTGTTTGGCCATATTCTTTTTATGAGGAATAATTACGCTACCTCAAAGAGATTTAATTACAGAATATTCTATTAGACTTAAAGTTTGAATTAAATATAAAAAATACACATTGAAATCTCTGTTATAAGAAAAAAAAATCAGCTTAGATACAGTAATAATATGCAATTTAAGAAGTATTGTCAATTTCAAATTGGAAAACCAATTACTGAGTGAAAAAATGTAGTTGTGAGCTTGTCATTCAATTGTATATTATTGATTTTATCAGTGCTATTCAGAGTGTATTTTCTATCACAAACCAGAACCTACTTTAGCCTCAACATAAATACTTGTTTTATTTGTTTTTACGCAACACTAGCCTATTTCTTTACACATTGTAAATAGATATTACTATCAAGATTTAGATTATCTGTATTAAGCTATTTATTTTTGCTTTCAGATGATGGTTCCGATCATTCAAGCCAGTAAATAAGTAAGTAAGTGTCTTTCATTAAAACATTATTCCTCTTAAATTCTCTTTTTAACAACATTAGATACCAGTTTCTTTTAGTCTGATACCTCAATACTTACTTAACCTTTAAACAAACCAGTATTCTGGACTAAAATACTGGAAGTAATTGTTGAATGTTGAAAATTGTTAAAATTCATAATTTGTTGAAATGGTGGTAGAGATCTTAAAAATAATGTGAATTCTTGAAGAGTGATTCAAATTTGGAAAAAATACACATTATGTATTCCATTTTCATCTACTTTAATTTTTACATTAATAATTTTTTTTTTTTTTCGTCTATGTTATTTTTTAAATCTGAATTCAAACTGATTTTGATTGAAAGAGGATGTTTTGTTTTTGACAGACACTTATTTACCATCTTATTATTATAGATTTTGTTGTAATTGTATGAAAGATTGTATTTATATGTAAAAACAATACGCATGAGTGTGATTTTAAGAGTGAATTATGAAAACTGTCATGTAAATTCATCTGAAGACCCATGATATTTAAAGATGTAGAGCTTTTTGCCTATGAGAATGTCTTAGAAAATTATCATAATTATAGCTTCTTGTAGTTTGATGAGTAAAAACTAATTGAAATCTAAAAGTATATTTAGTATTGCATGTTTGAGTTACAGCCATTATGTTTTGTTTAAAGTGCTTGATTAAATATGTGATTAGTAATTATTATTCTGTAATAGATCTACCACAAATACATTAATTACTCTTCACAATATTTTTAAAAAGTTGATAACAGTATGGTGCATTTTGCATATAGGATTACAAATTTAATATGGATCTATTATTAACAAAAATCTGTTCACAGTTGTTATCATGAATGCAATATAAATGTACAAAAGTGCAATAGATAGAGTGAATTTATTTGTTCACAGATATGACACAATAAACAACAGGATTATAACAATATAGAGGTAAAATATTAGTAAATTAATTGATGCTAGTATTCTTTCCACTAACTCCCAACTTTTATCTATATGCTCATGGTGTCTATTTTACAGTTCGTCACTGACTTAACCAAGGCATCCTTTCATTTAATACTATTTCTAATGCGATAATCCAATATAATTGGACCTTGTGTCCAAAATATCTCATGAGGAAGTAGATACATATATTTTTGACCAATGTCTGTCTGGAAAATATGTTGTTTGTCAGTTTTATCCGTGAAGAACAACATAATATTTATGAGCGTTATTCAAGGGATCAAACTTCAGTATGAATGAATTGATGAAAGAGATATGTGAAAATGCCAGATTATATAATAAAAGCAAATTTACCAAATAGAATAAAAATCAAATTTATCCATTCTGTATATCTTCCTCTAAAATCTCCTTTTAGTTTAATATAATGTGTAAACAAAATATAATTATTTTATTGTTAGAAATACTTCAATTTCATTTGTATCTTATAAATATTCTGTTTTTAATTATTTTATTTTTGTCTTGATTTTATGGTTATTTTCATTATTTGAATCCATCAAATAAACAAGTATTAATTAGTTTTTTGTCTAAATCATAACTTTGGATTTTAATTTATACGTTAAAACCACCATCATGTACATAATTGTGATTTCAAAAAACACACTCTAATTAATATTATACTAAATTTTAGTTGTTTCATATTTTGGTTGGTCAGCCTACTCTAAAGGCTTTTCTATATTGGATGTGTTCAGTAATGCACAGAATATGATTGCCAGACGCAAGAACAACCCAACAATCAAAATCTGGGATAAATGAAATGTATAAAAGGGTTTGTTAGTTTATTCTCAGAGCTTAATGTCTGCTTCCACCTGGGTTAATAGAGCAGACAAGATGAAAGTGTTTAAAATTTAAACTTTAAATTTCCAGAAATTTAATGGACTGGGTAATCAAGTCAAATGTACTGCACTATTATAGGTCCAGAATGCATTTTTCGGAAACATATCTTCATATATTAATGGAGTGACAAAACCGAATAAACAGAAGTAAGATTTAGTATTATGGTAATTAGATTATAAAACAAAAAATAATGCAAACTTTTTTTATTAGTATTTTCAGTCCCTTTTATGGTAATTTTTCTTCTTGCTACATCAAAATTGTATACATTTTTCAATGTTCATTATACATATCTGTAATGCCAAGTCGCTAGCTAGCAGAGCAATGTAGATAGATTTGTTCTTTAGGGTAAAGAACTAATTTTATGGTGCAGTGCACTATTTATTAATGTAATATTGTATAAACTGTGATTTTATTACTATTAGTTTTTATTTGTATTCTTCAAATATATTTTGTGCAACACAACAGTCCATTCCTAACTATAATGTATGCAATACAATGATGTGATTCTGTACACATGTAAATAGGTATTGGTAAATAAACTTGCCAATTTAGTATTTCTTTATATTTTAAGAAAAGAAAAATGGATATATGGATTAGGGGTTGGTATAAAATGTCCTCTTGCCTATCTGCCTTCTAGGTTATTTACATACTGCATGAAGGAATTGCTAATCCTCATCTTTGATTGGCGGAGATAATGGGCAAGAATACTTTTTACACCAATCCTGGTTCAAGCTTGGTTTTAAAAGAGTGTTACATTGCACTTGTGCTTAACTGTTAATAGTGTTAATTTAATTTAAATGAAAGGTTATTACCATCATTGCACTGGCGATGGGGTAATGTGTGCTCCCCCTATCCAATTTACACAATAAATTAATGGCTAGACATATCCAAGACCCATTAGACATATTTCCCCATTTCTGATCGATGGTATGATGCAATTATTTCATTTGATTGTGTTCCTTATCAAGGACTTACTAGTAATCTGCTAAGAGTTTTTGAGAGAGAAAAAATGTACCCTCTCCCCCGTTCTGGAAAGTCCTTACAGTACCAGTCATTGAATTGTGTTTTATTATATTACCTACTGTTCAGTTACATACATTATTTATCTTTTATCATTATATAATATATTATTGTTATTGACATGTATAGAGTTTTATAAACATGTAAATAAAGATGTATCCTCATGGAATAAAGTCCTGATAAAAACAAAACTATGTTCATTTTTTCTGCAAACCGACACTGTTGTTGTTACCTTTGTCGTCAAAATGTTCTTGTGAATGTTGTAAGCCAGTGATTCTCAACCAATGTTCCGCGGCACACCTGTGTGCTGCGAGATCTTCCTAAGTGTGCCACGAAATTTTGAACGGCACACTAAGAAAATGTGAAAAACCATGTGATCCCAATTGAGTATTCACTGGTGTCTACTGATAAGTTCATAACTGTGTTTTTCTTTATTTAATTTGGGTCATTCTATGTGTCTATGACTATTCTTTGTCAACGGTTGTATTCCATGTTTTTATTTTACAAAATTCAAATATTTTTCTTATACTGTATATTTAGCCAGGTGTGCAGCTAATTTTTCATGTGTTTCAAGATGTGCCGTTGGCAAAAAGAGGTTGAGAACCACTGCTCTGAGGAATACTGTTCTTTGTCAACCTTACAGGACACAGTTCTTAATGGAATATTTTAAAAACTCAGTGGGATTGTAAATTACAAATGTGTTTCGCCTTTTATATTTCTAGTCAAGTTTTACCTTTTAAGCTTGTGAACTCCACACAGAGGAATCATGGGGAGATTGTTCATTTCAAAACTTTTGGATGGTAAATTCCAAAATCATTTTGCTAAGTATTTTTCTGTTTATGTCTTGACTGTTATATTGACAATGTTCTCAATAGAATTCTTAAAATGTGAATAGTACTTAATGTCATTTCAACACAATACTTTGGTTATTTGAGACTATGATGTGATAATTTTCATTTCAATCGTTATGTGTGCAATGCAAGGGATAGAATTTTGTCCAGAGAGCATTCCAACTTTCATGGTTTTGCCAATGTGTACACAGATGAAGCTCCGAACAACTCTGTGTCCTGCTCGTAGATGCCACCTTTGACAGGTGAGCACTGGACTTGGAAAATCCTAAAGATTCTTTACTGACCACTATGACATTCTAGTCAAGTGACCAGTTTGATCCACAGTTTTTTCTTATTTTAAAATTTGGTCAGATTGAATTTCAAAATTTAAGGATCATAAATTTTAACACAGTTCACATGTTCACTTTTAAAGGGGGGGTGGATGGCTGAATGGTTAGCGTGCGCGCGCTGTATCATAAAGTCTGCCATTGAGTCGACCGGCGTGGTTTCGAATCCCCGGTGGTACGTGGCAAGGAGTAGGGTCGCCTGTCCAACCTCGTGGGTTTTCTCCGGGTCCTCCGGTTTCCTCCCACTGCTAAAGACCCCTACGCGCAAGCGAATTATGTAAATAAAATTAAACCATATGTTAGTCCCGAAATGACCTAGTTTGTGTCGAGTGGACGTTAAACCTCATTTCTCTCTCTCTCTCACTTTTAAAGCTTAGTACAGTGTTAATAGTTTTTAAAATTTCTCTGTGGGACATGTTAACAATGATCAAAAATTTATTATAGATGATTTTGTTGTTGGTGGGGATATAAAGGGACTACTAAGCCCCCATCTAGCATTATATTAGGCAATTGTTGGTCATGTCTGGTAAAAAAAAAATAGAAACAAAATAAATTGACTGCCCATATTTCAAAGGAAGGAGAGATTTCATGTACAGTAAATAATTAATATATGATATGAAATGGAGTTTACATACTACTGACAGGGCTAATGAAGACGGGTAGTGTATATAAACCATGCAGTGTACTATGATGGAAATTTTATTTCGAATTCCAACTGCCTAGCATTCTTTTACGTGTGGGGGGGTTGGATGGCCGAATGGTTAGCATGTGCGCGCTGTATCATAAGGCTTGTCATTGAGTCAACTGGCCTGGTATCTAATCCTCGGTTGTATGTTACAAGGAGTAGGGTTGCCTGTCCAACCTCTTGGGTTTTCTCCGGGTCCTCTGGTTTCCTCCCACTGCTAAAGACCCATACGCGGAAGCGAATTATTGAAATAAAATAAAACCATATGTTAGTACCGAAATGACCTAGTCTGTGTCGAGTAGACGTTAAACCCCATTTCTCTATCTTTTACGTGTACACAGGACCACATATTTTTCCCCATCTGGACAACTAGACGCTGTTCCTTGCCAGGCTCTACGTTCTGACCCACTGACAAGGGAAACCCATACGAAAAATCCAGAGCAACTTTCTCGGCCAACACCGAGATCGAACCCAGGATCTCCTGGTTAACGAACCAGCACCAAACTCATTGAGTTCCAGTTCACATATAATTTAATCATTTTGTGTTTGGTATTTTTAAAGAAAACTACAAAATATAATCTCAAAGTTAAAGACGTATCATGTAAGATAGCTGACAGTTCTCGCTATAATAGCTAAAAAAGATATAGAAAACTTCATTTAAGCGAGTTATTGACGATTGAAGAACAGTGTAGTCTTGATTGTCATGGCTATTGTTATGATAATAAAATTTCGATTATCTTTTTTTTAAATTAAACTGTTAACTAGCTATCGTTTTTTAAATCATTTGAAAATCAAAATCATCCAATGGTCCAAAGTCTTGATTATAGGCTTGACATGTGAATGAATGTCTAATTAATGATTTATATAACATTTGAGGCCAAACAAAAGATCTGCATTAGGCAGATTTAGCTCTTACATAATGCATCTTTAAGAAATCTCCTGGCAGAGGAATAAAGTGATATATTTAACTTTGAGTGAAACCAGCCCATGTTATATTCTTTATCATGAAATTAGACAAAGATGAACACAAAACTTAATCTGAAATAATGAATAGGCACACATTGAAACAGAAAGACAAATATTTAACCAAATTACCACTTTTAATAATAATTATACAAGATTGTATGTGAATGTCCATTTGGAAAATTTAATAACACTGGCATCACCATCACATGGCATCAGCATAATGGTTTGTCTATTATTTGTTTTAATATCAGGATCTATAACTTGCATGACACAATGACGTCCATCCATCCATAATATCTGCCCCCGTTCATTGTAGCGCCACATCTGTGCTTTAACTTGATTGCAGGACGTTAAAATCAAATAATTGTTATAAACGTTGATACATTTCTGGCCCAGCATCAAAATACCATTTCTTGTTAGGGCAATATTCTGAGTTTCATATCCCCAACATTCTCTCATTTCAAATGGACTAACAGTCATAACTTGAGCTAAACCAACACAACGATATCCTCCTTCATTTTTCATTTTACCAAATTTGACACTTGATGCCGGTGGTATCTCTAGTTCAGGGTATATTGTTTGTAAAAACCAGTCAAAGCTTTTACATTTAATTTTTTTCTTGAGCTTGAACATGTCCGCAAAATCGTCATAATTAGCTGGTGGTTTAATACGACCTTGATGAACACTATAAAATATATCCTTATAATCACCTAACCATAGTTCAGCTATCCTTCTTTCATTGAACAACAAATCTGCATACTCAACATGGAAGGGGTGCCCTCGCTTGAAAATATGCCCGACCCTTGAACATTCCAAAATCTTGACGTTACCGCCACATAACCACACCCGAATCGAGAGTTCCACATCTTCTGCGCCCCATGTTTTCATTCCAGAATCCAATCCCCCAATTTCGAAGAAATAATTTCTGTCTATAGCAAAACTGCAACCAACAATGGCTGGTGTTATGATTGGATCAGACGGATTTCTTCCCGCCATCTGCCTAGGAGGTAATGGCGCGAAGGTGAAGTCCATTGACCATTCAAAATCACCCCTCATGTTTTCCATATATTTCCTGTATTCAAAAGTATCTGTATCGATGACGTCCACGGCTGGTTGAATAACAGTTCGTCTGTTCTTGTAGATTTCCCATAATATTGGTTCGACCCAGCCAATGTTGACCTCTGTATGAGAATCGAGAAACATTACAACTTGACCTTGAGCATTTTTGGCGCCAAAAATTCGACATTTCATCGTCCCTAGTCTTTTATTGGAACGGATAATCTTTACGTTTGGTAATTCTTTCACATAATTTTCAAGATTTTTTCCTAGAAATTCCAGTTTACTCTGATCATCGACCAAGAGAATTTCTTCCAGATATTTATCAGGAGTTCTATCTAGAATACTGTGAATTGTTCTGAGTAAGGTGGACCACGGTTCATCATGCAGGGGTATCACAACACTCACTTTTGGAAAAGTTGGATTGGAATAAGAAATTTTTCGGCATTCGAAGGGTCTCGTGTCGGGAATACGTCTTTTGACAGGAATGCTATGAGATTTTTTAACATCGATGAAGAATTTGTTAAATGCTGTGTCGTTATCTACAGGAAAGAGTTTTAATCTTAATTTCTCGAGTTTTAAATCTTGCGGTGTGGGGGTTCTATCCGCATAATAATATTCATACTCAGCCTTGATGTGTTGTAATATTATATCATTTTCAATTTGCCTCTTACTTCGTAATGTATTGGTGACTGGTTTTAAATGTTGGCTTCCATTGTTCTTGGTGTTAATGAGATATTGATGTTGTAATATAGTTACATATCCTCCTAGAATCAATAATATAACAACCGTAACAATCCAACCTTTCTTTATATTGACAATCTGGGCCATTTTACTTCAAGTAGACAGAACGACTTTCAGTTTTAAACACGTGGCGCACGAATATCTCCGTCCAATTTTGATGAAGACTAAAACAACAATTTTGAGAGAGACAAGAGGGAGAGAGAGAGAGAGAGAGGGGGGGGGGGGTCATTGACATAATGCTTCTTGTACAATAATTTGTTAGCGTGCAGGAGGGCAAGTCGGCAACCCCTACTCCCAATCTGTTTCACAGAGAATTACGAAACTCTTCTAATATCTCTGTAAAAGATGACTACCTCCAACACGTGACGTCTCATCACGTGGCGTCAATCATTGGCCCGTGCATTGTTTACATAAGACGTTACTGGTTCGTGCGGAATGGAGTCTTCTACTCATTTTAATACTCATTTCTAAAATAGGAATTACTTTTTACCTACAGATACGTCAAATGTCTTTATTTATTTTTCTAATACATAAAAAAATGTTTTAGAATTTAATTTGTCGGAGGCAAAAAGTTAATATTTGTGGCTCATTTAGTCGCATCGATGTCATCCTTTTCAGTGATTGTCGTGGCCTAGCGAATATTCATTGCTGATCAGTGTGCCCTACTCCATGTAACCCACAGAACCTATAGTATGTCATTAAGCACAGCGTTTGTCCACTCTCCCATTACTAAGGGGGCACCAAACCTCAAATATGTTTGATTATTTCTTCTTTTGGGGGAAATTCTCTCATCGTTACCCAAACATCTTCGATTTTCGGGGTGTAAAACTTAGTCCCCGAGTCACTTCAGATAATGAATATAATAGCTCATTTTGGTTCTGCTTAACGAAACCACCGTTATTGATCAAATTCTGAAATGATATTCACTTCCCACTCATCTAACATAATAATGGTAAATATAGCACCCATAAACGAAGATATTCCTTAATATCCAATTTGAAAGAAATTTTATTATGTTGAGTGGAAAGGAAATATACATGTAAATACAATTTTTTATAAATAAGGATGTCTGATGTATTTTGTACAGAAGCATTTTAGGGTCACTCGATTGATTTTGTCGAGATTATCTTATCACTGACTGAAGATCCCAACAATTTGAAATAATTATCTCGCAATTCCTGATATCCCAAAGAAATTAGATTCTCAAGATAGACTAGAAGTCAGGATCTTGTGATCCCAGTGATACAAGAGATGTTTAAGTCCAGATCTTTAGATTATTATGCTTTAATCCTGATATTATTTTCATAAGTGTGTCTATGGTCTATCATAAGCAGATCTGTAACTTTGACCTTGTTGACTCCTGACTGACTCATTTAAATGGAAGAAGCCCTCCCTATCCTGGAAAATAACCATATTTTCATTTCTCTTGTAGTATCTTAGCAAATGTACATGCATGGCAATGACCTTGCCAATGTTGTAATTCATGAATTCAAAAGAATCTAATGTCTCATTTTTAACCATCTTTAATTCCAAATTTGAAATAAATAAAACTTAAAACAGAAACAACATCATACATAATAAACTGATATGTCAAAAACATTTTTGTTCAAAAACTAACCCAGTGTACATGAAATCAAACAAATTCTGTTCACATAAAATAAAAAAAACATTCTAATTGCATTGTTTCGATTATTTTTGAAAATTCTTTCGAGAGGTAAATTTTGCGGTTAATTTCAATTCTCCATTATCTCTAGTCCTAAAATTGTTTTACAGCAGTTTTTTTTTAACACTAACACTGCCTGATCACTAAGCGTTTTACATACAGTATGTTACTAAAATTTAGAATGAGCAATTAATTTATCAATAATTTGCTTGGGTGTAGGGGGTCTATAGCTGTGGGAGGAAACTGGAGGACAAATTGAAACCCACAAGGCTTGTCACATATATGCTTGAGATCGAAACCAGGCCATTTGACTAAATTACAGACTTTATGATCTATCCCCCCCACCCTCTGTAAATTAATATCTTTCAGACAGGCAAGTAATTCCATAGAACACATCCACTTAAAAGGATTTCTGTCATGTATAAATAAAAAAGAATAACAAATAACATATGATACAGTATCATATATAAACAAATAGAAATACATAATCTTAGATTCTTCTGTCTCCAAGACAAAAGTCATAGGTCTGTCAATTTCTGTTTTTCAATCAAAAAGTTTTTATTTCAAATATTATCTATTGCTAAATTATTTGATTATTGAAAATGAGGTTCCATTAAGGTTTATTAAAATGAATTCAAAAGATATACATGTACATGTACAACAATTCAGATCTATATACTTGGTTCCACTGGCGTGTGATTATATGAAAGATCTTCACTAATTTCTGCAAAACTCTACAAAAATATTTAGAATTTTCATCATGAAAATAACAGGTGAAAATAATTTGAAACTCTTACAAAAATGATTGGATTTACATTAGACAAACAAATCAAAGGGCTGAATGAACTGTCTAGAAAACCTACAGCAAATTTACTGGGATAGTGCCACAACTGAAAACTGGCTGTCTCGACAATTGAGGCTATATTAATTGCCTTCGACTGACCTAATTTACCTCAGGAAACTAGATCATTAAGTTATTAGTTCATCAATTATCATAATAAATCTTTGTGAAAAGAGCACTGGACAGGAATTCAGTGCCGAATTAACATAATAGCCAATTTATTACTGTGTGTTGGAGGTTAGCAATTTTAGCCAACTATCACCATAATTGGTGATATTATTTTGACACAGTAAATAAAAGTGGTATCTGTGTGACAAACATAAATCTATTTAAAACTCAAGTCATAGCCGCAGCACAAAGATAAAAAGGAAATGTGATACACCTAGCCTCAGGCCCTTGGTCATATTTATGTGCAATTTTTAATCTAGGGCATCTTTATAACATACATGTATGCTACAGGCCATGCACAAGCTCAATCCAGCCCTGCTGACGCTTCAAAACATCCACTTTTCCTTCATGATAAGCTATTAAACTCAGCTTCACAGACGTGAATATAATAACATTACAATGACACTGTATACAATATGAATTCTATATTTAATTATCATTTACTGGTTCATAAAACCCTGGTACATGTCTCAAATATTTACATACAAATATATACATGTAGTTGTATACCCACATATACACACATAATATTAATAAACAATTTATTTACATCAATTCTTTGGAATTGTCTTTCTCTGCTTTACTGGTGAATCTGGCATCCGATATGAATGTCTGTTTCATATTTATACCAAATAAATATTTCACAAATGCAAGATTTAACTTTGGTTTGCTTGACAATGGAAGCATCATTATTTCTTAGCACTGGTGTTTATTTTGTTGTTACACGTTTAAAGTGACGCAATTGTGAACCTACGGTATAGGTCGGACATTTTGTTCAAGTGCTTCTGTCTGGACATTTTGTTTGAACAATGTTTTGTTCTTTATAGCCTTTTGGGTCTTCACAGATGTGGACAACTATTCCTGGTTGATCTTCTGTTGCTGGATGTAGTTCGTGAGCTTGGCCTTGAAAAAACAAAACAAATATATTGTAGGGTTTTTTTACAGATAATTAAAAGATTTTGGTGAACTCATGTACTGTAGCATTTAAGAAGTGACTACAGAATATACCAGAGGGGGACTGTATCTAATTGTCCCAATCAACATCAGTGTACATAGTGCCATGGACAAGGGTCAAGTCAGGCGAGATCTGTGACAACAAAATTCTGTTCAACTAATATATACACATTATTTTCATTGTGTCCAACATGCAATTTACCATGGAGACCATAAGCATTGTTAAACCCAATACACATGGGGTCATGAGAGGAGGAAGAACCCTACTGATAAAATTATGTTCAACTAATACACATTTTCATTGTGTCCAACATGCAATTTGCCATGGAGACCATAGCTAAGCATTGTTAAACCCAGTACACATGTGACATGGGGTCATGAGAGGAGGAAGAAACCTACTGATAATCAGTATTCCATGACCTTCGATTCTTGAGTTACCATTCACCTCCCCCCTTCTTCCCCAAAACCCTTTGGACAGGATAGAAGCTAAAGTTTTAAATAGATTATTTTTAATATTCAGCAACCTTCCGTTTAGGAATTACTATTGCTTTTCTAAAAACCTTGTGTAACTGACTGAGGCTCAATTTTAATACATTTTTTTTTCTAGCATGTAAACAGGATAGAGATCAGAATCCTTATCAAATTTGGTCAACATACAAGATTTCCCTTTTAAGATAAGTTGCTGTCTATGGCTATCATTCTTTTTTTTAGACATAGCTGATGTGTGTCTATCTTTAATACATATCCAGGATATATTTCAAAATGTCAGCTACTGCGACTAGTTCAGTATAATTTAATAGATGATAAAAAAAATATTGAATATAGTACATAGCACCTGAGACAACACATATTAAATAATGGTTAATACATATATCAACACCTGAGACTTCTATAAATGCACTAATTAACCTAATTAAATCAATAAAGATAGGTAAGACTAGAGTGTTAGAGTACTCTATGATACAGGTTACTAATTAATAACTAGCTAAAAATTCGCATCAAGATTTAAAGATGTCCGTCATAGAAATGATATGCCAATATAATCTCATATGCAATATAGATGCATAAACACTGTAAAAGTCTTTACTTTGGCACCTGGATCCATAAACTTAAATTGATATTTGTTGTTTATTTATTGCAATATCTGTGTAGTTTGTCTTGTTCGCAGGTTTGTCTTATTTGTTTTCTTGTAGTGCGGTTCTCCTGCACTTACTAGAGTAGAGTTTAAACAGAATGTTCTCTTTGCTCATCAGCCTTCTAATTTGAACTTCTCATTAATGACATCAACTAGCAGAAGACGACTACAGTCAAGACCCATAGCATTATTTCTTTTGAGTGAAGTCTGTAATATTATAGGTCCGGGACTGTACAGCTCACTTGAATTAATACTTATTGCTTATTTATTGCAATATCTTTGTAGGTTGTCTTCTCTGCATGTTTGTCTTATTGGTTCTTTTTTAATTTAAAACCTATGGTCATGTGATTAAACTTCCTTGAAATTATTTTTTTTCAGACATACATTGCTGGGGATTTTGTCAAAGCAGTGAATTAAATCAAACGACTAACAATCTTGATGCTTGTCTTCAGATCTTACCATGTATAAAACAAAAAATGATTTCTTTTATCACATTAAAGGAGGTAAACCTCTAACTTAATATTAACCATAATATTAAAAATTAAAAACAAGAATTAGAATTCAATATTGGTCTATTTCAATCAATATTAGTGTTATTATCTTACTCTGAAAATATGTTATCCTAATATCCAATACATACACGATGATCATTTTTAAATCACTACACGACTTGTGTATTTTATGGACATAATGGTTTTGCCCGCCATTTGTAATGACCAAAGAAAAATATATCCCAGAAGACAACGCAGAAGTAATCAAAAATGGCTGATTCATAAACGACAAAAAAACAAAGCGCATAGAATGGATTAAGCAGGTGCAAATGACTGCCGTTCAATTTGGACTGTTCCCGTATTAGATTTGAATTACAAACTATTTTTTTAAAAATTGAAAATAAATCGATTTATAGACACTCATATTACATTAACGTGTGCTTTTAGAACCATTTTAGTCTACTTTAAGGTTCCAAAGAATAGTCATTCGCCCTTTAAGTAACCGCAAATGTTTAGCTTTTACCTACAGTTGATGTGTCTGAATAATACTGTGAAAATATAACAACCACACCTTCATTATTTCCCTAAAAGACCAAGTTATTTCTGTTTAGTATTTTAAAACACCTAATATATCTTCCTTTATATGTTCCAAAATAAAATGTTTTATAAATACAGGTTAGAAATTCTCAGTACAAAGAATTAAAAGTTTTAAAATTAGACTTGATGACTAATAATAGTTTGTGTTACAGCAAAAAAAGTTAAAAGCTTATTCATGTAATGGTATAATATATTCATTCTGACATTCACAAACATGGTTCTAACAATAGTATTACCATAAGTAAATATAAATATGTTTACTCCTACTAATTAAACTCACAAATCTATTATTTTAACTTTTTATGTGTTTTTGTCTATTTTGAAATCATCCCATCTTCCCTAAGGGTGGCAGATATGAGTCTTATTCCCGAAGGAAAACAACAACACTGTTTATTAAAAATGAACCCAATATTTGCATAACCAACCTGTGATGTGAAGCTTTGTTTGTGAGCCTGTGTTCATTTTTGTATCAATGACGCACATCCTATCAATTAGTTAATAAAAAGAGAATAAATTTATCATCTCCATCTGTATTTATCTCTGTATCTCAAAGGATTTATAAATTCTGTGAATTTTATGAATAATAAGTGAAATATTGTCGAATGATTTGAAGAGATTTATTTTCGTTCCTATAGAAGAATGATGTATTAGGCTATTTGTGTGAAAACAGTAATTTGATACATCGCCATTGAAACATACATAGTTAAGATCAATACAAATTGTCTATTGTCATGAAACCTACACATAACTATATTTCAATACAAAGTCTACAGAAAATGTAAGCATCGTAATGATCGTATCCAATAACTACATCACATATCAGTTTAATTATAAGAAGATGAATGGAAAGAGCAGAAGTTAGGCTGAGCTAACAAGACAGTAAAATCTATCAACAACAATGAATTAATGTTTATTAAAGAATGGTAACCCACATACAAACATGGGTAGCCAGTCAACAAAAAATCCACACTGAACGAAATTGGTTAAAAATTTGATGTTGTCTTAAAATGTTTTAAATCAATATTATCAATTTTTCTCCAAAATGGTCTATATTATGCAAGGACAACAAAAATATCCTCAAGCGGTTAGTAATTAAAAGAGTTAGAGATGGTTAAAAATCTTTTGTTAAGAAAATTGAGAAAACTTAAATTAAAAAAAATCCCCCGAAATTTCACACAAAGTTAACAAAGAATGTTAAAATATAATACCATCATATTAATTAGGCATTTACAAGTTTCTGGTAATGGAGACTTTTAGGGTGTTCCCAAAACTACAGGACCCACACTATTTCAATCTAATTCGAATTAAATTACAATTTCATTTACAAGTAGGTCACTGCAACCGTGATACTCCAGTCATACTATAATATATAACCCACCAGAATCAATCTTCTTGGATTGGGTTTAAAATTCCCTCAATTAGGTTTTAACGCCCACTCAACATAAACTAGGTCATTTTGGGACCAACACATGGTTCAATTTTTGTTTCAGCAAATCGCTTGAGTATAGGGGGCCTTTTGCAGTGGGAGGAAACCAGAGGACCTGGAGAAAACCCACGAGGTTGGACAGGCGACCCTACTCCTTATCACGTACAACCGGGGAATTGAAACCATGCCGGTTGACTCAATGCACTAACCATTCGGCCATCCAACCCCCACAATTTTCCCAAAATACAGACAATTTGATTATTCAATAAGATCATGTGATCTGAAAGCTGTCTTTAAAGAAAATATGTCAGATGTGAATGTTGTACAAAGCATACATTTATACAGTTAGTTGGTTTCTGATTTTTTATCAAATTGCGCATTCTACATCCAATTCCATTATATTTATGTCTTCAATTGATATAAATTATACAGTTTAAATACTAAATTAACATAGGAGAACTGTTTGGGTGAGAATTCAATTTTTATTTTTTACGGCTTCAAACTCGAAAGATAAACCAAAGGAAATATCTTCCAATACCCTGTTTCCGACAGTTATAACAAAGGATCCATCGATATTTTCCTTAAGTTGGCCTATTAATTTTCTGAAAGCATGAGAGCATAATAAATTGATCGTCTTATTGTTATTTATAGAACTATATATTGATCACAGTCTGACTGTAGATCATTATCTGAATATGAACCTATTTTATTCGAAAATAATATTACTAGACCAGTATTTAAATGAGTAGCCATCCCAACAGATACTCATGCTTGAAATGTTTGGAAAAAGCAAAAAAGCAGAAAACCAGATCAAAGAAACATGTTAATTTTTTTATTTATTTTGCTAACCTCTGGTTATACTCCATTAACAATGAATTTAAAATTTTGAATTGAGTAATTTGTTCAGTGGTCACCGAAAAAGGTGTATTTATATAAATGTACCCATTATTATGCTAGATGATGTGATAGAGCTTGGCATTTGAACTTTTGTATAACATTGATAAAATTTTTTACACCAAGGTGTTTGAAGTTATTGTTGTGTCATACTCATAGTCTGTTTAAAACAAAGATAGCCTGGCAATGAAACATATGTCTGCCAAAAGCTTGGTTGATAAAACCTCAATAAAAATTGTCTATTTTGCCCAGATATAATTATTTTAAAAACTTCATAGCTAAGAGATGAAATGAAACGAAATAGGATTTAATGTCTTATTTTTCTTCACCAACCAGGCTGATGAAGATGGACATACCTAAGAAGATATTGACTGAATTTAAAAGCTATATAAAAAGTGAAATAAAACTGAAATTTCTTCAACATATACAGTTTATCTCATATTGTTTACCTGCTCCAACCCCTTGAAGTTTAATTACTAGATAATCAGAATAGTCTGGCACTTCAATGTTATCACATCAAAAATGCCTGGCCTTAAACAATTTACAGTTTCCCTTTCTTTTGTTAAGTTCTTAGTTAATGTCATGTACATTTGTCAGACTCACAATTTTAAAAATCATCATGGCTCTGTAAATGTATCAATAATACTGACATCCCATCACTGAGTTTTGATATCATTTGAACATTAATTTTTTTTTTTAATTCTAAGTATTTCCTAAATCCTATTGAATTATTGAACAAATCTGGTTGGATTGGATAGGGTCATATTTCATCAATACAGAAAAATAACCAAATATAGGACAATACCTGGTGCTAATTGTGCCATAGCTGCGAGAAGATCGTAATTTATAACAGGGTTAGATTCAGGCATTTGTTCCCAACCTACAGGAGGTGAAGCTGGTGGTGATATCAGGAACTGTTTATCTGGTTTGGGAGGATGTAAATGTGGTGAATCATTGGTAGGACTTTCCTTTAACTGTAAACATAAATTACTATTTACCATCTTAAACAAGCTAAGTCTTTTTGATTTAGGTAAAAAAAAACAACAACAAATGAACTGGGCTAATCTGATGTGTGATTTCCATTTTGTTTACCAATTTTAGATTCATTTTTCTGTGGACTATCTGAATATCAAAGTCTTAGCTAAGACAGACTATCATCCCACAAAACAAATCAATGCATAATATAAATTGAATAAAAATATTTTTGACCTAAATCAACACAGTCTAACCATTTTACGAACATTTGATGATTTTGGTTATCTAAAGCCAATTTGAATAGTTACTTCAATTTCTAAGCTCATTATAGACTAATGACTCAATATCTTGTCGGGGGTCCAGGGAAGAGATAACATAAAGTTTGGGGTGAGGTCTAGTGGATTAGCTGAAAATTTGATAAAATCGGTTGCTCTGATACTTCTGCTCATTTAGGTACACACATGTATGTATAGGATTTGAGTGGAGTTTTGTTGTTGGTTAGACATTATTTCGATAAATGTAGGAGGAACAATATACATATATACACACCTTGCCCCTCTCTCAACATGCGCCTGAATGACTTTCACTCGATCTGATAACAAATTTTGTTATGTTTAGTTTCATGTGGGTGTTTAACAGGCACAACAGTTTGATCCATATTACTGTTTGTTCTGTGTTTAGGAGCAGGCTAGGCACAATGGGTATTATGACAACTAACACTATAGGGTAACCATACCCAGTAACAAATTATATTTACAATGTAATGATTCAATCTATTTATAAAAAGAAAAAACAAATTACCTGTGCAAAATAACATTTAATTTTTGACCCACAAACATGGGTTTCATGCTGATGAATTCTCGCTTTAGCTGCTCTTTCCGGACAAGAGAAATTCACTCTGGCTCTATGAAAGTTTCTTAGGTATAAAAATTGTGCATCGCCATCATATTCTAAAAACACAGATTCAAACTCACTCTGGAATGAAGAAAATGTCTTCATTTAAAGGAGCTAAACCTCTAACTCAATATTTTCCATAATATTCGAAAATAAAAACAAAAATTAGAATTCAGTATTTCAATCAATATTGATATTGTTATCTTGCCGTGAAAATATGGGATCCTAATATCCAATATTTAAGACACAATGAACATTTTATAATCAATACATGAGTCAATTATAAGTTATAAGCCAAATAAATCAAAAAAAAAAATAAGACAATGCAGAAGGAATTAGCAATTGCTGATCCACTAACAATAAAAGAAAAAACATCAAATGTGTAGGCGTCTTCAATTACAAAAAAATCTTTTAAAAGGCAGGCAAAACACTAGATGGGGTATTATGCCCCCTCACGACTGCAATGCTTCACACCAAATTTGATAAACTACCGTTGTTACGATAATAAACAGAGTCACGATTATCCATTTTTATGGTAACGGCATCGACTACAAAACGTATTTAAATCTACTTATACCACAGCCATCCAATCGCATTGAGATTTGATTATGGTCTTGGTAAGTTAATTAATGTCTAAGTAATACATTATTTTATAACATTTCAGGCCTATAGAATGACCTGCAGTAGAAAGATTTAGCTCTTGCATATAATGCCTCATTAATTCTATAAATGAATATTTTATCTAGAAATGAAAAATGAGATTTAACCATTTCCATATAAATAATATTATTACAAGGTCTATGCAATTATTTTTCTACATGGATGAACAAATTGCCTGCAATAAAGCCAACGGTTTATTAGAAATGGATTAAGTGCATGGCTTCCATCAAATCATGTACCCACTTTATCAATTTATATTATGTCACAAAAAGATCCAATTAAAGTAAAATCATATCTCACCTTTGATTTATCATCTACAAAGACACTAACATCAACATTTGTAATGATCAAGGCATCGGGCAAATCGGTAACATCAATGTGGTCAGCCATTTTCTCATTGAATCATGAATGACTCAGAGTCAGATTTCAGAATATTATTATCCTTTTTTTTTTTTTTGGTCAAGGCTTCGTACCACAAATGATTGCTGTAGTAAATGAATCGCGGAAAATAATAAGGGTCATAAAAACCGTCTGCGCTCATACGCTGTAACTTTTAATATAGTGAACAGGCTAAATTTACTGGCAAAAAATCTTTTTTTGGTCGCGAAGGCTGTTTATCATTATGACGTCAATGCAAACCCGGTGAATAAGTAGGGGAATTCCCAAACTAACGTCATCGTCAGATATTCTCGAATATCAAGTCGCATTTTTATTATTTGCCTGGCATGCCAAGTGGAAACCAATCTTTACACCTTTAGTGTATTTAATCAGTTCTTGTAGTTATTAATTACTACCAATGTTTATAATATTCATATTTGATCATATTAGATACAGGACGCTCACAAGCCTATTTGGCACCCCAGGGCAAAAGTTTCAGTGCCCATGCAAAGGCCTACTGTAGCCTAACTGTTACTATAACTTTGTTCAGTGCCTGTGCTCAATTGATTTTCTCTGATTAAAGAAATTTTAAAATACAATTTTTATACTCTTAACTATTTATTACATCAACCTATATGTAAAAATTTTATGTTTATTTCTCCTTCAACTCTTCATTTGAGTGAAAAATTATCTATCTTGGAAAAATCATAATTTTACTCTCTCTATTTGCTGAAATATGAACTGGTTTACACAGATTTAGGGGTTTGAAATCTGGTGGTTTGCTATTTCAGCCTCCAAAGGAAATGAAATGGGGTTCAACGTCCTAAAGTGCTGTTCTTCTCGGAACTGGGCTTATGAAGACGCATACGCCATACAGTGTGCTATGTGTGAAATTTTGCCTGGACAGCGGCACTACGGCCTACTCTTATATCAAATTCCAACTGTCAAGGGATCTTTTATGTGCACACCAATGTGTACACTTGACCTTGTTTTTTTGTCCCATCCGAACGACTAGACAGCTGTCCTTGTCAGGTCCTCTGTCCTGCTTCACTGACAAGGGGGAACAACGTCGGAAAATCTGGATGAACTTTCTCGGCCAATGCAGGGATCGAACACCTGACCTCCCCCTTTGAATAAATAAAATGAAATGGGGTTTAACGTCCTACTTTTCTGCTCCGACTGGGCTAATGAAGACGGGCCCTTTGAATAATTCTGGTATGTACTTAGATAATTCCCCCCCCCCCCACAACCCAAGAAGTGTCGCCCCCCGGGCATATGGCCCCCTATGTGAGAGCCCTGATTCTATAACATAATAATAGCTTGAGATCTGTTTTACAAGACACTATCTGATTCATTGAGACCTAGACCGCCCACGCATAGGAATATTTCAGAAACTTGAGTGGTTACTAGGGCTTTATTTTACAATAATTTGTAACATCTGAACTAAAATATGGGATAAATCTGGTAGTCTTGACAACTGATGGACGACACAATAGGCTATGTTTTAAACTATATTGTGCCTTACTTCAAGCTTTTATAAATATTCCCATTTTAACTATTTCAAACACTTTTAATCGGTCTCAAACAAAAACTCCTTTAAAAGACAATTTGGGGACTTAAAGTCTAACAAAACTGGAGGGAATCAGGGTGACTGAGTTTGGTCGGTCAAGTGTGTGGTTTAATCTAAATAACTAATAATAAATTGTCATTCAGCTCCTGAATCCACAGAGTCAGCCTTAAAAACCTCATCTCTGGACCCTGTGTAAACACCAACACTTCATCTCAATTTTCTTCACTTTATTCTTGTAGCCAAGTCAGCTTTGGTCTGTAGGCAAAGATTAAGACAGTCTTTAGTACTGGATTGGCTATGTTTTAAACTATATTGTGCCTTACTTCAAGCTTTTATAAATATTCCCATTTTAACTATTTCAAACACTTTTAATCGGTCTCAAACAAAAACTCCTTTAAAAGACAATTTGGGGACTTAAAGTCTAACAAAACTGGAGGGAATCAGGGTGACTGAGTTTGGTCGGTCAAGTGTGTGGTTTAATCTAAATAACTAATAATAAATTGTCATTCAGCTCCTGAATCCACAGAGTCAGCCTTAAAAACCTCATCTCTGGACCCTGTGTAAAAACCAACACTTCATCTCAATGTCCTTCACTATATTCTTGTAGCCAAGTCAGCTTTAGTCTGTAGGCAAAGATTAAGACAGTCTTTAGTACTGGATTGGCGGGGTGGTGCGGAGACAAATGTCCTGTGGCCCCCAACCCACATTTTTGGTTGAGTTCCATTGAATGGCCGTGGGATTCTTGTGTTACTTGCCCAGGATATACCTTGGAATGCACCACTCAAATCTATTTTTTTAAATTTTCTGGAGGAGGACTGTCCCATACGCTATTTCGGTGGAGTACAAAATAAAAGGTTCCATTGGATGAACGAGAGATTCTTGTGTTAATTGCCCAGAATGCACAGAATCAAATCTAATTTTCAAAATATTTCGTGAGAGGACTGACTGGAACCTTTTTCTTCAGTAAGCCCCTACATGGTTAATCCAGCCTAAGAACTATAGACTACCCTTCTCCATCTCAGCTAAATATCTTATTATTTAACATGTAAAAACTCAACAAATAAACAATTCTGTTGCTTTATATTTAATATTTATAAACCGACTATATGTAAACATTAGCATACTTAAACATACACAATAAAGTCTTTATTTTCTTAATGCATGTATCTGAAGAATATGCCTAATAACATAAGTAGCATATTTTTACATTTCCTAATAGGCTTTACATTGTGAATGATGAAAAAATATAAATCTTCTTGGAAAAACTTCATTAAAATATTTATCAATAAACCATTTTTTTTGTATAAGGTTATACAATACCAACTCTGACTATAATACCCATTCAGATTAATAGATATAATGATATATTTTTGCTTTACAAAAAGAAAATTACAATATTGCACAGCTAAGTAAAATGCAAATACTGTAGACAAGATCTCAGGTCTACCCTTATTGAAATTAATGTAAAACACAGTAACATAATCTTTTCTTCAATCATTGGCTTGTAATTTTAACATACAACAGATAATGACATCATTGTCATCTATCAAAGACATTGATTAGTCTGTCATCTAACTAATAACCATTGAGTAGTAAATTATTTTGAAGAGTTCAAAGTTTTACAATGCCTGATTGGTCTAGAAGTTAACAACAATGCACTGTATTTTATGTTAAGAGAATTGAAACAGGTATTGAAATTAATGTGAATGGTGATATGTTGCATTTAAAACATTCATTCTTGTTACTGGTATACAGTATGTGGAGACTAATGGCTCATTCCATGTCAACTGGATCAGTGCTTGTAAACTGACCACCTCAGAAAATTAAGAAAAAAAAATATGTTATAGTACATACAGTCTTATGTAAAACTGCAAAGTTATATGACTCTAGAAGTAATATTGACTGAGATATGACCATTAGAATCAGGGTACTCTTTCGCAAGTTTTGAAACTACTGTTATATGACTCGATTTTTGTGATCTGATTTTATTCCTTCTAGACAGAGAGAGAGAGAAATGGGGTTTAAAGTCCACTCAACACAAACTAGGTCATTCCGGGACTAACATATGTTTTAATTTTATTTCAATAATTCGCTTGTGCGTAGGGGTCTTTAGCAGTGGGACTAAACCGCAGGACCCGGAGAAAACCCACGAGGTTGGACAGGCGACCCTACTCCTTGCCACGTACAACCTGGGATTCGAAACCACGCCAGTCGACTCCCTTGTAGACAGGTTATATTCTTGAAATTATGGGGTTTGTAAGAGCATGTTATACAGATTAAGAATTTACCGTTACATTTTTCAGAAAAAGTAATGTCAACTATTTTCCTGTGTGAGTCGATTTTCAAAGCTGAGTCACTTTACAACTTTCTGAGAATTTGGTCCACTTGACATGGAATGACTCTAATACAAAACACTCAATGCTTCATGTTTTCTTTCAAATGAGAATTACTTTTATCTTTCGGGACTAGAATTTAAAGAATGAATAATGACAAATTCTAGGGCTATAATTCATTATCCTTATTATGTATTGAATCTCAAATTTTATCCATTTACATAAACAATTTGAAAATGACATGTGAAACAATGCTAAAATGATAAATGAACAAATTGATATATAAGAAAATGAAGTAAATTTAAATATAGAATTGGTTGAACCAGGTGAAACTAATTCATGCCTTGTGGTTTCTTTCCACCATGAAATTCTTCAATACATAGATGACAGCTCCAATTTCCTTTAATTGAATAGAAAAAACATTCAAACCATAGAATTATGACATAATAATAATAATAATGTACATTTGTAGAGCGTTAAATCCATCCAAAAGCATTCTCGAAGTGCAATGAGACAATAGTTATATACACAGTGAACAGAAAGTCTAATTCTCATAGCATTCCACAAATAAGTGGTTCTCAACTGTGATTTGAAAGTAGTCAAAGTTTCACTGTTTCGAATTTTCAGAGGTAAAATATTCCACAATTTTAAAGCAACTACGCTAAACCTGTCACTGTCACCAAAATGTTTCAGTTTTGACTGTGGAAGAGTGTTCTGGTTATAAGATCTCAAGGACGGATTTGGCTGATATAGTGTTAGTAGCTCTGATATGTAGCAAGATTCCTTAGACACTGGTGTGTGAGACACAGGACCTTAAAGTTGGTGCAAGCTGGAATTGTGAGCCAATGTAAGGATTTTAAAATAGGTGTTATGTGAGATTATGTTTTGGTTTGTGATATACCTATTAATTACTAACTGAGATGATAGTTGATCCTACAGAGAATGTAAATGAAAGCATGCAGAATGTGATTCAAAATGAAGCTTAGTCTTGATTGTCAAGTAATGTGGCTACAATAATAAACACTGTACGCTACATTTTGTCAAAACTTCAAAAACTCATAACTTTAGTCTAATAATTTGACTGAAAATTTTCAAAATATTCATTTTTTATTATCTATTTTCAAACTATCAAAGCAAGAATGGCTAGCTCTTGATCTAATTCTTACATAATACATCTTTAATAATATAATTATAAATATACCTTCTGGTGGTTCAGATAAAGGAGGATTTAAACAATACATATGATAACCTCTATCACAATCATCACAAAACAATAGTTGATCCTGTTCAAATAAATATATAGACAAATTACAAACTATAATAAGTGGAGTAGGTGGGGAAATACTTCATAATGTTGATAAGCATTAACATTGTACAATCGCTGAGATTGCATCATGTCAATCTTGAGAATGAAATACATAGTGAAACCTGCACCTGCTAGGAGGAAGCAGATTCTGAATTTAGAGTATAATGAAGACATACTTCAGTCACAGTGGGAATACACAAACCACACCTAGTGTTAATAGAAAGAAAAGCAAATCCTACAAAAAGATTCTGGGATTTAGGTTCCTTCTAAAAACAATGTTGTGAGACAACTAAAATTACTTCAAGCATAATCATTGTCTAATAAAAAGGTCAAATGAAGGTCAAGCATAATCATTGTCTAGTAAAACTTTGAACTGAGACCATGAAAAAAATAATCTTGATTCGAAGAATCTAGGTCAATCTGACAAGATGAACACACTTGGAGATATCTTTAAAGATGGGTTCCCGCGTACAAACTGGGTGATTAAATGGTATATATGGACTAAAAACATATTCAAACTAATTAATTTGTCATAATTATGCTTCAAATCCTTCTCAAACATTGTAGTTGCGAAGGAATGCCCTCCTATTAAAATTTGATCAAACCAGGTCATGTTTATGTCACGTCTTGGAAGTCAGTGGAGAAGTCACTGCATACATAAGACGATGTTGTCTTTAATAGCTTACTATTTATTACAAATATCGAATCCTAATTAAATTCTCGGATTATCCACTACCCGTGTCTTTGTCCCTCATTATTATCTCAGAAAGTGTTGTACATCTAACTCTTCATAGCGTTTATCAACTTGTACATCAAGCGCTCAATGTTCGCGTGTGACCTTTGACATCACGCGTGCAGAAATTCTTAATCGTCGGGCTGTTGATTAGGGGAACCCTTACATTTTTGTCCTGTATACGCTCCATGAGTGTTTTTCGGGGAATCCAGTATTTTTCTAGTAAGATTGGACATCTCTACTTTCCATATATACCAAAATTGCCATACTTTTATTGGAAATAACCACCCGATAAATACTTTTCTGTCAACCCATCTTTAATTTGTCCATCTGAGATGTTCATTCAGTGTTAGTGGCCAAGTCCTGATTAAGCTTGGATTGGGCACTACCCAGCTAAAAATGTACCGAGGCCCCTAGCTGAAAATGTCACCAGAAACCCTGCATCAACAGTAAAAAAGGGGCATAATGACATAATAGTCTGGTCATTCCTCAACACACTCACACAAATGCAATTTGTATGTCAGTATTGGAGATGATTTACAAGTCACAAATGACATATTTGTTTATGGCACAAACAATTTTTTAAGGCTAATATTTGGGGGCCCCTTTTACATTGGAGCCCCTGGCTGCAGCCCAGACCCCCCCTCCCCCATAAATTTATCCAGGTCTGTAAATGTGGTATTTTATGATCATAGTGACTATCATGTATGTTAAATCTTATTCATATAAAGAATCTTGAAGCAGTTTGACAGAAAGACAAAGTCGAGAAGTTAAAAAGATATTATACTATGTACTTACATCATTATCTGAAGTTCCACACAAACCACAAGATTTACATTCTATACATTGCCAGGGATATTTCTTTACAGAAACTATCATATTATCTGTAAACTGTAAACATGATGGATGACCTGCTCATAGAAAAATGTTTTATAATCAATACAATATTCCTTATGTTCTGAAATAAAGGGAAAGAAAATGTTCAACCACTTCCAACACAAACCAGTTCATATTGGGACTAAGATATGACTGTTATATTTATATTTCAATAATTTAGTGGTTATGGTAGGGAGTCCTCCTCCTAGTCATGTACAAACTTGGGACTTGCAATAATAACAGACCTTGTGATCTCTCTCTCTTAACTATTGGATCTAAAAGTAATATAGCAATATGTTTTGAACAAAGCCAGCTGCAAATAACTAGTTCAAGCAGCCAACTGCTTTATTTACTTTGACACTGGCATTTTGTGCTCTGACTCAGGCTGAGTAGGCCATAGCGCAGATGTCCGGGCAAAATTTCATCATAGCAAACTGTCTAGTGTATGTCTGTCTGCATTAGACCAGTTGGTGCAGAAAGTAGAACGTTAAATCCTATTTCATTTCATTTCAAATTAGAAATGTACTAAATGTTAGGTTTCAATATATCAATAACATATTAAAATCTACCTGATCTACCACAATCACTACATGACACCAAATCCTCAGACTGGTTAGTCTTCTTATTTTCTGTTTGATCACCAAGACAGAAATCACAATAATTGTTAGGGGAAGGTTTAGAAGTTTCAACTGGTTCGACAGATGGTACTGGTGGTGCTGAACGTGCTGTAATCAAATTTAAACATGTAGCAGACCTGGGGTAATGATAATGGAATGTAATCATTACATGTTTTGAAAAAATGGTCTTGGAATGAGTAATGGAAATGTAATAAATTACACTCCAAAAAACATATTATTTTCAATTACAGTTTAATAATCCTTCAATACACATTGTACAGCATATATCAATGTTTTAGCCCCAACGAAGTCAATTATAGATCTGACACAATAAATAAAGAATTTACATTACATGTAGTTCCAAAATCAAAAAACCATAACAATGAAGAAAAAATAGCTTTTTATTTTCACTGGGTTTATTGAGGACCATATTTTTCTTTATATTAAAAATTGTTTAAGTTAAGAAATTAGCAGAAATAATTAGAATTTGAACGGCTTCTTGTTCTTTATAATGGTAACATCATTATGTAAAACATGTAACACTTATCAGATGATAACTTTAGCTGTTTAAGTTATTGAAAATCAATAAGCATCTTTGTCTGTATAAATTTAAGCGGGGCTTATGTCGACTTTGCATCTCAAAGAAACTACATGTATTTGCAGTCCATTGAAAGTGTGCTTATGTCGATCATATCAGCAACTAAGGACAACTGAGAGCAACTGAATTGGAGTGTTTATGTCGACTCGGAACTGATAGCCGCTAGTTGCTTTGATTTGTAATAGGCGCTCAGGTCGACCTTTTTCAGTTGCATTCAGTTGCGGAAACGCCAGGTGCTTTCAGTTGCAAGGTCGACATAAGCCCCCCATAACTATCATCTGTGGATGACAGTTGCACAGGTTGACAGCAATGTATAGCCATATTTCAATGTAGGCATATAAAAATTATCTTCAGTAACAATTAAAAGATGTTTGAGTAACAATATTACTGTCAATTGACATCAATTTTACAGTTAAATGTATTTAAATAATTTCATGTTTTACTCTATTAAAGTGACAGAAGTACTTACCAATATCTAGCATAAATAAAAATAAAGAGAGAAAGCAGAAATAGAGGAAGTGAGGAGAATCATCATGCAGCAAGCTAATTTAGAAAATATTTTCTTTTTTTTTTAAAATATAATCTTATAAACAAGAATACTGAAATAATTCACTATTTATTGATTAGATAACAATACACTATATACAGCAATAAAAATTACATTAAACATTACATAAAAAATAAAGGTGAAATCTATGTAGTATGTACATAATCAAGTATAGCTAAGAAATGAATAAAAATAAATTATACATCTAATCTATCATAAATTCACAAATACTTCAATACAAATTAGAAAATTAATTTGGTACCCGAAGCATTGTCATAAGAAAATTTGAAATATACAATAAAATGCATTAAAATGTTTTTAATCACACGTTTCTTAAAGTCTCTATTCGTCATCATCCTCTGTATCCCCAGTGGTAGCCATCTATTCTACACTGTGGGAAAAGGGAAGTAACTCGCACTTTGTTTTATCGACCAATCCCAAAATTCCATAAATAGAAAGCGAGTGGGCAAAGGGATGTAACTCACACTTTTTTTAAACTAAGATCACTGAATACTTTAGGGCCTCTGTTTGTGTGCATGTCACTTCTTTGATATTAAATTTCTTGCAAACTTTCTCATAATCGAACGTACAAGCTGCTCTATTGTGGTGAACATAAACAATGATGCTAAGACTGGTATGTAATCTGTTTTTTGATTGGTTCGTAGAAACAACCTACGTGGCCAATGATATCATCAAGAGCAAATAATTTGAATTTGTGAATACTCTGTGAAAGGATGCAGGGGTTAATGGAGTATAATGGGAGGATACCACTGGAAATACAGAGGCTGGATTGTCATATATGAGATTTTTAATCTCTTGCCAACCACAATATTTTGAAAGCTCAATCTCTAAAAGGATTAACAGTCCAAAAAATTTATAAATATATTATGAATAGAAAATTTGCCAACATTCTGTATCACAGTAAACAATATAAACACGATATGGCCAAAACAAGCCAGAGTCACCTATAATCTTAGTTAAAATCTTTTTATGGGCAGTTTTTTAATCCGACTGAAAACAAAGCCAGGAGATTATCTACCGTTGATAAATTTTTATCTTTTAATAATATATGTTAAATATGAGCACATTTCAGCATAAATTAAGCCATGAAACATTAGACATTGTCCAAATAATGCAAAGGCCTTAACAGAATGTATTCTTTCGAAATGAAATGAAATACTGTTCTGCTCCTAACCTGGGCTAATGAAGACGGGCATACGCCATACAGTGTGCTATGAGGGGAATTTTGCCCGGGCAGCGACGCTACGGCCTACTCTTATATCGAATTCCAACTGCCAAGGGATCTTTTACGTGCACCCCAATGTGTACACGGGACCTCGGTTTTTCGTCCCATCCGAATGACTAGACAGCTGTCCTTGTCAGGCCCTCCGTCCTGCATCACTGACAAGGGGGAAACCACGCCGGAAAATCTGGATGAACTTTCTTGGCCAATGCAGGGATTGAACACCCGACCTCCAGGGTAGCGAGCCAGCGTCTTATCCACTTAGCCACGTGATCCCCCCATGTATTCTTTCAGAAGAATTATATGTAACGACAAATGTCAATGTAAACTGGCATCTTAAACAATTTTTATTGGTAAGATATCAGATGTTAGAATGCCATACTTCATATTTCATTGGCATGCTGCTTATTAATTTTGAAAACCATTTCAATAACTGATTAAAATAAATCAAAATTAGCAAAAATTCATCACACAATTTAATTGATTAATAAACATGTAGAAACAAAGAAAATGCTAGAATAAAAAAGTGATTGAAGATAATATGATTAAAACTATTGGATGAAGTAAATCAAGTTATTAGTAACTACAAAGACTTTTACAAATTTTAGAAAAGCTAAGAATTTACTTTAGTAAATGCATCAGAAATAAATAAAAGCACAAGCAAGAGAAAGTTAATACACAGATAAATTGTTTGACTTGCCTTTCGATGCTCTTGTGGGTATTTTTGGAGATGGTGCAATGTCATCATCTATCATGCCATTATGGAAATGTGTGTAATGGTATGCAAGGCCTGGCCGTGTCTTGTAGCGGGCACCACAAGCTAAACCAACAAATAAACAAGCATGAGAAACACACACTTACTATGTACATAATATTTACACTCTATTTACAGATGGTAGCATTAATATCAACGCCACCTCACTGAAACAAATTATTTTCATGTCAAACCACGACAAACTTATTGACAAAAAATTTACTTAAACAAAAAAATTTATTGATGTTTGATGATATCCAGTCAGATTTTTAGAATGTGCGATTATATCTATCACAATTTTGATAAAAAAAGGAAATGAAATGGGGTTTAATGTCCTACTGTTCTGCTCCAACTGGGCTAATGAAGATGTGTGCTATGAGGGAAAAATACGATACGGCCTACTCTTATATCGAATTCCAACTGCCAATGGATCTTTCATGTGCATGTCAATGTGTACATGGGACCTTGGTTTCCATCCCATCTGAATGACTAGACAGTTGTCCTTGTAAGGCCCTCTGTCCTGCATCACTGACAAGGTAAAACCACGCCAAAAATTCCTGATGAACTTTCTCGGCTAACACTGGGAGAGAACGCAAGACCTCCAGGCTGGTTAGCCAGGATCTTACTCACTTAGCCATCGTGGCCCCACGTTTTGAATGATGTATCTGGATATTTAAAAGAGATTTCCAGGATGTGTGCTGATATATATATATCAAGAATTTCAGGATGAATCTGGATATTTATCAAGATTTTAGAATGAATCTGGATATTTATCAAGATTTTTAGGATGAAGTCAAAATTATCTATGCCTGTGGTTTTATGGAAGCATCCATGCATTTATCGAGATTTTCAGGAAGTAAGTTCATATATATCTAGATTTTGGTAAAAAAAATATTTAAATTAGACATTGAATTAAAAATTGTTAACTAACAAACTAAGCATACCTTCACAAGAATATGGTTTATCTTTATCATCTATCATACCATCTTTATCCATATTTTTTCTTCTACCTCTTCCAGGACCCTGTTAAAAATATTTATTTTTTAATGAAAAGGAAAGGTGATTACAGTTTATGAAAGACAATACTTTTACTCGGTTAAACATGCATTATGCAAGAGCAAAATCTGCTTATTACAAGTCTTTCTTTAGGCCTGAAATGTTATCTAAATTATCAATTAGACATTAATTAACTTATCCAGACCATAATAAACTCTCGATGTCAAGGCTAGCCTTCGATGTTGGCTGGATTAGATTCCTATATGCCGCTTAACGGCCATTGATAATTAAATCAAATCAGTGGATAATCGAGACTATGCTGTTTATATTAATGATTTTAGTAATGATGACCGAGACTATGCGAACATTTCACCCGCTTCGTTCTCGGCTCATAGTGGATCAATTTGACTGAAATTTTCAGCAAATTACCTTTACACTATCTAGTTTTTAACTTTTATAGCGAGAACTGCCATCTCTTTATCTTATCTCCCATAATGTATCTTTAAGTGGACACAAGCTACTTGTAACATATATACCTATGGTTACTGTAGGTGTGTAATGCAAAGCTTTTCATTTTCCATTGTGATGAGATCTTTTACCTGGCTTTTTTCACTTTGGAATAATACATATACAAAATTGTTTACAGATATTAAAGATATATTTCCTTGGTGGTTACAATTTTATATCCAACAATATATCTGTATCTAAACCATTGTATCTTTAGTGATACCCCAAGGAAACTATCAATCTACAAATATTAATGTTTCCACCAGTATTTCACTTGAATATATAAGGGCAGGTATTGCCATATAAACTGTGAGTAATAAATAAGCATGCAATGATAGCAGCATCAGACTCTGTAATAATTGTTTAATTTATTGTGGACTAATCTATCTGTATTATTCTGTATCAGTAATTTGAATTTTCCTAGTCATTACAAATATCTTATTTTCAAATAAAAGTAAGGGTCCAACATGTGTTCTAATATTATTATTATTGTGGGAACATTTCTTTAAATAACGACTAAATAACAGATCATATATCATCACCTTTTTCTTTTTCTTCTTGATCGTTTCTTCATAATCACTGATATCTGAATTATCATCAACTATTTCTCCAGCATCTGGTGGATCACTTAATGGATCTATATCATCATAATACCATCTATCTTGAGATTCATTTCTTAAATCTATTTCATCATCATGTCGATGAGCAGGATTTTCTACTGCACTTATATGGTGTAAATCTATTGAGTAATAAATACAATATGTTTTAAGTGGAAATATCACAACAAAATGTGAAAACAGTGCAAAAGGTGTACTTTCAAGGTGAACACCATTTGGTTGAAAAAGGGAATTCTTTTAATTTGATGTGAATTGACCATACAGTTATTTCTGGACTGTTTACCATATGAAATAAAGTAAAATATTTTCAGCCAATGAAATTGTCAGTTATTTGAAGGAAGGTCAATTTGAAAATTATTCCCATAATCCTCTGTTAAAAATATGTACCGATTTGCCATAACGATAGAATTATGTCATCATAACGAGTATTATTGGGGAGGAAATCAAAGTACAATGATAATAAAGAATAGGAAAACAAAAAATTGTTGGCTGAATGGAGATGATACTAGAGAAAGTTAAGGAAGATGGTGTAGGTGATTGAGACGTAGTTTCAGGCGAGTTATTTGCCCCCATGAATTTGATTATCTTGCTACATGTATGAATATGAATATAAAAGATTTTAGGCCTAATACTTAGTTTCAGCTTCGTGTTAATTTTGAAACAATTTTTCATTATACAAGTGCCTGCGTTCGACTCTTCATCTTTGCAAATAACACAATATTCACAGAGATTTTTTGGGCATTATTTTTTTATTTACCTGCATCTCCTGTTTCCAAATCACTCAACTTTGATGACCCCATCTGAGAGAAAAAAGAATGTTTTTTTTTCTTCCATCTTTTACAAGGATATGTATATAACTGGCCATGTCTTTGACCTGTGGTATAAAAAGTAAGCTTACTATTCAAATAAAAAAGGTATTTTTTATTTTAAAATCACTTCAAATGTACGTACATATACATGTAGTACTGTATTGATTTTAGTGGACTGGGTCATAAAACACAAAATGTTTTTAAAGGATATAAGTATTAAATATGGGGGCAATCTGATTTTGAACCTTCAATAAAATTGTCTGGCAGAAATATGCATTTGTAAGTCTTAGATTTAGAAAATTAAAATCTAACAATATCGGAATCCTAAACACTAGGCATGTTTATAATTGAGCCTATCTTCTCTCTTTCATAGTAGATCTGAGGCAGAATTATAGGAAAAGGATTACAATGGAACATTACTATTCAGTGTTTACCTGGCATTCGATGAACATATGGATGCCAAAGACTGGTATGATTTTGGGCTACTCCTGTTTGTGAATCAAGGAAAGGCATTCTTAATTTTCTCTCCATTGATAATCTTGTATTACAACTAGCTGTTTGTTCCATAGCTTCCTTATAAAGTTGTTCACTACCCATACTGGCCATACTGGCCATACTGAAATTAAGATACAGGAAAATTACTAAAAATAATTATAATTGGTATAATCAAACCAAAATCACAGGTTAAATTTCTGTGAATTGGGCATATACTTCAGACTACATTGTAAAATTTGAGGGACTTCTATTGCATGAAATTATCGACCAAATTATTCTTTCTGATTGTCTGGAGGCAACATTTTAACAGTGTAACAGTGTAGAAAGATACACTTATCTCCTCCATTCGGCGATATTGCATGGTGTGTGTGGCTGATTTCACCAGGATCTGAAATAGAACCTCACTAAGTGAGTTTAATCAGTCTGAAGAGTTCAATACCAATGAAACTAGTTACTCTAAATTGGGATAACTGGACGAATCGCCCACATTTATCTATATTGTAAAATAAACTAGGCTATAATAATAATCATAAAAGATAAGTTAAAGTAGCTAAGTCTCTAACTCAATATCATCCAAAATCTTCAACATTGAAAACACAAATAATTTGTCAATTTAAATCAACATTGATGCTGTGATCTTACCGGAAAAAGATGGGCTTCTGATATCCAATATTTAAGACAAAATAAACATTTTACCATTGGTACACGAATCGTGTACCATAATGCGTTTCAGCCCCAGTTCTAGCAAGATACTCGAGGAACGAGGCTAGATATATTGCACCAAACCAAACGCCTATGTAGACTGGAATAACCAGGCGCTAGAAATTTGCATTCAGTTGAGACTGCTGGCTTATTTCACGGAACATAACTGATTTGAAATAAGAGTAAAAACGGAAACCATTAAATGTATATCAGTTTATATACATACATATTACAGTATTATATGAGTTCCGACCCACTTGTGTCAATTTCTACTTCTAGGTCCCAAATCAAATGTGAGCGATTTAGCTCCTTTAAGGATCCTTAACTAAAAGTAAAAGTGGTCTTTTTAGGGTTCGTGGACAATTTGTATGGACACAACGGGAAATGGTGAATAAATATGAAAAGACCAGTAGTTATTGTTATTTTTTATGGGATGAAACGACCCATAAATTTAAGATAAAGCCGCCCAGATCTCTGAGATGAAACAGCCCGGGGTGAAACAGCTTTAGATAACGCGGAACGCCAACGGACCGGTAGATCTATGTGAAAATGTGTAATCGAAATGGACGCCAGTCCCTGGGATTTTTATCTGGTTACACAATTTTACATTCTACTATCTTAGCTTTAAGCGGATGATGTGAAAAGTATACAAAAATAACCTTTTTTTAACCAAAGCACTCGTATCAACATCAACTACGACAGCCATCTTGGATTCTTTGTCTTTACTTTAAGAAAAATGGATTTGTCTCCCTTCATGTACTGTAACATAAAAGTATGGAGACACTAAGGTGCCATTATAATAAGGTAGCTTACGCTTAACGTACGATAAGATTTATTGACAATGTAGAATAATGTATTTATTTGAAAAAAAAAGTTATTTGATCGGATGTTTTAAATGATTAAGCCTCATCCAATTTGAGTGATTTATTAGAATTTATAAAAACTCTGCGATAATCGTCTGATAAATTTCAAAGATCGTTTGGTGTGCAACCATAATAGTTAGGTCCCATTGTTATGTAATAAAACTGCACTACGGTCTACGTTCTTGTAATTCACCAATATTGTTTTAAGAAGCATCGGAAAACGTAGTCTGCAGTATATTTAGAATGCGTTTCAAAATTGTATTTAAATAAACCTGCAGTCGTGTCATGAACTAATTTTATTCTATTTCCATTTATGTATATTTGTTTCATTTATATTTCTTCAAGCTTTATGTGGTTCATCTATGAAAGTTTTGTTTCACCTCCCTTCACGTTTTATTTTTTTGTTTTTTTGTTGTTTTTTTTTTTTTTTTCTTTGCCTATATTTAAAGCACTTTGGGAGGGGTGTGCAATGATGGCCAAAATGTATAAGATCTTATACATGTCTGTAAGAAAAGAAATAAGTAAGTAAGCTTAATAGGTTAGTTTTGTCCCTCCAGGTTATATGAATCTATACTATTATTTGTCTGTTTATCTGTTTGTTCAGGGGTGGCGGCTACACTATATAGGACTGTCCCGAGGCTGAAAGTTAGTGGATAGTGGTAGCTCGGACAGGGGAGTAACATGGGCTAGGAGGCGTTGGTCTATCACTTCCGGTTTCGGAGTTACAGGCACGTCCCGTGCAGCGCCGGTTAATGCAAAATGATAAGGCCAGCTAAATTTTTCGTCATAGGTCACGGGATGTAAGCAGAGCTAGCGCTAATCCCAACCCTAACCCCAACCCTGGACCTAGCCCCAATGCTTTTCGATAATTACTGCCGGATAGCCCTCGATCTCTTACAAGCTCTCGGGGCTAAATTTAATATCTGATTGACTTCAAACTTATACACAGTGTTTAGGGTTACTTAAGACAAAGAATCCTATTCATTTTCAACAATTTCCGATAATTACTGCCAGAGTTATGGCCCTTGATCACTTTAAAAAATATTGTTGACGCTCTATAGAGGCTAAAGTTAATATAAATTGTTTAAGGTCATGAGACAAATGAAATAAATTGAAATGGGGTTTAACGTTGTTTTGCTCCGAATTGGGCTAATGAATACGGGCATGCGTCATACAGTGTGCTATGAGGGAAATTTTGCCCGGACAGCAACACTACAGCCTACTCTTATATCGAATTCCAACTGTTAAGGGATCTTTTAGGTTCGTGCCAATGTGTACATAGGACCTCAGTTTTTCGTGCCATCCGAATGACTAGACAGCTGTCCTTTTCATGAGACAAACAATCGAAACGAGAGAGAAATGGGGTTTAACGTCCACTCGACACAAACTAGGTCATTTCGGGACTAACACATGGTTTAATTTTGTTTCAATAATTCGCTTGCGCGTAGGGGTCTTTAGCAGTGGGAGGAAACCGGAGTACCCGGAGAAAACCCACGAGGTTGGACAAGCGACCCTACTCCTTGCCACGTACAACCGGGGATTTGAAACCACGCCAGTTGACTCAATGACAGACTTTATGGTACAGCGCGCACGTGCTAACCATTCAGCCACCCAACAATCGAAACAAATTCTAAATGTTTTCTGATAATTACTTCATGGGTTATTACTGATGATCAGATTTTCACGTGTTGTAAATGTTCTCATTACTGACAAAAGAAAAAATATGCGATAACACTTGTCGGCTGCCCAGACCACGCTGTGGGCGTATGTTTTGTTGCCTGGCAACCTATCTTTGCATTCTTCAAAATAGAGCTATATGAATAATCTCCAGCGATGAATGCATAAACGAGTACATATCTATATTTCCAGCAGATATAGTATGATATACTAGAAAATGACTCTAGGATACAGCAATCCTAATCTTATAGCGCTAGAATATGTAAAACTAATCCCATGCTTACACATTTTATTATAGTTCATTAATTGAAATATTTTATACAACATGATTAGAAATTATTGCATGAATGGAAAAGCTCGTTACTGTTTGAGTTATAAACAATGTGTTTATTCGATGAACCGGTCACACATACGGTCACTAGGTCAATTACGCTGTGACGTACCGCAATGACCTAATTCCCGATCCAAACAGAGGTCAGAGAAGTGGGACGTACGGTCTTCACTGAATTTAACCCTTGACATGTCCTAGTTCGCCAGAGGGGAAGTAAATTTGAAAAGATATCAATTTAATGAAATATACAAAATCAGAAGGGGAATAAATTCGGAAAATATAACATATTCTAACAAAAATCACTTTACAATCTCACGAAGTTGTCTGTTCTGCTTATAGGAGGGATTTCAATGAAGAACTACTTTCAGTCGCTGCAGGATATGTAAAATGATCAGGAAGCCGCCATGATGGAGTCTTGATTTCCGTGGAGAAGAATCTTGAACCACTATGTCTCAAAAATTCCATGAGATATTTAGAAGGATTTGTATCAAATCTAGTTGATTAGAGTGGATGAATTAAAGAATTCAATGGATCAAAACTATTATAATGAGATTTATGAACATTCCTATGCTGACATTGAATTTGTTGAAATTCGGTGAAAAAAAAAAGTGAAGGAAATTTGGGAAAATCAAGTGGTTGAATTAACTAAATTCCAGAGTTTTTAACTGAAGGTTCAGGTCGTGTGTGGACAGAACTAATTTAGGACTCAAAATGGCTAATAAACTTAAAGGATTAGTGAGTAAGAATAAACGACGTTATCAGGATGATGGATATGATTTGGACTTGACATGTATCCTTTTCCCTTAACAAAATTATTACGGTCTAGGCAGTAAACTACTGGTACTAGTAAATAGTAGTAGAGTCTATTAGACTAGGCCTGATTTTGCCTCAAACAATTTCAGATATTGACCAGTTTTTGTTGTGGGTGTAGATCAGACCAAAGTGTTTATTTAGTTTAAAATTTGGGTTTGTAATTTAAGGGTTGACAAATTACGATATTTTAAAGAGGTACAGCCAACAGGTAATCTTGTTCCAACCATGGTCATTAATTCAATAATTGGTTTTCTTCTGTCAATTTAGATAGGTTAAGCATACTTAGACATGAGCTGATCACGGGTTAATACATCGGTACCGACTGACAAATGCGTTATCAATATTTGCCGATAATTGGTCATTTTTACCAATGTTTTGACCAATATTCAATTGTAAAGAAATTCTAAGGGTGGCTTAATTTAATGTGCGGTTTTTAGAGTTACTGTTGCCATGAGAAACAAATGTATTGCAAACTGAGTATAGCAAGCCACAATGTAGCATGCAAATGATACCAATTAGTTAAGTGCGGTCTTGACAGCTCAAAAACTAGCTACAAGAAAGTAGCTAAAAAACGTTGAGATATACTGATGTGCTTGTTTTTAACTATGATTGGGTGCCTTTAGTTCTAAGTGTCAAACTCAATTTCTTTATTAATGCATGTAACATCTTAAAAATTTGATGATTTTATACTATTAATATTATGACTAATTAAACTTACAGAGACCAATGTAGTGGCACAACTATCGCCCAACTCCAAATATTCGCGTTTAAATTGATGAAGAGTTGTTTTTATCCGACATACACCGTCCATTTAAAAATGGCATTCCTAGTAACAGCTTAACGCCTCGATTTTAAATACGATGATTTATACCTGTTTCAGGTACATGTAGGATTATAATAATTATATGCTAAATTATAGTTGGATGTGGCAGAAATATTATAAATAACAATAATCAATCATTGTTCTGATGAAAAATATTGTCAATTTCGCTTACTGAGGCCCCATGTGATTTGTGTTGGGCTTTGCTACATGGAACTATATAGCACCGTCTCTTACATGTATCTACTCAAAAACATACAACTGATATTTGGGTTACGATGTGCAAAAGTCCCTATTCACGATTGCAGATTTATAAACTAAAACGAAAAATAACTGCAATGAATCAACTTTTAATTGCATTTTTCACTTTAATAAATGGTTAGCGCTTTGCGCATTGTATCATAAGGTCTGTCATTGAGTCAACTGGTGTGGTTTCGATTTCCCGGTTGTACGTGACAAGGAGTAGGGTCGCCTGTCCAGCCTCATTGGTTTCCTCCAGTTCATCCGGTTTCCTCCCACTGCTAAAGCGCAAGCGAATTATTGAAATATAATTGAACCATGTCAAGTGTTAGTCCCGAAATGACCTAGTTGTGTTGAGTGGATATTAAACCCCATTTCTCTATATCTGTCTCTCCAGCCGCCATTTCGATGTACGCCATGCTTTATTTGATTTAAATGGGCATTAACACTGCCTCTTTTCCAGGTCCTCACCAGTTAGTACAAAAATAAATTTCAATTTACGGCAATTGAAATCGATCGTCGCATCAATTGGAAATCTTCAAATAAGGTTAAAATAGGCTTAGGAGGGTCACTGATCAGTGTGTTACATGTATTTTGATTAGAATTTCTAATTGAAAATTAATCCTAAGTCAGTCTTTATATGTAATTCTAGGTTTGCTTGTACATGTAGGTTAAGTGGTTTTCAATTTTTTTTTCACCCATATCAAGAAAGTTATATTTGCAGTTCCATTACCAAGATAGAGATTTTTTTAGTACTACAAAAAGGTGACATTGTAAAGTGAATCTATTTGGCAATGTGTTTGCTGTAATCTTTTTGTTTCTGTAAGGAGGATGTTCGATAGTGTTCAAATTTTGATAATGTGTGTCAAAGAACCGTTTCAAAGCAATCTTGCCGTTTCAAGTCATTAGTTCGTATTTTAGGATGAATAAGCTATATAATCTTGTCTGTCTCGACCAGCAGGTTTACAAATCAGAATGTATGTACATGTATATAAATGTAGTATTATGATCTTTCAAATGATGTGACCATGCATGAGAAAAGGTATTACATGTATCTGAACTGTGTGTATAGTCAAATCATGTGTTATGTTGCCCTGCCACTCGACCAAACATCTTTACGGATCGGCAATTATTGCTATACATGTAGTAAGAGTGAGTCTTCCTTTCAGATGAAAAATCTGATTTAAAAATATTGTGTCAATCTTAATCTTACATGTATTTTTGTAAAATGTTTGCACAGCTTTTGAAACTCTAATTTAAATCTTACATGTATTTTTGTAAAATGTCTGTGGCTTTTGAAACTCGAATTGCCTTAATCTTACATGTAGATGAATTGTTATTACTATCAGATCTTATTATATGTTAACAATTAACTTACAGAAAATAATTACCAGTACCAGAATATACTTTTTGCAAAATTTCACAAGATTTGATATATATGTCCTACATGTATTACAGTATACTGGCACTCAAAAACTGATGAAAGCTGCTGATCTTTATTTGAATTTCTTGGTCAATATATCATTTTTGATTTACTCAAAATGATTATTTAAAGATGGGTTCCCAGAAAAGTATTTATCGGGTGGTTATTTCAAATAAAAGTATGGCAATTTTGGTATATATGGAAAGTAGAGATATACAATCTTACTAAAAAAATACTGGATTCCCCGAAAAACACTCATGGAGCGTATACAGGACAAAAATGTACACAGGTTTCCCTAATCAACAGCCCGACGATTAAAAACTTCTACACGCGTGGTGTCAAAGGTCACAAGCGAACATTGAGCGCTTGATGTACAAGTTGATAAACTTTATGAAGAGTTAGACGTACAACACTTTCTGAGATAAAAATGACGGAAAAAGACGTGGGTAGTGGATAATCAGAGAATTTAATTAGGATTTGATATTTGTAATAAATAGTAAGCGATTAAAGACAGCATCGTCTTATGTATGCAATGGATTCTCCTCTGACTCCCAAGACGTGACGTAAACATGACCTGATTTGATCGAATTTTAATAGCAGGGCATTCCTTCGCAATTACAATGTTTGAGAAGGATTTGAAGTATAATTATGACAAATTAATTAGTTTGAATATGTTTTTGGTCCATATATACCATTAAATCACCCAGTTTGTACGCGGGAACCCATCTTTAACATAATAAATATTAAGTTGGATTATAAAGAGACCCATCAATTTAATTTAACTAAGACTAGGTGGCACTGGCTTATTTTGACCATATCCTATAATTATGTTGTCTGCATAGGATGCTGAATGGAATTCAACCATTTTGAACTGGTGATTTCCCTTTATCCAACTTTCAATGTTAATGTATTATAGTTCGCAACTGCAAGGGATTAAAGATCCCTCAAATGGCAATCAGAGACTTTTAAGTTTTCTTTTCTTCATATTTTGTCTGCTTTGGGGCTAGACAGCAGTCGATTGAAATATTCCTTAACAAATTTTATAGACATCTACCCTAATATCATCGCAATGGGTTTTCCAGCTATGAGGCTGGAAGGTGTATACAGGAACAACATTGATGATGTTGTCGGGTTAGTATTTATTTTATACATTTACATTATATTCATGTATATACCAGTATGTGTGGCATTCCTTACTCATTTTCCTTACAACCAAATCAGGTATTTTTCATTTTTGAAACCGAGGAAGATAATTCTTATTTTATCGTAATATTTCCAAGAAAATAAAAAAAATATTCCACAGCAGTAGTCAGGATATTAGACATCTGTTTATGGAACAGTTTGTAACAGTTTCATTTTACAAACCCATCAGCTGCATTATGATGTTAAAATGTGTCAGTAGGTAACTGTGAGACTGTGTGAAAGAGAAAATATATAAATACACTTTTCTGTACTAGAATAGATAATTGAATTAACACATTTTATTATAGCAACCGATTTAATTATAGTTTAACAAGTACAATGTATGACGTGCATTTTATATATGGTACATGTAGGAAGGGCTTTAGTTGTAATTTAAATAAATGAATGTACACGTACACATAATTTGACATGACGAATCCATGAAATAATTACACATGTAGTTCCTGTGGATTCTAAAATTAAACTAATTAAACTGAAAAGATCTTCGGGTCTAATTTGACAGACCAATATTGTACACAGCCCACACATGTACATTTACCTCACCAAGATCCCTAGGAATTGATATTAATTAAATTAATTAATTAAATCTAAGTTTTAATTTTTATTGAAATTTTCTGAATTTATCCACCATAGGGTCTACTATGCGTCCTAACCCCAAGTCATAGTATCAACCTTCAGTAACCTTGTATTTTCTTTAGAATTGTTCCTGTGAATTAAATTTGTCTTTTTGATCAATTTGATTTAAGTGGTAGATGAAATACATGTATGTTAAATGGTTATGAATCCAGATCCAGGTGTAAATTTTCAAGTGTATAGTTAGTGATTCACTGTAACATTAGTTAAATCTCCTACCATTGTACATGTACTTTGTGTTCATGGAGATGTTTATGCAATCTTGGAAGGCATGGCAATATCTTGGCAATCTGCAACCAGTTTAGTTATGTCTGGGGCTATAAAGAAAGAACTATATATGTATTAGTTTGGAACATCTTTAGAAGTTGAAGATGTGTCTATATAACCATCCAACTTCAATGTGAAAATATATTTTAATTTACATAGTTACTGTACAAAAACACAGATCATAAAAAAAAGAAATTTGCATTCATTAAAATGTACATTGTACATGTATCTGGACTAGTAATTAAATTTCCTATGTACAATTTACCGGTCTGAAAACTGTCAGACACCAATGAACTAGTACATGTACCTAACATTTTGATTTTTGTGTCGGACATGTATTAAAAATATTAATAAAAACACAGCAAAAACATAAATCTGTGCTGAACAAAACGACAGGCACCAAAAGGGTTGTATCAGATGAAATCTGAATTTGTGCTGGATAATATCTGTGACAGGATTTCCAGGTTTGAATCCTGCTCTACACATATAAGATCCTCTTTAATATCAACCATAAAGCTTAGTGAGTAATAATGACAATATTGATTAAAATAAATTTGTATATCCTGATCTTTCTATTGTTGGGATTTATTAAGGACTGATGGCATTAATCATGATATAGAAAGGTTAATTAACTGAAAAAGTTTTAATAATCTGCTAAGATATCTTATTAAAATGAACAACTCCAATAGAGTATGTCAATCCTTCTTCTCATTTTAGTTTGGTACATGTACTACTGTAGCTAGATGTACATGTAGCGCCATATGAACAAGCCCAGGCATGGGGATACATGTATGGAATGTGTGGGTTTTTTTCCCATCCTTCCATTGACAGTGATTATATAAGTCTTTATATGAAAGATTAAGGATTCTCAAAATCTTTGAATCTTGCGAGATTGAAGAAAGGACAAACCTATTGCATATAATTGTTCGGACTCTCTGTATGCTACACTCCAATCAAAATAGCTCAAGAAAAGCCCATAGAAAGAGTCTTGCATTTTTAGTACATATTCCTGATTCCTGAAGCAATAGTTAAAATTATTATCAGCTCATTAATCACTGTTACACTTACTAGGTACGGGGAAAGTGATGTGTCTCATTAGTTATCTTCCCCCAGGTCTCGGATACCACATATCCACTTTGCGGTAAACTGAACAGATTTGAACAGAGCCTTGGTATGCCTTGATACATTTGCCTGAAGAATTCAATTCACAATTTCGCTGCTACTACACGGTTTGAAATATATTTTACATTTCTAAAATGCACAACTGATGTCCATTTGAGTGATGTACATGTATACCAGTAAAAGCTCTAGTAAAAACAACAGGTTGTATCAACTATTTTGATTAATAAAGATATGAAAACAATTGAATTGCACATGATTGCTGTGATATATGTGGCAATATTTATTGAACAAAAAATTTTTGTTTCTATTGTTTCGGGAATATGGGATTAGTATACAAACACACATTGCTTTTCTGGGAGCACCCCTCTGTGTAGAGTTCCTGTATATCCACTTGAAATAGATGGCACTACGTTTATCATACTATATGCACTGACAACTAGATGTATCTAGTTAGCTTAGTTAACCTATGACATTTTACAGAAGACTAGAAGAGGAAAATATAAAACTAGTTTACCACTTTAAATACTGATCTACATGTATATAATAGGTTGAACTTCCTTCATCCACACTGACATCTGGGGTTTAATGCTAGATAGTCTGTATTTGTATCATGGCTAGTCACAGTGTATTTATATTTAAAGATACAATAACACAGATTGTTCACATATATTTCAAATATGTTCTACTACATCTATGTAAAGATTTCTGTTATTACATGTATGTAAAATTGAGTAAATTGTGTAGAATAGGCTGCTTTGTACGAAAAAGATAAACAAAATTATTATTACATTATTTATCTAAGAGAGTAAAAGATGGTAGTGTGATACCAATAGAAACTATAATAACCATAACTTATGTTATAATTGACTAATTTAATTCATTTTTGGACCAAAATAAGAGAACTTTTGATTGTGTACATACATGTAGACGGCATGGTCTTAAATTCTATGTTTGACCTTTATTCAGGACTGTTGGGGTTTAGATAAAATATTAAATCAAATTATCTCTGGAAAATTACATGCTAACTTTCCTTCTATGATAACAATTTCTTCAGTTTAATGTTAATAATAATCATGTCTGTTTAATTTTTTATCACTCTTCTTTAAATATGTAGGCAACACACCAATTTACATGACATTTTTTAACAAATATCATAGAATTAACTTTGAATAATACCCTGTTCTCCTGTCCAAGAAATTCAGTTAAACAGTTGTATTGATTAAGTTGTGTGGAAAATCAAGGTTAAAGATTATTACATGTACATTGTACATGTACATTATGTAAATGTATTCATGCTGGGCGTGGTTCACCCTTGTTAGTGATGCAGGACGGATCGCTTGACAAGAACAGCTGTCTAGTCGTTCGGATGGGATCAAAAACCAAGGTCCCGTGTACACAGTTGGATTTCGATATAAGAGTAGGCCGTAGTGCCGCTGTCCGGGCATAATTTCCCTCATAGCACACTGTATGGCATATGCAAGTCTTCATTTGCCCAGTTCGGAGCAGAACAGGAGGTTAAACCCCAATTCATTTCATTTCATTTCTCTGTATTCATGCTGCAATACATAAAGCAAGAAATGAAATAGAGTATATTTTGTTTGAATATAAAAAAGATGCCCTTAAAATAAATATCTTTACAATTATGAACATGTACCATCAGACAGTTGTTTAAGTTTTATACTTGGTTGGTTGGATGAGATGTCATAAAAACAATTACCAATTTCATATCAATATGAATAATTTTTTGGGCGGGCACATTGTAGGCCTACACTTAGAGTTTATAATTGCTATTGTCAATAGTTATTGAGCCAACAATGTCTGTTTCTATTGTTTTGTGAATATGTCACATGTGTGTACTTTAAGAGATTATCTAATATTTTTAGAATGTTTATATAACCTGCGTATATACATGTAGGTAAGATGAAAACGTGTGTTGAATTTGAACAACATGAAGAATTACTAGAGTGGAAGGGCTACATGTACATATATGTGTACTTGTATGTCTCATATATTTAAATCTTTCTGTAAACTACAGATTAAAGTAGGCTAATGTAACTACATGTATATATAGATCAAAAAAAATATCGGTATGTTTTATTATCGCCCTATAAATAGTAAAACAACCTGATATATAAAGTGGGTTACATTTGTTATTAATTATTTTCAAAATATGGTAGATGAATAACGAGATAAAATCTAACAATGAGAACATATTAAATTAATATTGAAATTAGTTTGAACTGTAAATTGGAAAAACAAAATGTGTTGATTTAGATATTAAATTTGTTTCTAAATATTTGTATGTTAAAAGATCACCGGTGGAGTATAAAGATAAGGGTGTATATGAGATTACTGTATGATGAGTATAATTAGGTTGCCACTCGTGTCTTTTGATTTTCTTACATGTAAAGCCAGTATACTATATTTATAGAGTAGGAATGAGATATCAGGTCATGGTTGATTGGAACATGAATATTTTAATTTAATTAACAGGTACTTGCGTAAGTTCAAATTGTTCAATGTATCAGGGAATAATATTTCCGAACATTGACTTTTCTGAGAAGGGAGAGTTAACAGGTTGACTCCACGGGCCAATAGATCTGTTTGTAATCTATTTCACTACAATATATATCTTATTTTATTTACAGTTTCCTTGAAGATCGTCATAGAGAGCATTATAAAGTTTATAATTTGTAAGTATTAAAATCATGCAGTATATCAGTGGAGAGACTGACAAACTAGAAATATTGCTGTAGCATTTCTTTTTTCTTGCCTCCTCCCACTTCTGATATTGCATTTATAGGTACAAAGTAAATAGTGTTTTTTGAATTCGCAGGAATTAATAATGACTACATACATGTACATATGCCAATATGTGGATCTATTACTTTTAGAAAAAGTAGCATTTTTTGTAAAATTCAGAGTGATATTTAACAAAAATTATAAATATAAATATATTTAATTGACTACGGAATTGTGAACACTCTAACGACTAAAGTTATGCATTATTTATATTAGTAAATCGAAAAAGCCTATTGAATTTCAGCAATTTCCATTAATTACTTCTAGAGTTATTGTTTCACTTTATTGAACATTGTGAATGCTTTAAAGACAAAAGTTGTCATTCGTTCGCTGTGAAATTGATATCAGTGTCTTGTAAATTCTCCCTTTAACTACAAAAGAATAAATATACAACAACTCTTGTCGACTGCTCAGGCAATTTAGCTGCTGTGGGCATATGTTGCATTGCCTGGCAACCTATCTTTAAATATTCTTTGGATTACGATTAAATTGTTTATATGAAAAACTTAACTCAAACACATTTATATTTTATTTTAGATGCTCAGAGAGAAAGTATGAAACAACTAAATTTTTCTCTAGAGTAGCAAGTTATCCTTTTGAAGATCACAATCCACCCCAGTTAGAATTAATTAGACCGTTCTGTATAGATCTGGACAACTGGTTGAGCGCAGATCCACATAATGTAGCTGCAGTCCACTGTAAGGCTGGCAAGGTAGGATATAAAGTTAATAGAGTTCGGTCAGCTGTTATTATAATTAACTAGTAATAGGTCTATAAACATCATTAAGTGAGGCTACAAGCTGAAAATCTATCATGCCTGTTTCTAAATTAAATTCTCTACCCATTCCTGGCCAATAATTAACTTAAATTAATGTCAGCTCTTTACTTATAATGAGTGCTTAAAATCTTCCTTGTTACCATGTAGAATTGTTAATGGTTTATTATATAAAATGTACATACATGTATGTATGTAAATATATAATGTTTGTTTCAGGGAAGGACAGGTGTTATGATCTGTGCCTACATGTTACATAGAGATAAATTTCATACAGCTGAAGAGGCTTTAGAATATTATGCCAAAACTAGAACAAGAGATCATAAGGTACTGTATTCGAATTTCAGAATTTAAATTTTTTCAAGTTTATTTACAAAGTTTTGAAACTGGTTTTTGTACAAATAAAATTCAGACATTGAATAATGTAAGACCTATTATTGTGGTGAAATTGTGCCCAAAATTCATTGTTAACCTTCACCTGGTAGTATTATGAATGTTATGATTGTTGTTTTGAATTAGTTTATGATTTCACTTAGTTATATTCTCAGCTAAGCTTACAACAAATGACAGGAAAGTAGATTATGCTTAACAAGTACCCATTCTCCTAATGAAAGAAACCATTGTCGCCTATATATAAACTAGGGATTTCTCTTTTTAATTTATATACACACACATTCAAATGTGGTCAGATATTGTTGTCAACTCTGTCAGGCTAAAGTTATCATTAGATTGACTTAAAATTAATACACAGTGTTTAAGGTCGTTTTAAACCATGTTTTATCCAGAGTGTTTATGTTCATGAGACGAAGAAGTTATTTCTATAATTTCCAATAACTTGGAACAGCTAAAATTATCATTTGATTACTGGTACATACATGTATATAATAAATATAAACATCGGGAAGAACTAGAAGCCAATCAGATTTTAATTAAAGAAAAAAAAAATCTGATATGTACATTTGTGATTTCTGCGTATCGTGTCTTGTCCGTAAAGTTGTCTGGTGTAATTGTTTGTGTATGGTGCAGTCCCCCTGCACTTACATGTACTATTGGAGACTGCTCAGACCACTAAGCTGCTGTGGGCATATGTTTATTGCCGGGCAACCTATCTTTGACATAATTTGTTTAATGCCGTTTAGTCAGAAATTCTTTTTTCGAATACTTGTGAATCAGTTTGTAAGTGTTTATACACATATTGTGTTTTAAGGTCATCTTCTTTGCAGAGGCATATCCGTGAAATATATATTGGGGGGGTCCGCAACCCTAACCCTAACCCATTTTTTAAAACTCCTAAAAAATATAAACAAACACCATGTGGCCATGCTGTCTACCAAGACACCACGTGCAAAAGCATTATGGTTACGTTGCTGGCTGAGCGGGCGATAAATATTTGTTTTAGGCGGTTATGTTTTTGGGTACCTACATGCGATTCACTCTGATAAGTGGCAGGAAAAAATTAACAAAATATTACTGACAGGCTAACTAGACACAATTTTATGGAACACAGGTACTTTTCACTTCACACATGTTTCCAGGATGATTATCTCTGTGTTTAATTTTAGCAGTATAAACCATATTGGGATATGTACAGGTTTTATACAGATAGAATCTTAACTAATCTTAATAATTGTTGTAAATAAATAGGAGTTTGGGCCTACTATGTAATTTTTTTGGGGGGGGTCCAAGTATATTCAGACCCCCCTTCCCCCCCGAAAAACAATTGGGGGGGCTCGGACCCCCCCATGTGTGACACCCATGCTTCTTTGGAGTATATCTAACTTTATGGCATGTAAATTGACTGATAGGTAAATTCTCCACTAATTCAATTTCACTGTCAATAAGTGAAGACTGTTAATTTTCAGTGTTGATACTGAAGGTCTTCCTTAAAATCCAATTCATACTGTGCATCATCCATGAAAACGCAGACTCTGCGATATAAATCAAATAAATTGTACATTGGCCCAAAGGACATTGTTTTGTACCCTGTATCTGAACTACAAATATGGAAGAGATTTTGCTATATCTGAAATTAAATACAAAATGATTTTTTGAGTGATATTGACCTGAATTTGTTCATCTCACGGATTCTAGATATAGCCATATTAGCAGACTTCTTACATCATGAGTGGCTAAAATAGATATTATTACTGTCTTTAAACCTATTGACATTTATCTCCAGGATTTCTTCTGTAATTATATGTCTACATGTATTCTGTATATCTGAACCCCAGGCTAGTCTTCACCCACTGACCTATTATTGAAAGGTTATAGTCTAGTGCTGATGGACAAGCTGAAGTAGAGTATTTCATTCAATGGTATTTTACCAAGACAACCAAATTATCAAGTCCTTAATCTACAGTTATAAATTTCCTAATATATTTGCATTGACAACTAATTTATTATGAGGTTTTCCATTATTGGGAATTATGATAAGATTGATATGACCAAAAAAAACCCCATACCTTCCTATTGCATTGAAACTGAGCATATAAGTAACTTGACTTTATATGATGAATAGTGGTAACATCGAATGCGGATTTTACAATTAAAAGAATTAAGTCTTAGTTTGAAAATTCGATTCAGTTTAAATGATCATTCATTGCTTGCATTGTGTTTGGTGATTTTTCAGATTTCTAGAAATTGTGAATCTTTCAAATAAATAAATTTTACATATACATGGTTATTTAATTTTGAAGAGTAGTTGGCAGGATTTTGTATAGGAGACAAAAATCGGATCAAATTCCATATGAATACAAAAAATTATATACAAATAACCTTGAGATATAATTCGAATGCAATATATATTTGAGCACTATTGATCAATAATTAAAGTGAAGTTAAACATATGATACATGCAGTATAAAATTCCCAAACTTGAAATTAATATCAGGCTATTTATTGAAAATATTGATTTCAGGGTGTCACAATACCAAGTCAAAGACGTTATGTAAAGTATTATGAAATATTAGTTAAAAAAAATTTAGAGTACAAACCTACAAGTTTATTATTATGTGGAATCAAGTTTGAGACAATACCTATGTTTAATGGTGCTACATGTAGTAAGTGTTTTTTATTATTATTAATAATTATATGATATGGAATCAAGTTTTAGAACAAATTATAATATATTCCTTTAGTATAGATGTACATGATTGTAGCTTAGTAGACTTACGTGTCATATTAGTATTACACCTGTTTTGAAAACACTGCACTGGCTTCCAGTCTTGGCAAGAATTGACTTCAGACTTCTTTCTTTAACATACCATTGTATTCATGGTTTAACCCCTAAATATCTATGTGTCTTATATGCAAATGTACACAGCCCCAAGAGACTTATGATCAAATAATCAAAATAAACTCAGTTGACCAAAAACAGAAATGAAACCTTTTCATACAGTTGCATCTGAAAAATGGAATTCTCTACCATAAGAACTTTGATCCATTTCGACTTAGAGTGAATTTAAATCTTGTCTAAAGACATACCTGTTTGGGCTCTATTAGTAAATAATAGCATAGATTGAGGTATATGATTGAACCTTTGTATGTGAGCATGAGTCAGGCGCTTTGAGCATGCTTTGTGGATCTAGCACTTTACAAATGGACATTTATTTAAATCATTATAAAGTTATATACACTGAAAAGAACTTGTTTTGAATTCCAACCCTTCACACATATTATGGCTACCGATTTTGTATAAAACAGTGCCTCTGAGTTTTTGTGAAAATCATGATTAAAATCTCAAAACAGGATCAACAATTTATTTATTTTTTTGATTGTTATAGCTGTCTTCTAGCAATCCACCTTCCGTTTTCTATGATTTAGTTATCATGGTTTTTATGACAACACTTGCATAACCAGTCATTGTAAAATATACAAGGGCTGCTTACCAGTTCTTTGTGTCTGGTGTATATATATATATATTTTATATCATGTTACAGCTCCCTTTTTTGAAATTTACCATTCTCAAGTAAAAGTATTTTCATCACCTGTATATGAAGGTGTTAAGAAAGGAGAGAGTAGTTTTTATATGCCAGTTACACAACCTGTACCGTTATGTAATGATATAATGATAGAATTTGTAAATAAAACCAAGATGATGAAAAAGGTAAGGAGTGTTGACATACTTAGATAGTGTAACCATAACTGGTTAAAATCTTAACCATAATGTGTAACCAAACTGATGACAATCTGGAATTGAATTGGATAAACTTTGTGTTTCTCTAAAATGTGTTTTAGAATTTAAACTTAATATATGGGGGTTGAGTGACTGAATTTTCGAATATGTGCACTTTAGATCATAAGGTCTGTCATTGAGTCAAGTGGAATGGTTTCCATCCCAGCCTTGTAGGTGACAAGGAGAAGGGTCACCTGCCTAACCTCATGGATTTTCTCTTGACTTCTTTCCACTACAAGCAAGTAAATTATTGAAATGAAATTGTACCATGTTGGTCCCAAAATGACCTAACTTGTGTTGAGTTGACGTTAAACCCCATTTCTCTCTATCTTTCTCCATCTTGATATATACATGTAGGAACTGTTCTTTAGTTTTACATTTTCTATAATTTGTTGTATTTATTGTACATCAGTGTAAATAGTTGTACATATGACAAAGGAGTTTAATTAACTCTAGTAATCTATACTGGTCTTGTTGGGGTTTTATCAACCACATATTATGACAGAAGAATGAGAGCATGTCTATTTTAATTCATTTCAGGAAAAAATGTTTCACTTTTGGTTTAATACATACTTTGTACGAGAACATGAGGAAATACAGAAGAATGGTTCATCTAGTGACGACGGTAGCAGACATTATTACCTCACATTAACTTTGCCAAAAATGGAGCTTGATAGAGCGAATAAAGATAAATCTCATAAATTATTTAGTCCAAATTTTAGGGTAGGTTTTTTTTCTTCTTTTCACTTCCTTATGAAATCAATTAAGTTATATTAATTTAAAGTAAATCTAAGATGGATTTACTTCCTCTTTTTGTAAGAGGAAGCTATTATAAGCTGACTATGAAAATTTACATCTAAGGAGCTAAATCTGTCAATTACAAGTCTTTTTTCTGGCTTCAAATGATTGTATCAATTACTATTTAGACATTTATTCAAATGACAATCCCATAATCACCTCTTGTAGCAATAATGCTGGACAATCAAAACTTCAAACACTCATAACTTCACTCATAATAAAGTAATTTGACTTAAATTTTCAATATATTCATTTTACATTTTCTTTTTTTGAATTATTATAGCAAGAAGGACCAGCTTTTTATTTAATTCTTACATAATGCATCTTTTAACATTTATAAACTTTAAGAATTACCGGTAATCAGATTTAAGAAATTAAGTTATACCAGTAAGGCAGTACCCTTTAATTGGATAAAAAAAAGCATGTTTTCCAAACCTGAATACAGTATTAGTTTTGATCGATTATACAATTTTTAATTCTGTTTTTCAGATAAAAGTATATTTTTCAAATATGAAAGAATCGGACACATCTTTAGAAAGAAGTCGAAGTGCAGATGATGTGATATGTCCCCCCTCCAAGTGTAAAAATGACGAATTTCAAACTAGATCACAAACCTCAGACAAACTGTGGGTACCAAAATCTAGTAAAAAAATTAGTTCTAGTGACAATTCTCTATCTGGTGGACGTTATATATCCTTGACCCCTGAACCCCACTCTAGGACAGGTCATCATAATCACAGTCGGCGTGGTGGCGACACCTGTAGTTCAGAATCCACATCAGGGGGTAGTGTTGAGCGAGTATCAGGGGGTAGTGTTGAGAAAGTATCGGGCGGGTTGACAAGTGACAATGAATATGATTTGTCAGACACTGAATCCGAAAATGAGTGGGAAGGATGTGAGATCACTCAAGTTTAGTCATTTCATGCTTTTAGTGATTAATTTGACTTTTAATTAAAGACTAACAACTTTCAATACACATGGGTTTTAACAGCAGTTGAAATTATAAAGAACCAGACAGACGGCAATAGATACAGATGTCTTTAAGACCTTCTACCATAAAAAATGCTTTTATTCCTTTAATTAGTTCATTGAATATTTTTTATTCTAGTTAATGAAATTAGATTAGAAATAATGTCATATGTTTTAGGTTAATTTAATGCAAATTAAAAAACAGTTTATGATTTTTTGCTAGTAAAAAAGAGTAGATTAAATTGCATTTTTTTTCTGTAGTTTGCTAAATAATTATTACAATACTATTGCTTTTGTTAATTAAAATACTTTTTATAAATAAGTCTAATTATTGTCATTTAGACTTGATTGTACTTGTCATGTATATTTTTATACGCCCACATTCTGGGTACATATATATTGTTGCCTGGCAACAAACCTTTTTATGACCTGGTGGAGTCATACTTTAGCAATATTTGGAACACTCAAAAATTTCCATATCTTCATAATCTGAATTTGAGAAAAATATCAATAGCATTGGGTTTTTTTTATCATTCTGAGGACTTGAACTAATATATTCTAAGGATCTTGTCTTTGTATTGGTTGAGATCTTTTATCTCCTAGTAAAAATTAAGTTCTTGGCAAGGGATAGGGCTGCATTCTTAAAATATTTTAGTTTAAGTTTATGTGAGTAAGGCTCCTTGTAGTTAGTATGTAGTAATTTGATACTTTTTTTGTGGAATTTATATGGTTGTTCAACAGCAATTCTTGTTAGTCCCAAACCTATCTCATTCCCAGTATCCTTGGGGGGCTTTATAAGATCAGTCTGTAATACAGGTAAATAATGAAAGTCCAAGTCATAAAATTGAACTGTTCTGTGTACTTATGTGTTATTGTTAAAGTGGTGCAACTCAGTATAAAGTATGTATTAATATTATCTGTCTCTTAGTGAATTATAATAGCCAACTGTTAGTAGTATATGTTGGTTGTATATATATAATGCAAGTAATTTGTATATAGATATAGGATAAGATAATGTATATAATAGCGATTGTACAGTGTAGATTTGTAACAATAATCAAAGTGTACATCTTTTTTTAAATATTGTTTTATTGTATTAGTAAATGCTTTAGAAATGAACAATTTTAAATTCCTAAGTATTATAGATGGTCGCTGATACTAGTTGAGTCTAGTTCTATTATCTTTTATAATACAAGAATTAACTCTTCTCACCAGTAGTTGAGTTCTTGTTATAAAAAGATAAATTGTATGAATTCCTGTTGATGTACATGTTGTCATGCTCAATATTTATCAAGGAGAAAAGATTACATAGTTTGTAATAGTCAATGAAAAAAGACTACATTAAATATTTTTTAAAGGAGTCTGTTAAATTTATATATTATTATCTCAATTAATATCATTAAACGGAACCAAAAATCAAAAATATATATAAATATACTGTTCACCAATTCTTTGTTAAATGTTGAATCATTTGTTATTCAGAGCAATTGAAGACGATGGCAGCTATTTTAAGAAGTAAAGTAATATTGTTGATAATACTTAACAATTTTATCTCAGTTGAAATATTAAAATATTTATTTAACTACAAACATTAACAATAAATTATTCTTCCTTTTATTAAAAAAAATACACAGTTTTCTGGGTTTAATCAGGTAAAGTAGTAGAATATACTATCTTTTGAGTAGTAATGTGAAAGTTTTTTCTCTAAGCTATATTACCAGGCCCTAGTTTCACAAAACATTCTGAAACTTAAAGTTAAGAATTTACTCAAAATTGTTCTCCTTATTGTAACTAAAATATAGCCCTTTATAAAACATTTGTTGTTTGAATGTATCAGATACATCAATAAGAAACTCTATAACACATGACAAACACAATTATATGGAATACAAGTTACTTGAAAGATTAATTTCTGGCGACGTTTAGACAAGGGTTTTCTGATCTTTATCGAGCAAACTATATGTGAAAAGTTTTGTCTTTCTGGATCAAAGATATTTCTCATAAACAGTGATTAAATGTTGAGTGAATTCTTAACTTATGTCTGAGAATGCTTTGTTGAACCAGGGCTAAATTATGTTTCTCTACTGATTATTCTTAAAAAGTTTTAATTAAAATTATGGAGTGATTACACACTGCCATAATCCATGGAAATATTCAGCAAAGCTAGCAAGCCGATTTAGCCTGTGATCCATTTTTAATGTGTTAATAATCTGATCAGTTCATTATAATCTGGCTTTTAGAAAAAAAAATATAATTAAATATTTAGAGAGATTTTCTTCATTAGTAATAGTATAAAAGTGCTAGTAATATTACTACTCATATTAAAGTGCTGTTGAGACCTTTTTCTGTGGTAGTCTTGTAATGGTGTATCTTCTGTCCTGGGTTGAATGTGTTTTGAATGCCAAAAAAAAAAAGAAAAAAATCTTTAGAAAAGGAATTTGTTATTACTGTTTGTTGTTTTGATTTGTTTGTTGTTATTTCGAAATACTCTCACACTGTAAATAAGTGGGAATTATTTTAATTTGTTACAAGAATGTGTACCAAAATTAAATTTATAGAAATGTGAACAAAATGGCATCAATAAAAGGCCATTGTATACCACTTAGTTTTCTGTGAAGAGCTATCCTAGTTAAGTGCTTGTCAAATACAGAGTCACTATTGCCCGCACCTAGTTATAAAAGATCACTCCCGGACAGATCCTAAGTGGTGTATGACCAGCCTAAGTTTTATGATACAAAGAAAGAAGGATATATTGTTGGTTAGCGTTATTTTTGATATTTTACAGAAGAATGTCATATTTTAGAAGTTAAATATAATTCTCTTCTGATGAAATTTCACTTTTGTATTTTTTCATCATCTCAAGATCGTTATTTAATATCATTAATCATTAAAATACATGACTTCAGTAGAATATCATATTGTTTTGATTGAGGCTTCCGATTGCATAAAGTATTACAGCTAAGCAAAGTATGATGAGTCGCCAAGAATAAATAAATATATAGATCCTGTATTTAGGTAAAAATTTATATTGAAATCGTATCATTTAATTGGACCAATATATGAAAACTTACCCTTTAAACAATTTCATAACCCATATTCTATGTAGAATTTATTACCATTGACTTCCATTACATTAGATTCACATAAAATTTCACTAAATAAACAAAATATCCTCATTTGCAGTTGTAAACACCCTGCAGATGAGGTACTACAGTATATCCAATTTGGGCGGCCCAATTGGGAATATCTTTGCTGAGCTTCCAGGTTCACAGCGAAGTTTTGCGTTAGTGAAATGAAGGCAGTTTTATTTGAGTCTTAGAATAGATTACCCTAGCAGGGGCCCAATCCCGAAAATTTGTCAATTGACTTAAAGCTTATCCTTTTTCCAAGACAATTTCATTGTGTCAGAAAGGGTACTTATATAGATTCATCATAGGTATTTATATGTCCCATCTTTTTACTAAAATGAATTTGCCTGACATTATCATTACTATCAATTATGTTTTTGTTTTTTTTTTCAATTTATAAATAGGTCAACCATCGAGTAATGTAGAAATACATATGATGAATTTACACCACCATGTCGTTTGTTGTGTTATTGTTAATTATGATAACAATGTACCAATATGTAATAAATATTTTCTTAAAGAAATCTCCCTTTTTTGTCAAAAAAAATAAAAATAATATACTGTTAATGTATACATATTAAAGCCCCAAAATGCCAGAATATAGATTTTTTGACATGTCCTTGTAATAATTACCTGTATCATAACGGTATTGGGCTATTTTCAAATCTGCCTCCACCCCAGTCGCACTCCTTCCTTGACAATGCCAATGCCATAAGAGAATTGAACTGAATAGCTTTTTAGGAAACGTTTAAGGAATACAATATACCTTGGATATTCTTCCCAGTTTAATTTGCTTGGAAGTAATATCTGCTGACATTTCCTCTAAGATATATTATAATAATCGGATATATTACTGGATTGACTCAAATCAACTATATTTATAATACTCTAATTAAAATTAGCTATAAGTAATAGAGAACGTGATATATAGCCTAATTGTCCGTGTTATGCTTGAAGTCTTACGGGATTATTTGATTAAGACAAGTCCTTTGACACGACTATTATATAAGTACAGTATAAATATGTAACTAGATCACATGCTATAGCAACCATTATACCATATAATTTATGCATTAATAATGTCAATACGACCTTTTACCACTAACCCAGTGACCTAGTAGAAATGTGATATGTTAGTCATCTTATCATGTATATATATGGACATCAATCAACAAGGAAGTATAAATAAATCTTTTAATCTATAGTAACATCCAACAATACAGGTCATATAATGCTATGTTATAGTTCTAAATATAATTCATTTAAGATACATTATGATGGGAGATTAGATAAAGAGCTGGCAGTTCTCACTATAATAGTTTAAAACTAGATAATCTAAAGGGAATTTGCTAAAAATTTCAGTCAAATTGATCCACTCTGAACCGAGAATTTAGCAATTGAATTTTATGCCTAGCCTCGATCATTATTACTAAAGTCGGTACGATAAAAAAAACAACATAGTCTCGATTATCCATTTTCTGATTTAATCACCAATGAGCAGCAGATCGAATTCCAATCCAGTAAATATGGCAGTTTAAAATGTATGTTTAAAATACGCAATTTGTTGTAGATATCATATACACATGTTAATGCATGGGAATCTAGACCCACGTTCTCCAAAATTTCGCCCATGTGGGGCAAATGTATACATTTTCCCAAAATTTTTATTTCTTATTCTAAACGTTTGTAACGCGTGTGCGTTAGTTTATAATATATTACTATATAGGGGTTATTTCAGTTCTATGAAAGGCGCCCTGTCTAATATATTGAAGTGGTTAAATAAATCTGTGACAACGAGAACTGGGATAAGTAGGTACCTTGTATTATTCTACAACTTTCTTAGACTAACTCACTGACATTTCTGTCACTATCCTTTTCGGGAATGTGGTACTGTTTGTTGTCCAAAAATCGGGTATACAGATTAGTCCAATATTATATACAATAAAGTTGACGTAAGAAGGTGCCCAAACGAAAAAACTTAACAAAAATGGTAATAGCCGACGTAGTCAAACATTTTATATAAATTAAAGAGCGCGAGTTAATTTTTTCCAGACATCATTCAGTGTTCCTAGGGTGCCATAATTGGCGTCCCTAGGGGGACGTATAGATAAGTGTCCCCATTGTGCCACCATAAGTTGGCGTGGTTTCGATTCTTTGCTTGTACGCGACAAGAAGTATGGTCGCCTGTCCAACCTCGTAGGTTTTCTCTAGTTTCGCCCCACACACCTAAAGACCCCTACCCGCAAGCGAATTATTGAAATTAGTCCCGAAATTACCTGTTTGTTTTGAGTGGACGTTAAACCCCTCCCTTACCAGTGGTGCAAGAGGGAAAAAACCATTTAAAGATAGAATTTGAAAAAAGAGTAGGCCGTAGCATGCTGCATGGCTTATGCCCTATGTCATTTCATTTCAAGTTGATAGTTCCTACAAAGCGGGTCTGCGCACATAATTGATAAAGCAAATCGAGTCAAGGAATTTCAAACAAATTTAAAAGACACAAGGTATAATTTTATGGATACACAATTACTGAGTTTAATACTAATATACTCTCGTCTTTATCAAGCAAATGATACAGATCCGTTGTTGTAGTTCTTAGTGTTTAACGTCCGCTTCTACCGAGGATGATATCGCAGACAAGCCATGGAGAGGTGACCGGCCAGTAACAGCTCGAAGCATGCTTGGAAGGACCAAATGTTTATAGATTTTGTTTATGTGAAGTAGTTGGAATTTAGTTCCAAATAAAGATTTACCTCCCTTTATTTATAATGGTCTGTATTCGATCAAAAATATATGAAATGAAATTGGTTTAACGTCCTGCAGTTTCTGTATTCGATCAGGAATATGCACATATTGTTTCTGTATATAAGCCCCTGACAATGAAATAATATGGGGACGGGGATGGGATTAGTGTTCTAGAGTGCCGCGCTTCGACCTCTAGCTGGCCAGTCACCCCTGACTTGTGGTTGTGGTTTCGATTCCTGACGGCTTGGAGACAGGGGCGCCTTCTCAACCTCGTGGGTTTACTCCGGTACTCCGGTTTCCTCCCACAGGAAAGACCCCTGCGCGTGCGCTAAATAATAAAAATGTAAAAATAAGACTTGTCTGCGATATCACCTTCGGTGGAAGTGGACGTTAAACACCAAGAAGAAGAACAACAACTAAAAGTTTTTGGGGGTTTTTTTTGTTTTTTTTAAGAAAGGTAAAAGAGAATCCGAGAATTACTCAGTTTAATATTTTATCTCAATTTATTTGCGACAAGGATATCTCTATAGTATAACGGCAGCATAACTTTCAACATACAAGTTGTAGAAACCTCTTTGGAAAAGTAATTTTGAGGTTTGGAGATTTTCACCGGTTTGTAAGAAAATGTGTTTTGATGTGACTTAAAAAATGCAGTTACTGGAGAAAGACGTGAAATTTTAGACCACCAAAAACTCACTGAAAATGGGCCATTGAAATATTTTTATCAAATCTTTCGTTATTGTTTTCGTTTAGTTCAATGTATTTGTAGCACGCGTGGGTAATGGCACTTACATTTTTATCGTCCATGGGGACATTCAAATTGATTGTACGCTAAATGTTAGGGAAATATGTTTGGTCGTAACTGAGATGCAAATGTATAAACTTCCAGTTCACATAATATTTTTGTGGCTTTCAAAGCGTTTAACGAACGAACTAAAAATACCATACTCAGAGTTGGCCAGGGTCTTCCTTAGTTGGCCAGGGTGTTCATTGTCGATAATTTGGCGAGTCTAACTAAGGTTATGTTGAACACTAGCTTGGTGGGAGTGATAACTTCCCTTTATTTAAGCTTTTGGATGACTTTTTAGAATCAGGTCCTTCAATATTCCCAAACATGACTGTGTTTCTCTGGCTCTACCTAATAAACACCTCAAATGGACTTTTCTATCCGCCCACTTTGGTTTGTCAGTTTCTCATTGAATCCATAGTAAAACGACAACTTGTGAATGTCTGTATCAAGTAATGATTTTATAACGATAACCCCTGGCGTTTCTATTTACAGGAGTAGGCCTACAATATAATATTAGATGCATAATAGAACGCTGAAGCAGATAAATTCTGTCTGCAAGTTAAGTTCAAAATGGCTCCAAGGTATCTGATATTAAGATTATTTTGGTTATAAGATTCGACAGGGAAATTATCAAGCGTATAAAGACGAACTAATCAGTAAGCAGACTATATTTTTAAATTCACTTTACCTACATGTACGTAATAACATAAGCCTGTATCCATAGATAATGTGTGTAGTCAACCAAATGAACTATTTGCTATCAGTCTGCTTTCAGCAAAGACTTAGTTAAATCATTGGTCTCTGTCTTTTCAACCTCCGCTAACACTGCATCGAATATCGTCTGGACAGGGTGACCTATTCCTTATATTTCAAATGTGCAGAATTCATTAACTGGTGGATAGAGAAAATATTTCAAATTGCGTGCACTGTATACTCAAACAGTGACACCGACCGTCGCCATAGAGTCCCACATCTCGTCTCGGCTGTATGACGAAGTCCACCATTGAAACTACTTTCAAGTTCCCGGATTACCAACGGCGGCGCCCATGACGACGACTTATGAAAAATGTTTTATCATACAACGCTTTCAAAGTCTGAAACTGTTTTTCTTTCAAGTTTATCCGATTTTCATTAAACAAGGACCAATTTGCACGGAAAATTCTACACGCTCTTCGAACGACTCAATTTTGACAACTTCTTTCTAAAAGCGGCAAGTTTTCCTTGTAAGTAAACCGATGCCACATCGCAATTGTAAAGGTGTAGGTACATATTACTTACCGCCATACAGCCGATGCTACTGTAGAGTACCGGAATCTGCCGAGGTTTGTTGAGTGCATGAATAGTAAAGAGAGAATATCGGCTGGAATTATTGAGACTAATACTGCAAAGGCATGGCAACGATGGTAAAACCATGGATGCTAAATATCATATCCTTCAAAATTATGGAAGAGATTGGGCCCCCACAGTCAGTTTACATATTTATTCATGATTACAGATTGATTGACATCTCTCAGTTAGGGTTAGGGCAAGGTGTGGTATTCTTCTTAATTTCCACCTAATTATATGTTCCTGAAGCAATGACCAGGAGTTTTACAATATCTAGCCGTTACTACGTTAGTCTGAAATCCCCAAACGTTTAGGTAGTTATCTCCCTTTACCACAGACACGCGATACAAATAGCCTACGTAAAGGAACAAAACCTGTTTAAAATCGTTGAATGATTTCATTTTAGTTGAAAAACTCACTGCTTACTAACATAATGGAAGAACAAAAAGTAAATTAGAAAGGTTTGGACTAAGATATGAAGTTGGTCAGTAACCAATCGAAATTATTGCCAAAAAATGCAGAGTATTATGTAAAGGCCTTGATAAGATGTACGGAGTTGCAAAATGAAATGAAATGAAATGGGTCTTAACGTCCTATTGTTCTGATCCGACTGGACTGATGAAGACGGACATACGCCATACAGTGTGCTACGA